TTTGAATATAACTGACGGATTAAGAAATGCTATATTTTCTTAAACTTTTAACAAAACGTTTAAAAATAAATATTTTGTTAATTCTTTATTTTCGATGTTTTATTGTTAAGATTTTCAAGATTAAAATTACTTTAATTTATAGGTTTACAAACTGTGTATGATTTTATTTGAGGTTTTTAAAAACATGATATGATAATTCATTTTGATTTTTTTCAATGTAGATAAGATGTGCTTGTTTCAGGTTTTGTTCATATCGTTCGTCTGGTGTGTATTTTTGAGGTTTTGAAAAGTTCGTTCGACATGACGAGTTTCGTAAGAAGCCAACCATTAAAAAATTACTATGTGGCTCTGTGTATCCAAATTTATTTCTTCAGAATAATTCTTAGCATATCATCCGTGAATAGCATAGCTGAGCATGAGGTATTGTGAGTTCCATTTTCCATTCAACAATATGCACCATTTTATTATGATTATTTGAACATAAGCTTATGTTACATTACCATTTTGCTCATATTCACTGACAACCATCCTAATGGTTACAACTTCCTGACCTTTTGACCTTTTAATTCTTAGCCTTTTACCATAAATTTTATCATACTCAACATTTCTTGAGAATTACAAGCTTTTAGTTTGAACCCACACGTAACAATTCTTGACTACTTTAACTACAAGAAAACCTGACATGGAAACATCTTACTTAGTTAATTTTCTTAAATATTAGGTATGCCCATGTCCGTTTCTGACTAGTTTAAAGCCTAATAAGTTTATCTCGACATTTCGTTATCTCGATATTTCTGACAGACCAGATGACTTCGAGATAACGAGAGTCGGCTGTATTTTCTTTAACTCTGAATATATGGCTTGACTTAAAGATACTTTATGGCCTTGACCTAAAGATGACCTTGATCTTAAATAATATTTGTTTATTACAGTTACCAAAACTGAGTATTTCATGAACTGTTTTGGCTTATACTCACATATACCCATCATAGATTTTATTAGATTCTACCATAATTTGAGCATTTCTTGACCTTTTTGTCTCATGGTATCATACGACTTTTTTCTATGAATATTTGAAATAAACTATAGATATCATTGATCTTACCAAAAATGTAATTGTAACAGAGCTGAAGTATTAACGGTTTCTGAAGTGTGCACGCTATTGACAAGTTCTTGTCGAGATTGTGATATTCTTTTTTGTGATAAATGAGATAAGTGTCTTGTATCATGTTTTGTAGTTTACTGTTACTTGAATAAAGTTTTATGTATGAGAACGGAGTTATGTTTCCTTCTTTTAGCTCTTTCAAAACCGATTTTTTAAATTTTAATAACTAAGTTCTAATGTCTAAGTTCTAATAACTAAGTTCTAAGAACTAAGTTCTAATGTCTAAGTTCTAATAACTAAGTTCTAAGAACTAAGTTCTAATGTCTAAGTTCTAATAACTAAGTTCTAAGAACTAAGTTCTAATGTCTAAGTTCTAATAGCTAAGTTCTAATTACTAAGTTCTAATGTCTAAGTTCTAATAACTAAGTTCTAAACTAAGTTCTAATGTCTAAGTTCTAATGTTTAAGTTCTAATAACTAAGTTCTATAAACTAAGTTCTAAGATAGTTGGACCATGTTAAGGCCACTTTGTAGGTCCTTCACTGCCACGGCCTCCTTTGGACCACCTGTTTGAAGCCCTATATTTCGATCGATCGAGACAGGGTCTCAGCTTTGTTATACTCCGATTTTGTCCGCATTTAAACACACGTCCTAACTAGTCTGAAAGGCATGCGCAAGTGCAGATGTATCGTGTGAAAATCAGTTGAAATGGTTCTTCTGATGTTGACACTTCTTTGAACAAAAGGCCGACAAACACACACACACACGCGCGCGCACGCACGCACAAAACAACAACAATCAATAAACGTACTGCATATAAACCAAAAATACTTTTGCAATCTGTGATTTGCCTCATCACAGCAATTTAAGGCAACATGCAACTATAGCCACAATAATTGCGTAAGGTTTTTATAAAATCGCTATGGATTCTTTCATTAATTTTTGCATGCTTTATATCTAGTATTATAGCTTAGCCTTGTTATACAACAATTGCTTGATAAGCCAACATTCGGTACCTTGCCATTTTTGAAGCCAAGAGCATGTCACACCATCAATCATTTGTGCAGAATTATGCACTTTTGTCACCATCGGAAATTGTAGCAAATGACACTTTATTTCAATACTTTTAATACACATATGTATCATGGTAACCCAAATCAGTATTAAAACGCTGATAATTTCATCAAATATTGATACAGAAGTGCACTTCGTTAAAATTAAGGCAATGGTTATATTTTATTTAAGTGGCCACTGTGATCTTGACCTGGTAGAAATGGAAACACGGAAGAATTCACCGCTGATACAAAGTGAACATAAATGTAATTCTAAATGTAGAATAGACACACATTCTGATCGGACCATTTATCGAAGCTCTGACTACACCATGCGTTCCTCATAAACAGTAATCTTGAAACAGTTCAATACGGTTTTAAACAAGATTCCAGGCATCATTTAGCACAAAAGGATAATATTGGGAGTCTAAAATCACATAAATATATGTTAGAAGATAATATATAATCAATAATATAATTATATAATATTTAAAAACTAATATATTATATTATTAATTATTATGAATGCCAACACGAAACCCAATTACATGTTTATTGTAAATCATTGTAAATGCTCAACAATCATCTGTAAAAGATTCAAGGTACAATGTTAACGATTCGTTTAATGGCTTCAAGGCTTTCTGTTAGTCGACGACAACACTCAAACAAGTTTCTCGGTTTCGTTTCAATGAAGTCGTGTAAGTGATCGGTAAAGTTCTGGCACATCTGTATGTCTTCTTGTTCAACACGATGACCAAAATTATGCCCACCATAGATTCCAGGTATAAAATAAATTAAATCAGGTCTTCCGAAAGGCAATTCAAAACTCCTTTGGGTACATGTATAGTTCTGCTTGGATCAAATCCATAAAACAATATCTTAGGCATTCAATGTGAACACGATTTGTTATATCCAAACTTTGAATGAATGAGATCCTTGAAAAATGAAATCAACCAGTGCAACGTTGTCTACGAAGTAATCCCTACCAGGATTCTAAACGCTGATTTGCTACACTTTTTCCATACATAAAACTTTTCAACCAAGATACGCTTTCTGTGCCGTTATATTTGAGAATTTTCAGTTCCTCTAATGTGTCTGCGTAGTATGACGTTTTCACTTGGGGCGAGTTGTCGCTGTTTGATACTGTTTGAGCCATAAAATGAGTCGACTATACAGAGGATGCAGAATCAACATGACTTTAACTTGTCGTAACCATTTACATGCCACACAAAGTTGATCGGTTCTAGTCTTGTTACATGCGCCCCTTTGAAATGGCAGCTAAATCTGTGATTACAACACTTGTTACTGGTGTAATAACAAACAGACAAACTCCAAACCTAGATACTAATTTAGAAACCATTTTCGTCGTCCGGAATAGGGATGAAGAAGATACTGAAATAGGAAAAATAATCAAATTATTTTAATACACATTTGAAAACTGACATTTTTTAATTATCATAAAACTAACAGATACACAATTTTAAATAATGTTTTAAATTTGATAATTGATAAATACATAAATATAGGCAACAGATATCAGGTTCAACGCTTGTGCCCCTCATCGTAGATTGTTTGGTAGCCAGGTTCGGCTTAAATAGCTAGAACTGGCTAAAATAGTCACTTATGGAGTTTGTATCAGCCTTTTGAAGATAGCTTCGTCAACCTTTGCCTCCTATTGAAATTTTGGTTGTTTTTTTACCCGGTCCTTATTTATAATATATAATCACTTAATCTTTTAACGTTCTAGCCATATCTCTGCAACTCTTTAAATTAAAAAATAAAATTAAAGAAATAATCATAATAAAAAGTTTATCTCACTTACATTTTATTGTCTATCTTGTAGTAAATATGGCGTGTTCCCGCCAATATGGAACCTCTAAGTTCTAAGAGCTAAGACCTAAGTTCTAATTAAGATCTAAGTTCTAAGAGCTAACATCTAACTTCTAACTTCTATCTCAAAATGGCCTCAATGGGCTTCCGTACGAAACAGCATACCTCGGAACAATAATTTAATATTGGAGCTACAAGCTTATCAAACAATTCTAATTTATGTTTTGGGGGTATATAAGTAAACTTATACAAAGACAGGCAGGCAGGCATACAAACAGTAGGCCTAGACATTTTATTTTATTCCTGTAGTGAATAGGCTTTAAAGCCCACGAGGACATAAATAATGCACAATAACGAACAGTGTATGACATAAACATATCAACATAATATAAACAATCATGAAAAATGTTTGGAGAAGATCAATTTTGATTGATAAAGTAAATACCAGCCGAAATTTTCTTAAGTATTTACATAATCAAAATTGATCTAGTTCCACTAACTTATAGTTCTCTTATATATACATATACACATACAGACTGGCGGGCAGGTTAATAGAGGTCAGTCCGCCGGTTGGTAACACTGGGTGAAGGGGTCTGTGTGAAAGAGAGTGAGTCGCAAATTTCGTGGTAATGCATAGTATTCCACTAGTTTTCAATAGGGGGTCACTAGTAAAATTTGTGCGTGATTTTCACTTTTAAAAATTTTTTGTGTGTTATGTGATTTTTTTCTAAATGAATTGTTTACAAGTTCTAATCTGATATACTAACCAAATCCCCAAAGGAGGTCATGCCCCCTCCCCTCCCCCGCCCCCCCCCCCCAACACATACACACTTTTCTGGAGCCGTGCATGCATACTAAACTCAGAAACTCATACTAAACAAGATGCATGAATAAAATGCCTGGCGTGCATAAAAACATTAGGCCTATCGTGGCTTTTTCAGTAACACACAAAAAAGTTAAAACAAATCTGATAATAAGCACGTTGCAACGTAACAGTGAAATGACAATAATACGTATCACATTCGCAATTTAATTTGACAACAACAACAACAACAAAATGGACGTAAAAGACGAAAAGGAAAAGAAAAGAAAAAGAACAATAAAACTTGACGGTTCATCTGCGTCAGGTGATGGGAAAATAGAGGCAAAAAGAATAAAACCTGATTCTGTAAAGGTATGACATTTTCTATAGTGATTTTACTATTGGTTAATGACAAGTGTTAGACAAATCCGGCCGGTTTTGGTGGATTCGTTACCAAATATATTCGTAACGGATTATTTTCAGGTCTTAAAAACCACCAAGGATCACTACTCACTAGATTGATTAAATTTTATTAGCATTTTGGGTAAATGATAAGTGGGTTAATGATAAGATTTTTAATTTTCAATGACTAATGAGTGCTAACTAAAACGGTGTAAAATTGCATCTATATAGGTCTTAAGCTAGCTTAAGGTCTTCAGCGTACCCGTTTATATACTATGACATGAACGCTGAAGACAGACACATAGGGAAAGTCCACCAATAATGGTGCCAGGAATCTGGCACGCTCGTATTCATTCATCGAACATGCCATGAAGTAAAGTGAAGCATACCTTGATAAAACTATGTATAATCTGTTGATAAGCCAAGGATGGACATATAAAAATCTTATTACGAACATAAACTACCCATTTTTTTCCGACAGGTAAAAAATTCAGCACTTGGCCGCCATATTGCCAAAATGTTTGACCACGTGATAACGGGATTGACCTTGACAGCTTAATTTGCGCGGACGGTTAAGAAAACCGAAACCATGTGCTCCCAAATTTTTTTATAAACACACAGTTAAATAGGCAATTTTAATGACGGTATTAATATTTTGATATTTTAAATGGTAAAGAACGATATTAAAATAATTGTTTTATCGTAAAATGCACAAGAATTAATTGGGACAAGGGTATTTGCAAATGAAAAATAAGGTTAAATCAACTTGCGTTATTCTGGTTATGTTTTGTAACGGGTCTAATCTTAATGGCCCATCAGATGAAAAACAAAAATATTAAAAAGCGGCTTATACAGTTTTGGAAGCCAGAACTAGTCTTAAGCCAATCAGAACAGTGTTTGAAATTAGCAGTAGTCTGATAGCCCCTGACTACTAAATTTCTACACGGATTACCGTTAACAACTTTTCACAGTAACAAGCCAGACCAGGCTACCATATTTTCAGAGGCAATATAAACAACTGTTTTGAACAAATGAATCATGCTAGTGAAATGTCTTTTGGGATAGTTAATATTCCAATCTGGTAGTCCGACCAGCCTAGTGGATTCAAATAAGGATGTAACGGTTTACCGGTATACCGATATATTGCAATATGAAAAAATAAATTTCGTACCGGGGTACGATTTTTGGAAAACCGGTACTTTATAAAATTCATAATTTTCAATTAATTGCCTTTTAATTTCGCACACATTTCGCATAAAATCTTCAATTTGGCGAATTTTATTAGCGCCAACATAAGATAAAAATATCCGACCCAGATGTGAAAGGGAACGCGCGACTAGTTTTGTTTATCCAATTGTGTGACACTTTACTTTCTATTTATTCCTTACATTTCTATTAAGTTTTTACTAAGAATATATACATATAATAATAATAATATATAATGTTACACCATCTTTGCATCAACACATACACAACAATACGTATTGCAATAAACTGCAATACGCTTCTGCAAAATGGCAATATATTGCAATACGGTTTTTACCGTATTGTTACACCCCTAATTCAAATCCGAAATTTCTTACACTGTCAGAATGACAGTTTTTCCAATATTAAATCATGGTGTTGCAGCAGATCTCTCATGTTGTGTTTTGTGACAATTGACATATCTATGTAAGCAAAAAAATTCAAAACATATTGTTCTATTTTGATAAATCTTGAAACAGACTTCAGTTGTTGATAAGCTCCGCCTTTATAGCATGCTATTTAATCAGTACTTATTTAGTTTTAATTTAAAAAATTTATTTCATAATGCCGTTTAAGATTAATTGAATGAAATGACATGTGTATAACTTTTCGACAGGTGCTTTCCTTTAAATACTTATTAACCCATTACCACATGAGCATTTTGTGAAAAGTGGCAGTTTTCATTGAAAGCCTCCTGTTACAAGTTCAAATGAAACTATAAAAAATGTTTAAATATCAAACTTGGCACAAATATTTTCTGGACCATAGCCTTTGTAACAGCATACTCGATCTTAAATTCCCTATTACCATGGCAATGATGGGACATCTCAAAATAAAGTGACATACCATATAAATTGTAAAAGGATCACCTGTTTTGATTTTCTTTGAGTAATATAATGTGTTTGAGGAGAGCACTTTTGAGTTAAAAAAAACAACAATCTTTAGACTATATCAATATGTCAAAAGTTTAAATATTCCATTTTGTGGGAAAATTTTAGGTACAGTATATGTATGTATTTTAGATAAAGCAGGAAGTACCAAGTGTTAATATTGGCCGTAAATTATTTTATGCTGAAGAAGATGAAGTTGAAAAGAGAGATGTTAATAAAGATGTGGAGCTTTTTCAGAGTGCGTGTGGAGACATTCAGAGAACAATTGCTGAAATCAAGACATTGAAAGAGTCGAAAGGCAAAAATGCTGTAAATATCATTATTTTCTTGTCTTTAGTTGTAGAGATGTCTCCTCAATACTTCTTAAAGGATTCTTTGGATTCTTGTATAGAAATTTAATCAACAATCTTTTCACTGAGTATATATGTATTTTATATTTATGCTTGTTCCTTTTTCTTGTATATTTGTATATAATTATGTACATGTATACTGGCGGCAGTAACATAATTTGTCACTATTCGGTATTAAGCAGGTTGTCTGTAATGTATAAGGAAGAATTAAAAGGTTATACTAAAAAAATCTGTTATACAATTGGATAGAATCGATCTTTAAGTGGCCCATGCTTTGCAAGTTTAATCAGTAGTTTTGTTGGTAAAGGAGTTGTCATAAGCAAAAATGGAGACTTGTGACTGACACAGCACTTTTGGACACTTTTTTGACAAAAAATAAGGCTTAAGGTTGTGTACTTACTGAAAAACTTGTTTATGTGTATATGTATTAATGGTATGATATTATTGATCCGATATTTATATACTATACTTATATGATATTTCTATATAAACAGGCAGCAGAGATTGAGAGTAAGCGTATGGAAGGTATGTTACAGATAGTCATGCTGAAGAAACTAAATAGACTTGCTCATATTAGATGTAAGAAGGTCAGGGACGGCACTAACGAGGTAATCAATCATCATTGCAGTGCTTTTTAAAAGACTGACTTGGGAAATATTATTCGACTGCATTCAGAGAGAGGAATTGTTCAGTGGGAATTTAAAGAGGTTGCCTAAGACAAAAGTCGCTTGATACAAGTGGTCTGGGGCAAGTTAGACTGTATACAAGTCAGTATCAATATTAATTGATTTGTGGTGTGTTTTTAGCTCACCTGTCACAAAGTGACAGAGTGAGCTTTTGTTATCACTTTTCGTCCGGCATCCGTCCGTCCATCGTCTGTCCGTCCGTCCGTCCGTAAACTTTTACTTTAAATGACATCTCCTCATAAACCACTAAGCCAATTTCATCCAAACTTCACAGGAATGTTCCTTTGGTGGTCACCTTTAAAAATTGTTCAAAGAATTTAATTCCATGCAGAACTCTGGTTGCCATGGCAACAGAAAGAAAAAACTTAAAATATCTTCTCTTAAAAAAACCCAAGAGCTAGAGCTTAGATATTTGGCATGAAACATCTTCTAATGAGTGTCTACCAAGTTTGTTCAAATAAAAGCCCTGGGGTCAAAATTGGCCACGCCCCAGGGGATCTTTGATTTTGCCTATATGCATATAGTAAAAACTTAAAAAATCTTCTTTTAAAGAACCCAAAGAGCTAGAGCTAAGATATTTAGCATGAAACATCTTCTAATGAGTGTCTACCAAGTTTGTTCAAATGAAAGCCCTGGGGTCAAAATTGGCCCCGCCCCGGGGGTCATTGATTTTCCCTATATGCATATAGTAAAAACTTAAAAAATCTTCTTTTAAAGAACTCAAAGAGCTAGAGCTAAGATATTTAGCATGAAACATGTTCTAATTGGTGTCTACCAAGTTTGTTCAAATAAAAGCCCTGGGGTCAATATTGGCCCGGCCCCGGGGGTCATTGATTTTCCTTATATGTATATAGCAAAAACTTAAAAAATCTTCTTTGAAAAAACCCAAATAGCTGGAGTTTAGATATTAAGCATGAAACATCTTCTAGTGAGTGTCTACAAAGTTTGTTCAAATAAAAGCCCTGGAGTCAAAATTGGCCCCGCCCCGGTGTTATTGATTTTCCTTATATTTGTATAGCAAAAACTTGAAAGTCTTCTTTGAAAAAACCCAAATAGCTAGAGTTTAGATATTAAGCATGAAACATCTTCTAGTAATTGTCTACAAAGTTTGTTCAAATAAAAGCCCTGGGGTCAAAATTGGCCCCGCCCCAGGGGTGTCATTGGTTTTAACTATATAAGTATAGTAAAAACTTAAAAAATCTTCTTTTAAAAAAACCCAATGAGCTAGAGCTTAGATGTTTTTCATTATATGTGTGTAGTAAAAACTTAACATCGTGAAACATCTTCTAATGGGTGTCTTCCAAGTTTGTTCAAATAAAAGCCCTGGGGGTTTAAACTGGCCCGCTCCGGGTGCCTTTATCCAGGTGAGCGACCTCAGGGCCATCATGGCCCTCTTGTTACTATAAACACTGCTATAGTAAAACCATTCTTAATGATGTTATGCATGTTTAACAATAGCATAATGATAAATGCTGAAAACCTGCATTTGTTTAAAGGATAATGGGGCTCTCATACTAAGGCCTTAGATCAGAATTGGGGGTCACTATCCAAGGTCTATAACTCTGGCATGGATTTTGATTGAAGTATGGCCTTTTTCTGACATAGAAAATTCTTTATTTAGGGAATTATGCCCCCTTATCTTTCTTTGCTTTCTTTTTACTATCAGCACTGAGAAAAGTGGAGCATGTTGCCCATGAACTGGTCTTGTTTAAGTTACTATTGACAATGTTTTGGAATTGTTTATTGTAGGCGAAGATGAGAATAGACCGCTGTCATCTACAAGTACAGAATCTTCTCTATGAAATCATGCATCTTGAAAAAGAAATAGTCAAATGCTTAGGATTCAAGTAAGTTCACTATTTTTATTTGCTTATTTTATGTCAAATTTAAAAAAAGAAGAACTTAATATAGGCTATTGATTAAATCTGTTGGATGTTTTGATTTAACTGATTGCATTTATTTGTAGCTACAGAAAAAAATGCTGGACACAAAATATTTTCTTGGATTGAAGTTAGTTTTAGCAAGTACATGAAAATAATGTATGATAAAAGTTATATTTCTATGACTTGGGCCTCGAATAGGACCGATAAAGACTAGTTATGTAACCTTGTATCATTGATTTCAGCAGGAACTAAGTACATGGATTTTTTAAATGTTCCTTTATTTTTATTCATTCTGCAGAATTTGTTGTTAAAGTATTCTTTCTGCTGGATTTATTAAGGTAGTCATTCTGCAGGAGTTGTTGCTATGTTACTCTTGGTGATTTGTTCTTAAGGTAGTCATTCTGTGGGATATGTTATTAAGGTAGTCATTCTGAGGGATATGTTATTAATTAAAGTACTTTTGGTAGTCATTCTGTGGGATTTGTTCTTAAGGTAGTCATTCTGTGGGATATGTTATTAAGGTACTTTAGATAGTCATTTTGTGGGATTTGTTCTTAAGGTAGTCATTCTTAGGGAAAGTACTTTTGGTAGTCACTCTGTGGGATTTGTTCTTAAGGTAGTCATTCTGTGAGATTTGTTCTTAAGGTAGTCATTCTGTGGGATATGTTATTAAGGTAGTCATTCTGAGGGATATGTTATTAATTAAAGTACTTTAGATAGTCATTTTGTGGGATTTGTTCTTAGGGAAAGTACTTTTGGTAGTCACTCTGTGGGATTTGTTCTTATGGTAGTCATTCTGTGGGATATGTTATTAAGGTACTTTAGATAGTCATTTTGTGGGATTTGTTCTTAAGGTAGTCATTCTTGGGGAAAGTACTTTTGGTAGTCATTTTGTGGGATTTGTTCTTAAGGTAGTCATTCTGTGGGATTTGTTCTTAAGGTAGTCATTCTGTCGGATATGTTATTAAGGTAGTCATTCTGAGGTATATGTTATTAATTAAAGTACTTTTGGCAGTCATTCTGTGGGATTTGTTCTTAAGGTAGTCATTCTTGGGGAAAGTACTTTTGGTAGTCATTTTGTGGGATTTGTTTTTAAGGTAGTCATTCTGTGGGATATGTTATTAAGGTAGTCATTCTGAGGGATATGTTATTAATTAAAGTACTTTTGGCAGTCATTCTGTGGGATTTGTTCTTAAGGTAGTCATTCTGTCGGATATGTTATTAAGGTACTTTAGATAGTCATTTTGTGGGATTTGTTCTTAAGGTAGTCATTCTTAGGGAAAGTACTTTTGGTAGTCACTCTGTGGGATTTGTTCTTAAGGTAGTCATTCTGTGGGATATGTTATTAAGGTACTTTAGATAGTCATTTTGTGGGATTTCTTCTTAAGGTAGTCATTCTTAGGGAAAGTACTTTTGGTAGTCATTCTGTGGGCTTTGTTCTTAAGGTAGTAATTCTGTGGGATATTTTATTAAGGTAATTTTGGCAGTCATTCTCTCGGATTTGTTCTTAAGGTAGTAATTCTGTGGGATATATTATTAAGGTACTTTTGGCAGTCATTCTGTGGGATTTGTTCTTAAGGTAGTAATTCTGTGGGATATTTTATTTAGGTAATTTTGGCAGTCATTCTCTCGGATTTGTTCTTAAGGTAGTAATTCTGTGGGATATATTATTAAGGTACTTTTGGCAGTCATTCTGTGGGATTTGTTCTTAACCCATCACTTCATGAGCATTTTGTGAAAAATGGCTGTTTTCATTGAAAAGTCTCCCGTTACAAGTTCAAATTGCTATGAAACTATAAAAACTGTTTCAACACTAATCAAACTTGGCACAAATGTTGACTGGACAATTGCCCTTGCAACAACATGCTCAGGCTTAAATTTTCTGTTACCATGGCAACGAGGGGACATCTCAAAATTGCCAAAAATCACTATTTTGCATTGATTTTTTCCATCAAAATTGATTTCAAAGTGCTGCAACTTCTCATTGGATTGAGATAGAGTCAAATGTTTTTCAGCGTTGGTTACACGTTACCTTATGATCAATCTGGGGTCATTTACAGCCTTTCACAAGTCCAAAATTTTCTTGGCGATGAGGGGGACTCCGCCCCCTTCAAACCCCCCAAACAGAAGGGGGCACATCCCCCTTCTGGCAACCCCCTGATGTATCTTTTGGTTGGGGGGCCGCGCCGAAAAAGAGGTCACTTTTTTTAACAACATTTCTCAAACAAAAACAAGTGTTTGGGGCCTAAATAAGGCATTTTTTCATCATTTGAGACAACAAAAAGGGGGGGGGGGTGAAAAAGGCGTTAAAAGGCGTGTATATGAAGTAATGGGTTAAGGTAGTCATTCTGTGGGGTTTATTGTTAAGGTAGTAATTCTGCAATATTAATGTAATTGTAGTCATTCTGTGGGAATTTATCGTTAAAGTCGTCCTGTATGTTTTAAAGTTAAAGTAGTCATTCTGTGGGATTCATTTTTAAAGTAGTCATTTGTTTATCAGGTCAAAAGATGAAGAGATAGATCTTATTCCGGTGGATCAATTTTATGAAGAAGCACCAGAGGAGATATCCAAGCCTGTATGTACTTATTTATTCAATACACATTGTTTGCCACCATTAAATGTTTTGTTATTAAATGTTATTTGATAGAATTATCTGTACATGTACATATATATTTACAATGAAACATGTTTCAGCATCTTTTGCAGAGAAATAACCTGCTGGTAATTTCTGGTATTCTACCATTTTAAATAATACTATTATATTTCTGTCAAACTACATTAAAGACAGTTTTTTGTTTTCCGTTTGTGAGCAATGTTTTTATGAGCCTTACTTTTTGTAATGATTGGTCCTAATTTCACTGGCTTTCAGACTGTGTAACAACTACTAAAATGTAGCATTCTGGACAAATGTTATATAAGTTAAAATTGATCATTATTGTATGATAATTGATATTGTGATAATTGAAAGCAAAGTTTTATTTTGAAACCAGTCTTCAGTTTGTTTTCTTACTGTATTCTTTTGGACACTTAAAGTGTTAAATAACTGAAATATTTAGCAATCATAATATAATTACAGTCAACTCCACTTATAACAAACTAGCTTATAACGAATTATCATTAATAGCGAACTAAATCTGACATCCCCGGCAGATTCCTTCTTTATTTTATATTAAATCACATTGCCTAATATGTACTCGCTTAAAACAAATTTTCAGCTTTAGCGAACCATTTTTTCAAGTCCCAAACGACGAAAAACATGTAAATTTTCTCGGTTAAAACAAAGTGTTTTAATTGAAATGTCGGCATGCTCTCGATTAAGATCAGTACATGAATACCGCTATCCGATAATTATTCAATCGAGTGATTGCACAGGTAGGAATAAAGAGTTTGATAAAATATTCTCACAACATTATTTCCTACTTGTTACGGAAAATTTATATTTCGCACCCTCAGTTGATAAATTGTATACCCGATAATTACCAAATAACTGATTTTTTGTTTGCAATATTAACCAAACAATAACAAACAAATAGTAAAAGAATACCAATGATAAGCACTTTATAGACAAGTTCTACATGTCTAAATACATGTACATATGTACATAATATATTGTTAAATAAAATGACCCACATTAAATTACCGCTGCCGTTAAATACTGATTATCTGGTAACCAGTGACATGGCAAATCTACCCACCCAAACAAGTCAGCAAGTTGTTGCTACTTCACTTTTAGCGAATTTCGGATATAACGAACAATATTTAAATGTCCTATTGAGTTTGTTATAAGCGGATACTGTATACTTGATACACTCATCTCTGATGTTTTTAAGATTGATTTAGCTAGATCATTATGAAACAAGGCTAAAAAGCACAGCATTAATCTAAATGTTAATTAACCAAAATGAGAGGCACACATTTTTCATGGATAATCAATTATTTCAATTTTATGCTCAAAAGTATTGAAAGAAGTCATAATATGCTGTTTGTGAAGTTGATTTTGCGAGTTTTCTGATTTTATTAGTATCCCTTTGATAATTGGTACATTGACAATATATATGATCATTGTTACAGGAGAAGACAAAGACAGACAGTCATCAACTAACATTATCCAGACTGGACTGGGAGCTAGAACAAAGAAAACAGTATGTGTCTTCATTAAGATGTATACTATTATAATACAAATGTAGTTATTAGCTGTATATGAGATAGGAAGGGGGATTTTGGAATACCTTTGTCTTTCTGTCTGTCCAAGTAACTGGATTGAATTTATCATCTGTGTAATGAAACTTGGTCTATATATATATATATATATATAATACAGATGTAGTTATTTGCTGTATATGAAATAGAAAGGGGGATTTTGGAATACCTTTGTCTTTCTGTCTGTCCAAGTAACTAGAATGAATTTATCATCTGTGTTATGAAACTTGGTCTAAATGTATAAATTTGAATGTTGAAATGAGGATAATTTAATCCAATCAAAATCAACCAATAGATTATTGAATTTTTGCCTATGAATTATGAACATATAGATGAGCATAGTGTATATGTTTAATGCCATCAAAATAAAAGTGTATGAGAGAAGATTTTCCAGTTTTGCCTCCAAACTTGAGCAAATTTATGTCATTGTTTTTTACAGACTGTCAGAAAAGTTAAAGGATGCTGTAAAAACTAAGGAGGATATAGAAAACGAGATAAAAACTAAACAAGAGCATCTAGAGAATCTACAGCCAAAACTCAACAACATATTACAGGTTATTTAGCATATGCAATTTAAAAATTATAGAAATATATAATAACAATATTTTGTAATTAGGCTTGCATGCTTTTATATCTGATTGCATCGCTGATATTTTGTCACTGATATTTGATTACATCTTATTGGCTTATCTAGGTTACCTGATTATCACAGTATGTGTACTGGATGAAATATGTTACTGTATTGCCAGAATTCAATCTAATGAAAATATTTTTTACAAATTAAAAGGTCTGAGTGCAGCTTATATACAGTATAAATTAAAAAAAGAATTAACTATTTCACTGTTTTATGAGTCCTTTTTATTGACAACAATGTTAAAGCTGCAAAATAAATGATCTCTTTAACAACTGTTTAGTAAGGTGGTTTTGGTATGTTGAGAATTAGATAAAGGCTTTTTAGTACAAAATGTTTTTTTGAGTAAATTAAACTCAATTAGACAATAGAATCTAATGCCTTTGATTCTTATAGAAGAGCTTGAAATCCTAAAATTTTATATTTATTAATGAAATACTAATATACAATGTATTACATTAGATTCCATGCTAGGTATTACAGAAAAACATTAAATCTTGCATTTCATACTTTTTGATGATTTAATTATTCATTTATTTTTATTTTTACAGTCTACAAAGCCAGTACAAGAGTATCTGGATATGCCATTTGACAGTGTTAGAGAAGAGCATATGACTGCCCAATTCTTACCGCACCCACTGTATGTGCTGTATATGCAATGTAGTGCCTACAAGGATGCCTGTGGTATATTATATTATATTTACTTTATCTTTAGTATATTAAAGGAGCTTCTCTGAGGTCAAAAAACTTAAAATTTGAAATTTTTACATCAATTAAGTTAGAGTGATATGATATTTGACTGAATTCATGGCATATGTTATATAATGTTTCCTTGAGGGGTGTTTGTTTCTTTCTTTAAAACATAAGTTTTTGTCTGCTGGTTTTAGTGATTCACATAGACTTAAAGTCTCCAAACTAGATATACTTAATATCATACTAAGTCATAATAATTATACATAATAAAAAAGTTATTTTAAAAATTATTTTGTTAACATAAGTTACACATGGAAGATAGAATTTGAATTTATTGATATTGTTTTCAGACAGCAGAATGAAAGTGAGTTTGGAAGGAGACCTGAATGCAGCCAAGTCTCTGGATTTATCAGGGCCCTCAATACTTGGTAACATAGTTTAATAGTCCTCCACTGATGATGTTAGAATGAGGATGTTGCAATGTATTTTATTTGTCCAATTTCAAAGAATTTGTCATGAATAAAAAACAAGTGATAAGTTTTTGATATTTTGATATGATTATATCTGGAAAAAGAATGTCATTTACTGCTTCTTTAAATTTGCTTTTGTGTCATTATTAGAAAAGACTCGTAATTTATTGTTCATACAAACTTTAAAATCCTGTGAAGTTTCTTGTTTAATTTTAGAATGAAATTACATTGACTTGGTTGAACTTCTTTCAATTTAACTTTTGATCAATGGAAGAAAAAAGTCTCCATACTAACATTTTGTATGATTTTTAAAGATTGCAAATAACGTACTATCATGTTACACTGTTACAGATGAGGACAGTGAAAGTGACCAAGAGGAACCGGAAGAACAGGAAAAGAAAAACAGTGTATGTAATAACATGATAGTCACATGATCATATGGTAGTCACATGATCTAAGTCACATGATAAAACATATATTATGGTAGTCATATGATCTAAGGCAGTGAGCCAGTGACATTTTAAACTTGAACTTTTACAAAACAATATAAATAGAAATGTTAATTTTGTAGGGATTTGATTACATATGAATTTATTGAATTAACTTTACCTCCACTACATAATGTAGAGGAGACTATACTGGAATCATTTTGTCTTGTCAGCTATCTCCATCATTGTCTGCTCTATAACTCCTGTACCCCCCTGAAAAGATTTTATTCAACATGACACAAATGTTTCAACAAGACAATGTGCACATTCCATGCTGGAGTTGTGATAGCTCAAGGCCACGGTCACTCATTTAATAGATGTTCAAATGTTCACCTCAACAAGATGATGTGCAGAAAACATGTTGCTGCTGTTCAGTCCCAAGGTCAAGGTCACCTTTAAAGGTCAAATGTCAGACAATTTTGTGTCCCCAAAATATGAATCACATTCCTTGAAGAACAAATTATCTGCAAACTTTGCTTAAATGTTAACCTAGAAATATAATGATAAATCAACTTACATGAATTCTTGTGCCATAAGAGATGGTGGGAGTATGCAGCTGTAGTTATGTTTTTTTATGTACAAAATAAATAGTGCAAAACTCTTTTCAAAGTTTTTCAAACTAATAGAACTATCATCATTTATGTGACATATTGTTGGGTTTAATGATTACACGTTTTTAATGCACTATATCACTATTTTGATAATTGATTATTGGCAAAAATCTTTGTTTTTGGACACTTCACTGTCACATGTTTATTTAATTTGTGTGTGTGTATCTTTAAAAAAACGTTTTTTTCTTCTATAAATATAAACAGAAACGGCGTAGGAAGACAGTTGATGTGAAGAAGTCAGAGAGCACATCTAAAGTTCTGACCAAACATCCCCTGTCTGTTGTTATAGAAATCATCTGTAAAGGTGAGTAGTTTTGTTTTAACCAAACATCATTTGTCTGTTTAAGCAAATCACCTGTTAATGGTAAGAAATCAAGTTTGACCAAACATCCCCTGTCTGTTATTTTGCAAATCATCTGTAAAGGTAAAGAGAAAAGTTTTGGTCTGTTAAACAAATCACTTGTTAAAGTTTAATAGTAAAGTCCTAACCAAACATCCCATGTCTCTTGTTTTACAGGTAAGTAAAAAGGTAATAGGTAATGATCTGGTTAACCATCATCATTGAGCATTATGTTTTAAAGAGCTTCGTGTTTCTGCAATACAAGTCTGAACAGATCAAATACTGAAAAACTGTTCAGCTGGCATGATTATATCTAAACTTGACCTGAACCGACCAAGAAAAACTCTATAAATCCAATTTAGATAATTAAAATCTATGGTATACTCATGCCTGTTATTACAGTAGTAATGCTCAAAAATGGAATATATTTAATATAAAAACATTATGTGTGAATTGTGAACTATACCAAAAGAGAGTGTTTCAGAAAATGTTTATAGAGCACGATCATGAATCTTGACAAATGTGTTTTGTCTGTTTCAGATGGAAGTCAGTTACACCTGACATTCTATTATCTCACTTACTTAAAGATAATTACTGTAGGTGTGCAGGTAACAACAAGCCCAGATGTAAACTCTCCTTGTGTGTCCGGAAGGTAATATATATTATTCATGGTAACAGGTTTAATATTGATACTACACTGTTCATGTACCAAGTGTAAATAATTCTTAAACCATAGAATATACAGAATACGTTTCTAAAAAGATACACATTTAACCTGAAGAACTAGAACATTCTGAATTTCTTAAATGGACTTGTCCAGATTCCATTGTTGGAACTGTTCATTAGCAATGTTGGTTTTTCAAAGATGAAAATTTAAGGTGATTCAGTCAACAGTATAGAGTCTAGTTAGACAGTAAGGGTGTATAGTCTGATGTGGCTCTATACTGGTGGCAATGGTTAATTTCTTTAGTTTCCGGCAGGGTAAGGGTTAAGGAATGGTTTGATTTGAATGATAAACAAATTGATTTATACTAAATATGGTATTTGCGTGACAATCTAACTAATATGTTTAAACCATTGAGTTAAATGAGTATTTCATCAACTCTTGAAGAGATCATGAAGTTAGTGCTCGTGTAACTTCATACTTTGATATGATAGTACACTTATTAAAATTCAAGGTGAATATTATCTTATTTCATATCACAGTTTTGCCAAAACAATAAAACAATAAAAATAGACAATATGCATGGATTCATTTATGAAATGACTGTTTATTATGTATGTATATCTTTCAAAAAGTTCTTGCAGATTTTTGTGTTGAACCTTTGAAAAATTGTTGATTACAATGATATTCAGAAGATAACAAAAGTTGTAAATTATATATAGATATTCTTGTTTATTTCAGTGACATCCTGTCACCAGATTTAATTCTAGATGATCTTTACCCAGGAGATCATGGTACTGCCTCACCTAATCTCAGTAATCAGTATGAATTGTCTCGCTTTGGGTAAGAATTCTTAAAATTTCTTTCATAAATACAATGTTTATTGATAAAATAGTTTTAAAAAAATTTGCATATTGTAATAAATCACCAGCTTCTTTTGGCTTTGTGATCAAATCCATCAAGTTATGTTGAATTTTGTCATGTTATGAAACCATCTAGTTCCTTTACAGAGAGTTGTTATTTTGGTTTAAATTAAGGTGTCTGTAAGTGTTGTCAAATAATATATGTAAGTGCACTAACAATATACAGTAAAATAGCTGTCATTGATCCATTGCAAAGCATATTGACAATACATCAGTATTGAAATAGTTGTCACACTTTGATTATGTTTATGCATGTAAGTTGGTTTTTTTAAAATACTGAATGGAATAGGTTGAACTTCACACACTTGTACTCTGTGATTATCTGATAATGGCTCATTCTTCAGATATTTTATATTTCAGACTGAAGGATCTTGAGAACTACGTGTCACAGGTTGGAAGGCCATATTTATGGGCTCAGAGAATGGGTGGTCTACAGTTTCTTGATGGTGAACCTTCAAAAGCCCCGAAGTCCTCAATCAGTTCACAGACTATTCAGTTTACAGTGAAGAAATTAAGAAAGCGTATACAGTCTAGGCTTGCTCTACTTAAACAACTGAGTGCATTAGGTACAATAATCTCTTTATAAAAGTGATTGTTCTATACATGTATAAAGGAGGCTTTGTCTTCAAAATTTGTATTAGATATGTCCCGGATGTTTTGAGACATTGCTATCTACAAAAACTGTGTCATGATCAAATTGAAGTTTGGCTTGCTTAAACCATATTTATATTGAAATATTCCCAAAGAGTTTGGAAAGTAAACACAACATAAACATATACAAACATATATGCAACTATTCATTGAGCAATCCTGACTTCAACTGACAGTTTACAGTCAACTGCAAATCATCTATATCCCCGTTCCTAACACTTAGATGTATGTACCAGAGAAAAAGTACCAACCTTGAAGAGGCAAACATTAATCTTTTAAACCAGTACAATTTAAAAAATACCTGTAAATGTCATACTGACACAGTGTTTGATGGTGGCACACTACTTTTCTGGTGATATCAACTTTCAAAATTTGGATTGTATCTGAATGTATTTTCATTAACTACTGCAAAGTCTGTGTAAAAATTACATATAAATTGAACAGAGTCATTTAGAAAGCTGCAAAGAATGGTATTTTAGCATTAATGTTATATATTTACAGAACGCAACAGTATTCCTGTATCCATTGAATGTATGGCCATGTTTCCTGTAAAACTTACAAGCCAATTGAAGTCGTGGCAGAGGTCAACATATGAAGAATTTATAGAGACACCATACACACAGACTGTTGTAAGTCAGGGTTTAGCCAGTGAATCTGATCTCTACTTCACAGCTGTAATAGAGCGTGGTACAGGTAAATTATAACATGTCAATTCTTTGTATAAAATATATAACTCTTATTTAGAATTTATATCCAATGTATAAAGTACTGGGTGTTTCATAATATTTGTTCTTATATCATCCTATTTAATTTACATATATCTTTTACAATGATAAAAAAAAGAAAATGTTGATTTCATGACATCATTTATGACATCACTTCCTGTTGTTTGAATTTTTAAGTTGGCGACGACCAAAGACCTGTGCTGCGAAATTGTAAAATATTATGAAACACCCAGTATATCATTTGTTGAGCAACACTCTTTTGGAGACAAACATTTTGGTTGTTTCTGTGAGCTGTAACTCTGTAGAGGTTAAATTTATTGTGAAGTATTCTTTAGGCAAGTCTGTTATTGTAGAGGTGATTTGTTCACAGAGGGCTTCCCTGCTGAGGTTGTTACATCGTTTTTATGACATATTCAAAGTAAGGTACAACGAGTCTCACTTCATGTGACACCCTTGAAATTATGCAAGTTATATTAACTCAGCTGATAGGATTGGTGGTTAGCATCTCTTTGATACAAGTTATACAAGTCACATTTCACAATTTTGAATTATGCTTAAGCTTCTAGGTAATATTTTCAAAATTTTGGAAATTCTAAATCTATAAAATTGAATCTATTCTATTTTTTTACAGCAAAGATGACAGCTTGTATAGTGGTAGGATCAGACTATCCAACTGTAGCCCCATTATTCTGTATCAACATTTCCTGGGGTACTAACAGAAACTCTCAAAATGATAGTCATATACAGGTAATATTCAGGGCTTAATACAGTATAGTCATATACAGGTAATATTCAGGGCTTAAGTACAGTAGTCATATACAGGTAGCATTCAAACTTCATACATTAGTCATATTATGGTAACATTCAGTGCCTGAATACAGTATAATCATATACAGATCATATCATTTTTTGATTGGTTTATGATTTTATTTTTTAATTTGATTTAACTTATAAGAGAACTTTATTATCTTTAGGAACTAGAAGAGGAAGTGAATATACACTATGAGGAGCTTGTCAGTAAAAAGTCACATGACCAGTTATTGGCCAATCAGCTTCAGCGGCTAGTTATGTGTTTTGATGTTTACTTGGAAACTGAGGCACAAAGCGGCAGTAACGAGGGTCCCATTGAAATTGCTAAAGAAAAGGTGTTTGCAAGAGTAACACGGTAATATATTGCTTTTTATGCCTTGCTCTATATTGCAGAAAAAGATATATTTGATTTACTATTGTCTGTCAAGGACTTTGGATTCTTTCACGTGAGAAAGCAGTCCTGCTAGCTTGTGGAAGGTTGTGGGTTCTACTCATGCGCCCACTTGTGCCTGAAATAATGCCAGAAAGGGCACCTGAGCTCTTCATCCCCAGTAAAGCTGGATAGTCACCATATAAGTTATACAGTGTTGATGTGACAAAAAATCCAACATAAATAAACAAATCTGACTTTGGGATATAATGAAGTTCCCTTTTTTGATGAGTCAAGAAATGACCAATGTCCTTGCACCACCAAGGAATGACATTCAGTAAAATTCTGTTGAGATATTTTCTTAATTTAAAATTTTATTCTTGGTTTTGTTATATTCAAGTGTTCATTTATTTCTGTCAGAAAAAATAGTCTGTACCAGTATTAGGCCAGTACATGCATGTGTATTTTCTATTCTTGTTTGATTCTTTTATACTCAGAAAATACTGTAAATATTTCAAGGTGATATTATTTTTAACATGAATTTTATATATTTTTTTTTAGATTGTGTTTTTTTTTCTCTCTTTGAGTTATTACATTGTGTTTATTTTTCTTTCTGTAAGTTATATAATTCTGCATGTTTGTAACATCGCTTTTCATTGAAAAATCGTGACGTTACATAGTTTTATATACATGGCTGCTGTCAATTTTAAAGAAAACTCTTATTTTTTTCTCTAAAAAAGGAAGTTTGCTGTATTATAAATTTGTTATAAAGATTCTTAACAGGTTATATGATCATATATATTAATTTGGTTGTTTGCAATATGATCCTCACCTTTGGCCTGGTTATATATACAAACAGCCCTTTATATATGGCCATATAACCTTTCAAAAAAATCTTTATAACTAATATTGCATTGTTAACTTAATAAAGTATTTAATGCTATAAATATTTAGAGTTAAACACAACTGATTATATTTCAGTGGTCGACAGCGGTCAAAACCTTACAAGTTTAATGCAGACACTGGCATCTTCTCCCACAGATGAAACAACATGCTGTATACATAGATATACAGAATTCATCATACATTTGTACTGTAATATCAAACACTTCATATTTTAGTTTGTAGTGTTTTAATCTGCAAACGAAATATGCAAGCAATGCATATCTGGATATTCATTCATCTATTAACTTTAGTTGAGTACTTAATTCTTTCAACTGTTGTATTAATTACTGATATAGTGTTGAATGAACATTTTATAGCGTGATCTACACTTAAGGACTTTGTCAAACAATCACCAGTGTCCTAGACTCCTAGTAACATCAACAACCATTTTGTTAGCAAAAATTATGTTTATGAGTACATTTATATGGAGAAAAAAATAAAAAGTTGAAAAAAAGAAATTGTTTTCTTTCATTATAAAGTGTTAATGATATTATATTTCCTGTTAAACCAGAGAACGATACTTCTTGACACTCTTCAAAATAGTTCCACAGAGTAAAGTTCTTCAGAGTTAAAGAGTAAAATTTATATTTAAGAATTTGATGACCTGGGAAAAAATTAGAAAAATAATTTAAAGTACTTGATGTGAAAATTTTGAGAGACATTTGATAAGACAATAGACTTCACCACCTACAAGGTAAATGTATAAGGATGCATTTATTTATAAAAAATACAGTCAATTGGACTCCTTAATTCCATACAATTAATAATGGCTTAAAATCTAATTCTCAAACCACATAAAGAATATTCTGTAAATTTTCAGTTTCAACTTTTAGCTGGACTATTCAAAGAATAAGGAGAACAATTGTACTCCTCACACTTGATAAACCTTTTGCTTGCAAGTTGGTATCTCCAAAACTATTGAAGGGAATTGTTTGAAACTTTACACAGAATAATCAAGTGTGCTGTATGTTCATAAATGGTATAGTCTAGCAATGAATTTGATACAGTCTGTTAAAAGTTTAAGGTATTTCAATATTGAGCTATTTACAGTCTGGCATTAGACTGGTGGCAAAGGATAATCACTATTAGCTCCAGTAGGTTTAAAGGTTAACTGATTCCTGTTCATTTTGGAATAAGTTTCTCTTTATTCCTATTATGCCAAAGATTAAAAAACAAATTTAGCCATCCAACATTTCTCTAGTGATTTTTAGCCAAACTTCCCACGGAGCATTTTGTCAGTGTATTGTGGTTTGGGTTTTTTCAGCATTTTTATGGCTTTTTGTTCAGTATGTAATTCTCTTCTATGCACAACTCTTTCTACATTTCTCATGGCATTTCAATTTAACTTTCACAGTACTTTTGTCAGCAAGTGCTCTGGCATAATTATGTATGTTTGTTAATGCAACTACATATACTACAGTTCTCGGAGGATTTTAACTAAATTTGCAGATTTATTATAATCAAATGCATTTGGGGATATTCTTTAAGTTTCACAAACAAATAATTTAAGAAAAAAGCTTGTTTTGTTTTAATTACTATCACTTGTCTTTAATATTAGCTTTAGAAGCATAATTTGAATAAGTGCAAAATGGTGATGAATTGTTGAACTGTAAGAGGTACTGATACATGATTCAGTAAAGCTTTCAAAAGAAGAGTTTCACAAGATTCTTTTCAAGGACCAGAATGTTGCTTGTAAAACCAAAGAGGTATACATGAATATTATTTGTTATACAACTTGCTGGTGGGATGTATGGGAAAGTATAGCCTGAATGAGATAAATGTAACTGGAGGTGGTAACAAAATTGATTCAAGAGTTACATTGTATTGCACTTATTTGAACTGAGAAATATCCCTAAAGGAACAATATCATATGTAACACTAAATCTTATGTGCATGCATAGTTAACTTTTTACAATGGATGAAACCACAGAGTTAATTATTATTAAAACCATTTTATAATGCAATATGTATATAGTATGTAGACCTATACATGTATGTATGTAATATGTATACATAATTATGTACATAATAAAACTATAATAATTGAATTTATTTCCATAAAAAACATTTGAAAATTGTTAGTGTGATTCAACCCTAATCCACTTACAAAATGTAATTGTGTAGAACTGATAAGAATAATAAAAAATATCTAAAATCTGAGTTTAATCCTTATAAAAAATTAAGGATGTGACATATTAAATAAATAAGCATGTATATATAAGAGTTGATCCAATTAATCAAAATTTGGTAGTGGTAAACAAAATGTGAAAATGGCTTAACACATGGTTTTACATATGTTTTGTTGTTGTTTTTTTGTTGTTGTTGTTTAGTTTAAAGAATTTGGTTTTCAATGCTTCCAATATGTCTTTTTTGTTTGAACATATCCATTTCGCAAATTGAATTTAATAAATCATCGTTCCGCAAAGAAACATTCATTTCGATTAAACTATAAAGTAGTTCCTCGATCGCTATATTTCGACATTTTCCGTCAAACTCCGTACGCTTTAATTTAATAAATTTATTCTTTTGCAGTTTTGATACTAAGAAATAGCTCTTAATATCATTTTTCATAGTTTGATATTAATTTTGGATAATCTTTCAGGAATTTTTGCACATAGAATTTATCAGTAATTTTCTTAAATCTGGACTATTTGTTGTCAATGGAAACATGTGTAAACAGTTGTGAGTAATCGGGTCAACATGGAGGATAATTTAACGGGACCACAGAAATTTCCTTAAATTTACCATTAGATATTGTCAATAACAAATTCTTTTGTGGAATAAAGAAACGTGTGCTTTATATTTCAAGTGTCCACCTTAGACTAAAAAACTTTTAAGTGATAATTGGATTTTTAAGCTGTGAAACCAATACCGAAAATCAAAACAAAATGTCGACCGCTGCAATGGCTAGGACACTCACTGCAACCGTGCCGGTTGAACCCACTCTGCAGATGAGGTTACAATTCCCGAACCCACCTCAAGCTAAGAATTTGGGTATGATGAACAACAAACTGCGAAACAGATTAAGGCTTGATCCAACCCGTGCTTTGGAACCTGCAAGGAAGAAAATAGCAACAATTGAAGCACAGAGAGTAATGTCAGTATTTGAAGATACCATACAGAAATCTGAAATAATCACTCTGATGCCATTTATTGTAGAGAATCTAGAGAGGTTTCGAATTACGTTTGGTACAGAACTCTCTGAATTAATTGAGCATCATGCCGTTATCCTGGGTAGTTATGAAGACATCAAGCAGACGTTGGACAGGCAGATGAAGAGAAATGCTGCTAAGGCTAAAGCCAGGCAGGTAGATTCACCATCACGTTCATCAACCGTGTCACCTGATGATCCTGAAGGTAATCAAATGTTAGATGAAGATGAGGGAGCTGCTGGGGTAGCTTCACCTTCAGTTCAATCACAACAGTCTAGACCACGGTCAAGCCAACAAAGTTCAAGAGCCAGCTCACGCCGTTCTGGAAGAGAATCACAAAGTAGGTCATCTAGACCATCAAGCTCTGGAAGTGTTGATTCAAACTTTAGTATGGACAGCCAAATGGAACGTACAGTAAGAAGTCTAACAATGGTGGCACAGCAGTTAAATACCTCATGTAAGAATGTATTGAGGGCATTTCAACTGAATCCATCTGCTATGAACACTATTAAACACGAATATTCAAAAAGAGGACATACATCACAAGATTTTATAACCTACATGAATGAGCTAAAAGACATTCTTCTGAACAAACTTCTGACTACACCAGAGGAAGAGAAAGAAAGAATGGAGTATCTTCAAGAAATTTCAAAGCGTGAGAGAAATAATGCTGCCATTATTGAAAAACTGGAAACTGAACTGAAAGCTGCACAAGATGATAAAGATGAGGAAGTATGTTTCTTTGGAAAGATAATTTATTGTTTTGTATTATATAAAACACAGTCATACTGTGTAAAAGAGAGAAAAAAACAGTCATCACAGTTCAACAGGCTCAATTAACCTGAGTCTGTAACATTTTCAATTTTGCCATTTTGGGCATTTGTTATGGATTTCGTTTTCTCAGTTTTGTTGTGACAATAGATAACTTTATTTCTTTAATTTACTTCAGCATCTCTGTAAATATATATATATATGTAATGATGTGGAATTTAAATAGGAACAAAGCTTATGTTCTTAAAGCTTTGGCGTTATTTTAAAGATAATCAAGCCTATGAAATCGAAATGTGACATTTACATAATTAATATTGATAGTCCAAATATACCTTTTATAACTTGTAAAATTTTTTTTTTTTTTTGAGACAGTTAACAGCTTTTCAGGGTATGCTTCAAGTGTTAATTTTGTTTAAATCATTTATCAATTTTGTGTTCTAGATAAGAAAGAAAAATGATGTGATAAGAGGATTGAATGCAGATTTGAGGCAGATTCAGAAGTTTTCAGAAGACCACATCAGACGTGTTAATGCTGAAGCAGATAAACAGAAAGCTGCTGATAAGAAAAATAGTGAGGGACGTAAACAAAGGCTTCAGCAGGAGGTAACTCAACTGCAAACACAGCAGCAAAATCTTGTTTCTGAACATAGAGAGAACGAACAGGAACTTAGAAAGGTAAAATTCCTCAGAAAATACTGTTATGTGTATCCATTTGCAGCAAGTCCTACATGATAACTTAAATTAATATTTATGTAGTACCGTATATGTGCTTACAGTTCTCTGAACATAGTGTGCAACATGTAGATTTTGATACAATTTAGCATTTAGGCAGAATCAATATCTTTAAAATAAGAGGAAATCAAAGCCATTGTTGGATTATGTTTTTTGGTATCATCCTATTCTTACAATGAGAATAAAATTTCATTATATTACATTTTTCAAGTTGTGAATAGTTTATAATATAACTTCATTTCTTTGATGAATTTTGCAGAAAAAATTTAAAATTGAGACAGAGGTGGAGAATTGGATTCAGCGCTATGACCAGGATATGGGCGAGAGACAGGTAAATCTTCTAAATGAATTAATACTTTATTATATATAAAGGGGGCTGTCTTATTTTATGTTTAAACAAATTTTTTTTTTCATTCTACATAGTTGATTGAATTTAGCTAAAATATATGCTATGAAATTCATAAAACAGATTGCTTCTTTTTAATTTTGGGGTTGAAGATATAAAATGCTTTTGTTTTTAATATTGCTTTTTGGCATACAGTAATGCAACATACAAATGTAAGAAAAGGTGTTCTGAATTTTTTATGTCCCGTGATCCCAAGGTCAAGAGGGCATATTTTTTTGGTCTGTCACAAAGCTTAACATTGTCCTTACACCTACATAGGTGCATGCATGTCTACCCCTAGCACACGTAAATGGCATATGATCAAAAGTCAAGGTCATTGGTGTCAAGGCCTCCAAGGGGCATGATATGCATTCAAACGGTGTTTGTTCAAATTAAAATCTATGTGAAGGGAAACTATACATTTTTGCTTGACCTGTATTGATATGAGATGATGGGAAAGAGTGGATTAAATAGAAATAAACCTTGAATTACTAGTATGTATATATGATGATATTGGTATGTTACAGGACGAGTATGAAGAGATTGATACAGTTTACACTGAAGAGAAGAAACAGCTTCATGAATTAGAGGAACGCTTCAAAACTCTTGAAGCTGAGTACCAGCAGATCATGGAAGAGCGCCGTCTGGCTAGGGAGCGTAGAGAAGCTGCTGAAAGAGAGCTTGCGCTCATGGTCAAAGCATCAACAACCATCCAGGCATTCTGGAGGTCATTCAAGGTCAGGAAGGCTCTCAAGGCTCGCAAGAAGAAAGGTGGAAAGAAAAAGAAATAAACTTATAAAAAAGTGTCTGCATTTGGTCTTTAAAAAGACCTATGATATAGTTTTATAAGTTTTATTTGATTGTGCATTTTTTTATTATATTCATCTCACAGTGAATGATAGTCTTAATTATGAAGAAGATATATAAGAAGTTATTATGTAAATATGTTTTGTCTGTGATAAAATAACAAAAAAAATGAAATTCTTTTATCTGTTGTAAATAAATTCTCAATCCAATTCAGATCTTTATGTTAAAAAGAGCATGATTGTTTGCAAATCATTGTTTCACCTTCAGTAGTGACTTGTAGATATATGATAGTACTATTTTCTGCACCTTTCTGGCTGTATCCATATTAACTGCAAGTAAGTCTTGGTCATGAGCAATTTGAATAAATACAATTCAGAAACCGGACGTTTAAGGTATGACAATTGACAAGAGTTCAGAACAAGCTTATAACTTGATACTTGTACACTGTGTACAATGATATTAGCATAAGTCCTGATCAAATAGTTAAAATAAAAACAATATACCTTTTCCTTTGCTAACTTTCTCATCATCATAGTGTTTGTAATCTCCGTTTACATTTGTTATTGTTGATGGTAGCTCTAGCGTATGAAGTTGACACCATTTGTGTTAAGAAAATTTATACAACTGTGTTGCAAATTTTCAATCCAGAAAAAAAGACATTTAAAAATTGTATTTGGAAATTTTCAATGAAGAATACTAGTAAAGTATATAATAATAGTGAAAAAACTTTATGAAGGTGAATGCTTAACTATTTTACGATTGTTTAAGAGTTTTATAAAGTATTATGTGATATAAATTTGTTACAAAGTTCTGTTATATCTGTAAGCCTAATAAATTATTATCATAATAAAAGTATGTAGTGTTTTTCTTGTGAACTTAGTAACAAAACATTTGTATGCCCATACTTGAACCATCAGTCCAAGCAAACCAGAGGGCAATTGTCTGTATTGCTGGGTACTTCGCCTTATTGGGTATTTTTAACAAAATAAGTATAATTGTCATCCCATATGAACATGTATCAGTCAGGGGGATGCACATATACCATTCTGTAATTGTAGAAACTAACTCAAGCCAACCTCAAGTGAGCTCGACAAATATTGACCTGTTGTATGGTTATATACAATTAATGTCTAATAACTTTCCATCATTCCTTATAAAATGGTAAAAGCCATACCTTCCAATTTGCTTTTTAATAAATCCATTGACAGCACTTTCCCTTTATTAATTTCCTTTACATACAATTATTGAAAAAATATAGATAAAAATCAATAAAAATTAACCATAAATGCTTAAAAATCAATAATTTTGTGTATGCTGACACAAGAGTTGTTCCCCTTTTAAGATACTAAGAACAGCTATTACAAGCTTCTGCTCAAGTTAAATCTTGATTTAGTTTCTTATTAAATGAACAAATCAGCGCTGAAAAAAACACACTTTCTCTACAACAGTACTCACAATTACCTTGTTTTGCCATTACCATTTGTTTACATGCTTGGTAATGATTATTAATTTTCAGTCCTGTACAGCAAACTCATAATCCGTCATTTTAAATTTTGCAATTGAATTCATATTTATTTTTTTACTACCCTGGTATATTGAATATAGTTGCAAGCACATAGATGACACAACATTATAATTGTCATAATACCTGTATCATTATAATATCTGAATCATTATCATGTTAATACTTGTACATAAGCCATTTTGAATTCAAAATTTTGTTGGAACTACATGTGCAGGGGCGTCTGCATGTGGCCCAGTGGTTAAGGTCATTGACTTCAAATCATTTGCCCGATACTGTAGTGGGTTCAGATCCCAACAGGGGCATTGGATTTTTTTCATGTGAGAAAGCTATCCAGCTCGATTATGGAATGTCAGTGATTACCTGAAAATGCCTGAAATAAAGCACTGAGGGGCACCCTGATGTCTTTCTCCACCAGTAAAGCTGGAAAGTCACCATATGACCTTGACTGTGTTGGTGCCACATAAAACACAGCCGAAAAGAAGAACAACAAACTACATGTAGAATGATGGGACTATAAGAGCTAGAATATTTCAGTCTGTCACAATGGAGTCCAACATGGGTAGTATTAAAATTAAATTTATTAGCAGCAAATCCATGTGAAACTTTCAATATACATTATTATGAAAAATATAACAGAATATGATAGAATTTACTATTTCTGAAACCAAATTGACAAATTCATGTTAGTAATGGAGTAAGAGAACTTACATAATAAGTTATATATGTAGTTCACTTCTGTGGATAGAAAATACCTACAAAAGGCTAGATTTAATCACTGATTTAATTCAAGTGATAACATTTTAACCCTAGAACAATTGTCATAACAATAACGCAACTCTTAAGACATACTGCTACAGTGCCACCTGGACATGAATTACTAAATTTAATACAGAAGACAAAAGTATGTTTCTTCTAGCTGTATATACACATGCATATAATGTACAATCTTTAGTTTGAAATACAGTGCTTTGCAACATTCATCTGAACTCTTTAAATAAATATCGTTTACACCACTGGACTTATTTAAACAGAACATTACAGTGTTGAATTGTAAATATTTATTTCATTTTATTAACAAGTTTAAACTAGAAAATGCTGAGAAAATGTCTTTTTAATGTTTTTTTTTATTTCAATTTACCTATAGATTTCTACCCTGAATATTATTTTCTATTTACAGATTGTTTTGATGTCTCTGGTTTTTTTTTTCTGTACCTTGAACTAGATTCATTTTCATTTACTAAGTTGTTAAATTTCTCACTGTGAAGTCTACACTCTCATAAGAATCACCAGTATTGAATGGTCGTCATAAACAGAAATTTAGGCTACAGTTAATAGAATGGTGACAAATGACTGTAACCCAGAGCTGTCACAGCTGTTCACTAATAAATTCTTTTATATAATGTAAGTCTATCTCTAATAACTTTTTACTGCTATCGTTACGAAGTTTTTTCACTTGTTAGATTTTCATATTGTTGCGGAGTGAGGGATTTTATCTGGAATGCATGAATCTGTTTCATCTCTTCTTCTACTGCAGAATTTATCAGTCTAAAAAGAAAGAATATCATTATTATCATATAATATCAAAACATTATTAAATGAATACTGGAAAAAAAAGGAAGAATGCTTTATGGCAATGAATAGACACTTGTAGGTTAACATCAAAAACAACTAGATCAGTTAATTGAGTCTCTACATGATAAATATTGATAAAGCACAATATATCTCATAACCCAAACACCAACTTATTCAATATTTGATTGTAAATATTAACAAAAGAGCAATGATGGTCCAAGAGCGCTCACCTGAGGTCAATTGCTAGAAAAGGTATTTTCTTAAGTTTTCAAGGCAGGAGGTCATTGAGTAACAATGCAGCAGTTATATTTTACCCGAGATTCTGATAAAGGCCCACTAGGGGATGCTAAATGTCAAACGTTTATAAAAGATTGTTTCCCCATTATAATAGCTCACTGTAACAAAATTATGTGATCCTGTGGTAGGACTAAGATTTAAACTCCAGGGCCAAAATTCACATAAATTTGATGGAATCCACTAGGCACTGTCACATGCAAAATATTTAAGATCTAAGACATGTAATTTCTTAGTAGAAGATTAAAATGCATTTTCCTATGTAAGTCTATGTGTATGTAAACTAAATGACTGCAATGGGCTTGGTCAATTTCAACAACAGAGACACCATATATCTTTGTAGAGGATAAGTTGATGCTACATGCCAAATGTATTTAAGCCTTGGGCATTGCAGTTTCTAAAAATAGGATATTAAAGTTTCATTTTAAAGCCTATTTACAGCTCCTGGGACCTTCTTATGCATCTGACTACAAAATTTTTGAAGCGGGTCACCTATGGATAACTCTAGTGCAGTTTGGTCAAAATCCACTGTTTGTTGTTTCAGAAGAGATGTTGTTTATTGAAAGAAATTGTAGATAACTTAGGACAACATGCCATTACAAGAGCTCACATCTTATGGAACGCCGGGACTGTCTTATGCTATCAATATTTTTGCTATCTTCTGAAATGATGATATTATTTTGTCATTTAAGCATATTAACATGTGCAATGTACATCATATCTCGTCTACAGACAATGCTGACTTGTTCAAACAGCATGTTAACTTGTCAGCTAATCATTATGACATGTGCAGACAACATGTTAACTTGTCAAAGTATCATGATGACTTGTGCAAACGACATGTTAACTTGTCAAAATATCATGATGACTTGTGCAAATGACATGTTAACTTGTCAAAATTTCATGATGACATGTGCAAACAGCATGCTAACTTGTCGAATTATCGTGATGACATGCTCATAATACCTTAACAAGTTAACATGTGTTTTGCACAAGTCATCACGATTCTTTGACAAATTAACATGTTGTTTGCACAAGTCATCATGATAATTTGACAAATTAACATGGCATTTGCACAAGTCATCATGATACATTGACAAGTTAGAATGGAGTTTGCACAAGTCATCACGATACCTTGACAAGTTAACATGCTGTTTGCACATGTCATCATGAAATTTTGACAAGATAACATGTCGTTTTCACAAATCACCATGATACTTTGACAAGTTAGCATGTTGTTTGCACATGTTATCACGATGATTTGACAAGTTAACATACTGTTTGCACATGTCATCATGAAATTTCATGAAATTTTGACAAGTTAGCATGGCATTTGCACAAGTCATCATTATACTTGGACAAGTTTACATGTCGTTTGCACAAGTCATCATGATACTTTGACAAGTTAACATGCTGTATGCACATGTCATAACGATAATTCGACAAGTTAACATGCTGTTTACACATGTCATCATGGAATTTTGACATGTTAGCATGGCATTTGCACAAGTTATCATAATACTTTGACAAGTTAACAGTACGTTTTGACATGTCAGCATGATACAAGATAACATGTCATTTGCACAAGTCATCATGATTCTTTGACAAGTTCACATGTTGTCTTCACAAGTCATTCATGGTAATTTGACATGTTAACATGCTGTTTACACAAGTCATCACGATACTTTGACAAGTTAACATGCTGTTTGCACATGTCATCACAATAATTCGACAAGTTAACATGACGTTTGCACAAGTCATCATTATACTTTGACAAGTTAACATGGCGTTTGCACAAGTCATCATGACACGTTGACAAGTTAACATGCTGTTTGCACATGCCATCACAATAATTCGTCAAGTTAACATGTCGTTTGCACAAGTCATCATGATACTTTGACAAGTAACCGTGTCATTTGCACAAGTCAGCATTATACTTTGACAAGTTAACATGTTGTTTGCACAAGTCATCACGATATTTTGACAAGTTAGCATGTTGTCTGCACATGTCATCATAATAATTTGACAAGTCAACATGCTGTTTGTACAAGTCAGCATGTTCCTTTGACAAGACATGATATAAATTGCACTTGTTAACACGCTCAAACGACAAAATAATATCATCGTTTCACAAGATATAAAAAACATTGATTACATAAGACAGTCACGGCGTTCCATAACATCTGATCACTTTGTGTTCAGGTGAACTAAAAAACCATTTGAATCAATGGTCTCTAAGGACTAGAAAGGAAAAAAAATTAACAACAATGAGACTGATGAAGTACACTTTTCTACAGAACACCTGCTGACATTGTTGTCAATATTACAAAGTTCTGTCATTATAAGAATATTATTTACTTTTGAATAATAGAAATACCAGTTCAAGTCTTAAAGGCCCATTATGCCTCAGAAATGCTATCATTTTTATTTCACAAAGACTTCAAATTTTTGGTATCTTGTTACAGATTCTAAAAAGAACTCATATAGATGAACTATCTTTGCTTCTTTTGCTTTGTTGGCCATTGGTATATTTATATGGAAGTCAAAATACTTCTTTTGTTTATATTTTGCTACCTTTAGGACACATTACTGCACATTCAGCCCTACTTTCTTTAGCTGTTAAACAACTAACATTCTCTAAATCCATTAGTAAAACATTATTCAACACATGTTTGACATTTCTAAAGACTTGAATAAATATAGATTTCCGAGGCTTAATGTGGCCTTAAATAAAAGAAATCATCTTCCTGTATAAAGGCTAGCCATAACTAATCAACTAAGGAAAAGAACAACTTTTTAATGAAGAATAAAAATTAACTTTATATAATCAACAAACCTGTGTCTTTGTAACAGCGGCATTCCTTCAAACTTTGGAGAAACTACAAGTGCTTGAAATTTCGCACCACATCCATCTGATGTATCAGTTATCTTCTGAAAATACAACCAAGATTAACAGACGAGGTCAACATAGAAGTAGAAGTAGAAGAAGTATAGCTTACTTGCACATTTTCAACACAGGGTCTGTGAATCGGTGCACAATGATTTGTCATAAGGCGCACTTGACTATGGTGGCTGTTTTGTGCCATGTAGTATTTTTGCTCTGCGAGGGACAGACTTAAACACAACAAAGTCACCGATTTGTTGCACTTTACCTTTCGCTTTGCAGGGTGCCTGACACGCAGTGGAGCTGAAGTACAACAAAGTGGATACTTTGTCATATTTCCATGTTTTCGCCAGGCGCTTGTGGAATGAAAATACAACATGGCACAAATCAGCCACCATTCTTCACAGATACAACAAATAAAAGAAGTATAGACATTGAATTGGACATTTTAAAGAATGGACAATTTATAGAGATGGTAATATAAGGATTTGCCCCACTGACAATTTGCCCCATAATGACTCACCCACATGAGCGATGATTCGCCCCACTTTAAATTAAACATTCTTTTTATTCTTTTGCATTAAAAATGTTTATCAGGTTTGAGTATTTTTGCATTTATTTGGTATACTTTTTACATTGATTTAAAGATTTATTAAAAATTATCAGTTTAACAGAACTATACAGTCTTACTAATTTTATTTGTATACTTTTTAAAAAAAATTTATGTAACTTTCACAGTTATAAGCATTAAATTTTACATTGAATGTTGTATATAAGTGAAAGTTGTTTAATTTACACATATTTACATGTATCTGTTTCTTATTAAAGCAGTCCAACTAATTGTACTGCGCAACGAGATATTGTGCTTTTTTTGTGTCTTGGCAATATCTCGCCTCTATGTTAAAGCGAGATTTTGCCCCAGAACGAAAATATCTCAGAATCAAGCTTTGGCCCGTCAAAATATTTAGACTACTTATTAAGGCAGATTGTTATACAGTGTTGACAATAGCTTGAATGGTATTTTCCAGTAATTCTATTTATGCTAACATATATGTTATGTTGTTTTAATGTTGATAAACCAAACAGTTAAATATGTTATGTTGTTTTAATGTTGATAAACCAAACAGTTAAATGATCAATTTCTCAGTTCTTTAAGATAGATACCAAAACAAACATTTAATGTTCTCATTTTTAAATTTTGATAATAGAAAGGATGCTTTAAACAATTCTTTTAAAGTGAGGCAAATCATCACTAATCTGGGGCAAATCATCACTTAATTTGGGCCAGAAGTTATGGGGTGAATTGTCGTTTGGGCGATTCATTATTAATTCATAAAAATGAATTTCTGACTAAATAATAATTAATGATATTGTTGTTTAATGATAATTGTTTATCTACATGTACCTATTATCATGACCGCTTCTGTTCTTAAAAATCAACAAAGAGAATATTTTACTTCACAAATATACCAAAACACACATTTAATCTTATCATTTCTTAAATTACCCAGGTACTTTTTATAATGATAAAGATTATTTACAAATGTATGTGGAAGTGGGGCGAATTGTCACTAATCATCAATAAAGTGAGGCAAATCTTTATGGGGCGATTGTCAGCTCTGCCAATCAATGCATTACATTATGTCTCGGCTATTTTACAAGAGAACAGAACTTGGATTATTGATAGCTAAAAGTTGACAATACATAGAGGATATTCAAGTTTTTTCTATAAATACATGATTTATTTTCATTGAGTGGTATGAAAATAAATATTTCACGAGTGGCGGTAGCCACGAGTGAAATATGGTAATTTTCATGCCACAAGATGAAAATAAATCATGTATTTATAGAAAAAACTTGAATTTTCTGTTTATTATATACATTTTTCTCTTTTTTGATATTAAAATTTGAAAGATTTTCCTGTACTGGCAGAATTTAAAAGAAAGTAGTCCGGCAAGACACCAGTGAAAATACGGAAAATATGTTTCACTGCAGTGAAAAATAAATTTTTACAGTGAAAATACGGAAAATGAAAATACGCATTTTATTTCATCAATATTTCTCAATATTTCATTTATAAGTATATAATAAACTGTTTATCTACATCAAGTTACAACTGATCAAATTTATTCAAAGAATTTATATGTAGATACCCAGTGGATCTATGCAATATTACTGCATTTTAATATTTTTTTAACACAGACCAGTTAACTATGTGAAAGCAGATCTAAATGTTTAAAAAAAAAGTGGATTTCATTTTCATGACATGTCACAGATCCATTCAAAATTAAACAATATTTAAAATGGTAGACAGACGTTTCACTATTTGAGACGGTTCACACCAAGACGTTTCACTACGGAGTGAAATGTCTTCAAGACATTTCACTCCTTTTTTGTACTAATATTATTCTGATACTTGTGATATACTCATATAGACCTTGGATTTAATTAAAATGAATTTAAAGGGGGATTTCGCTTTTTGTCAATGATTTCAAACTCAGTACTTTATGTTTTTATATCATAATTAGTTCAGACTTTTGTTTTAATTGATTTTTTCTATGTTATTCTATTATCCCTTAATTCATTATAAATTGAATTTTCTCATGTTGTTACTCTTAGTCTTATAATAAAAATTTATCTTTCATTTAAACCTCTTATCATTCAACCCATAATTAAATGATAATCTTCTAATAATTCATCATACCTGTTAGTCCTGTATGTCCTCATTGAAACCAATGTATTCACTCCTAATAACAGGAATTATTCAAAATACCGTTTAAACAGAACAAAATTCACTTTTCTGAGCTGATACTATACTGTATAGTTTTTATTATTTACACATTCTGTAACATTACTTAAACTGATATTAATATTGTGTTAACATTCATAAATTCTTATTAACAATACCTTCAAAATCAATAAAATGAAACATTTCATTGAATATCCTTTTAATAATAAAAATAAACGACAAACAAAAATGGGAGTGAAACGTATAAACAATTGACAAAGTGGGAGGTGTGAATTGTCTTGGGAGTGAAACGTCCCAATAGTGAAATGTCTTGGGAGTGAAAAGTCTGGCATTCATTTAAAATGAATTATTGTTGGATCAAAAATATAAAAAGACCCTTTTGACTCAGCCATACCACATGTGTCACTTCAATACAACTTTTTATCTTCTCTTCCAATACATCTGTAGTTATAACCATTTTTGTAAACTGGTAAATTAACTGGTAAAGTGAAAGTACACCTCAGTTAGTAAAAAATACGACACATTATTCTCACGATTCACCGAAAGACGGAAATGAGCGGACAATTCAAATATTTATGAAATGATAAACAAAGAATTCACTTGTAGAAATAGCTAGGCAGTTTGACTGCATCTCATTTATGTCATTTTTGATTGATGAAGGTAACATAGTTGGTTTTAAAACGTAAACTTTTCATGGATTTGTGATCATGTTTAATTGTTATGGTCCGACTTGGACTTTGTTGTTATTTTTTTTGTAGATCTAGATCTATTCATTACTCAGTTCCTTTGATATCACGGGTTCTATGATATTACAGTATTTTCATTTTCTGTGACTGCATGTAAAAGCAACACATGTTGATAATACTTTTCTTAAAACTGTGACACTAAATCACATCTATAACATAGATCTGCCAATAAATTGATAATTTTTAATTTTGTGAATAATGAAAAGAACTGCAATAAATTTCGGGCAGATCTACAGTCTTGGAAAAGGATCACTTATTAATTAGAAATAAAATCTCATTCATTTTTTAGCAATCAGGTCAACTTGTTTGTGGTCAACTCGTCCCTTGGTCAACTTGCTACTTTTGGTCAATTTGTCCCGGTCATGACTAAATAGATCTAGTAAAATACAGAATATTAATTCATATTTGCGAATATGAACGCGAGTACGAAATATGAATATAATTTTCTTAAAATCAGCTCTTGTGTGATTATTTACGTCAACAGAGACTATTAATTACTTGTGTCATATGTATTTTAATGAAAGAAAATAAATTCTGATCTTTTGGTTGTAAATTAATTACTGTGACCAAAAAGTTATCTGAATCAATATGAACGAGAATGACGAACATGAACCTAACTATTTAAACAGTATATAAAATAGCTTTAAATATACTGCATTCATTCATTTTTTTATCAATTCATTAATGTATTATATTGCTTTTGAAACACATAAAGGTACTTAAGACTTTTTCTGAACTAAAAATCGGAACGTTTTGGTAAAGAGCCGAACTTATTTGGGAAATTTGGGGCTGAAATGACTCGAAATCCACTTAAAGGAAAGTGTTGATATACATGACAGTCAGTTTCTTTAGAAATTTATATATAAACATAATATACAGAACCCAGTGTCAGTTAATACAAATTCAGTATTTGATTTGATACTCAATGTCAATGATTCTTATTTAACTTTCTTTTTATGTGCCTGTCTGTTGAGCATAATAATGAAAATGTTTCAACAATTAAAACAGCATGCCTCCATATTCATGTTGAAATTTGAAAATGTATTTAAAAATAAAATATTGTGAAGTGAACAAAGAAAGTAATTTACACATTGCAAACACTTTTTGAAACAGCATTTACAATCCAAGTAAAATTAAAAAAATAACAAAAAGACAATTTAAAGTGGGCAAAATATGCAAAAATAGCATAGACTAAGAAATATGGTGATAAATAATGTAAAATCAGTCATTAATTATACATAACATGTAAATTATTTCTTGAATTTTGAATCTTTTTACTTTTCTTAAAATCTTAGTATATTATTCTCAAGTTTAATTATCTTGAAATATTTTGGCTCATGTGGCGGCATGCAGCTTTAAATTGCTTATCAATAGTATCATAAGGTAGTTATTATGTTTAACTTTTAACTCATATTTATTATATGTATGCCTGAAAAAATTTCGGGCATATATTATACCCCCTGGCGTCCGTCCGTTAGCAATTTGGTTTCAGGAGCATAACTTCCATTTGGCACACAATATACAAACTTCATAGGTTGATTGTCCATATCGGGTAGAAGACCCCTATGGATTTTGGGGTCACAAGGTCAAGGTCACTATTACCTTAAAACTGAAAACAGTTTCCGGAGCATAACTTAAGTTCCATTTGGCCCACAATATTCAAACTTCATAAGATGATTGTCCATATTGGGTAGAAGACCCCTATTGATTTCGGGGTCACAAGGTCAAAGGTTAATATCAAATGACCTTAACATTGTTAACAGTTTTACAACTGTCAAACTTCATAGGATGATCACTTATATTGAGTATATTAATTATATGCCCTAAAAAATTTGCTTATATTATGTTATACCCCTGGCGTCTTTCAATCCATCCGTCGTAGCATTCTTACTTACAAGATAACAACTTGATGTTGGTGCTTTGGAAACAGCAACTGTATATATATGAAGGTTCTTCAGCTTTAAAGAAGGATTGCTTTTTGAAGCAGTTAATACTTTATTTAATTCCCATGTCTTACAAATGCTTCATCCTAAAAAAACAGTTTCCGGCATATAATGCTCCTCCTAGCGGTGCTCTCGTTATTTTACATTTCCTTACCATTATTATTTTTATTTTTGTGAAAATAGATAGCAAACAAGAATGGATGACTCAGCAATAGAAAATCGTATAAAGTTGTTAGATGACCTGGTACAGAGTAAAGTGGATTGTGATGATAATACAGTGAAGACGGCTCTCGTTGCTAGAGATGGTTTATTTGATGCTTTACTAGTCCTCGTAGATGAATGCGCTAGATACAAACATAACAAACATGTTGCTGCTTTCTTAAAGAAATGTAATCATTTATAAAATATATATCACATCTTCTTGCTCTACATGTACATGTCAGATCACTCTCAGGGTAGGTTCATATACTACCTCATCAGGGATGAGCCATTGTTTCCTAGGGCAAGAAACTTTACACTCATTGCTCAGTACTGGTTGGTTCCAGGAACAGATCCCAGAGTGTATAAGCTATAAGCTTTCTACATAATCAAATTAAAATAAATTCTGTACAAACCAATATATGTATATGTTTTTGGTACATGTAGGTGTCATTTTCATGTTAGACAAGGCAGATTGTTTAATAAGTTACTGAAAAGTCATAATTTTCTTTAGAGAAAATAAAAGGTTATTCATTGATTAATACATTCTCATATTATGTATGATTTTAGTATAATTAAGTGTAATTCTATAGATGTAGTAATGGTGCCACTGTGCATAAATCTAAACTTGTTGACTGATAAGAATAAAATAAAATTATCTTCTAAGATTGATTCTTTAGCAGCTACAGTAAGCTTCAGCTTATAAAGTGAACAAAACTTTTAAACCATTTCAGATGAAAGCACATTGAAGGAGGTACAGAGATTGAAAGTTAGTGCATCAGATTTTGAGGTTAAAAATGTTATAGGAAGAGGTCATTTTGGAGAGGTACAGGTGGTCAGGGACCGACATACAGAGACAGTTTATGCTATGAAGACATTGAGGAAACAAGAAACACTGGCTCAATCAGAGGTTATCAAGTCACTTTGATATCAAATTTTTACAAAACATTTTGATATTGATAAAACATAAAATTGACATTGACCTTTCCAAATATAGGTGTTCATAAGATTGCAATGCTGCTATGAAAATGTAATTGTTATATGTGTTTATTTGAATGTTTGTTTTTTAAATGTCTCAGATATCATTTTATGAGGAGGAGAAAGAGATCATGGCTCATGCTACCAGTCCATGGATCACTAAGCTACACTACGCTTTCCAGGATGCTCATACATTGTACCTGGTGATGGAGTTCCATGCTGGCGGTGACTTGCTCTCATTACTGGGCAGACATGATGATGTTTTTGAGGAGAGGATGGCCAGATTTTACCTCGCTGAAATTGTGCTTGCTACTCATGATCTTCATCTAATGGGATATGTTCATAGGTAAATTGTATGATACAGAATATGATTTCTTTTCAAGTTTTGTTTCTATATAAACAAAATCTGATGAAGGGAAATAGCAGGCTTGTGATTCAGAGAACATATGAGCAACCAGTATTAGCTCACAGATTTTGTTACTATTAGCCTTAGGTGTTTATAGAAATAAAAAAAAGTAAAATGAAATAACAACATGTACTGTTAAGCTGGTTATACTGTCAAGTTTTACAAACAATCGTACAAAGTTACTTTCTAAACCTTTAAAAACCTGTGGCTTTGCAATTGGGAAAGTAAAGGCAACATTTCCAAAGTTAATGAAATTAAAATATTTAAAATGTTTTCATCGGATAAGAATATTAAAACAACACATTTGTAAAATTCATTAAAATCAATTTGTAAATATATTATCATGGGAAGGTTTCAATAATAAAGTAACAGAGCTTTATCAATTTTCAGATAATTTTTAAGGCACTTTTAATTTTTCAGGGATCTTAAACCAGAGAATGTTCTTTTAGACACTCGAGGGCATGTGAAACTTGTAGACTTCGGTTCAGCTGCAAAACTCTCCAGTAATGGTTATGTAAGTTGATATGTCCGAATCAATTAATTGTTCGCTAATTTCTATTTTCAGTTCAGCTATTTGAATAACTCAAGAGAATATCATATCTTAAATATTTGACTATTTTGATATGTTTCAAATCATAAGTTGGCGAATTCAACAACAAATTAATTCTGTATTAATAAAATCCAATATGGCCACTAATTTCAATCTGAAGAATATCATGGTCATGTTATGTTTATAAAGTAAATATTTTTACAAAAAATCCTAAATTGCAAATTTGGCAAAATAAGCAAAAATGAATCCTGAACGAATATAATTTTGATTTTACAGTATATTTACTGGTAATAATTTTTTTGTATCAGGTATCATCAAAGATGCCCGTAGGAACACCAGATTATGTTTCTCCAGAGCTACTGAATGCCATGAATAATGATGTAGTGAACAGTTACGGTGTTGAGGTGGACTGGTGGTCACTCGGTGTCTGTATGTATGAGATGTTGTATGGGAAAACACCGTTCACTGATGACGCAGGTTCAATGGTCGCCACATATTCTAATATCATGAACTATGAGGTAGACATTTATTTCCTTACAAATTTCATTCTTCTTTATTTATCAGAATGATTGAAACTGGGCATGATTAGAAAATTTTTCAATGTTTTGCGTTCATATGATGATTTTTTTCTATTATATATAGTCATATGCCTGACACTATATATCCTGCAAAGGGAAATTTAATTTAGGTTTTGGAAAAGAAAAAAAATTGTTATAAGTTGCAGTTTTAGAGTAACTATCCTGTTGGAAAATGAATGAGTCAGTTTTGTTTAGACATTTGTTATGGTTTGCACTTGATAAAACAACTTAAAGTGATACTGTTATATTCTTTTATTATTTTTTTAGGCATATTTGAAGTATCCTCAATCAATATATATATCATCAGCAGCTAAAAGTTTGATGAACAAGCTTTTAACTGACACAGATCATAGACTGGATTACCAACAAATCAGGAAACAAGCTTTCTTTGATAAAATAGACTGGGATAATATTAGAAATGGTATTAAATTGAAAACTTCTTAAGATTTGATTTAGTAAGAAGAAGAATATAAACTTTTGTAATTAAATTTTAATATTGAACAGTTTTCTAGTAAGCATATAGAACCAATATTTTGATACATTTAACAGGTACTTATTCAAATGAATTCTAAAATATTAAAAGAAAAATTGATAAATATATAAATTCTAGATTTAACAAGGTTTAGATTTGCAGAAGTTTTATTTGACTTAATAGAACAAATTTCAGATAGGTATAACATAATTTCATACCCGTAACCATTGAAAAAAGGGCTGGAAAAGATAAATACAAATATTGCTGTGAATAGATGTTTATAGGTATGACATGCTTATCTTCCTACATGTTAGGCTTTGATTAATATTATATAAAATCAGTTGAGTAAAGAACTAATGCTTTTCTTAGCTTTCGACATTTTGTTTTCTTCAGAAAAAAAATATGTTTATAAAATAACAGTTGAATTACATTGTAAAACATTAAGAAAGGCATAGTTTATATGTATGAATTAATTATGTTACAGAGACTGCACCATTTGTGCCTCACCTAGAAAGTCTGGATGATACATCAAACTTTGAGGAGTTTGAGAAGATAAAACATCCTCCAGTGTATGATGACCACAAATATGATAGAGACTTCTCAGGCAAAGATTTACCCTTTGTAGGCTTTACCTATACTGAGAATAAACCAGCTGATAAGTAAGCTTATCTATATATAATTGATAGACAAATAAAGTCTTTGCACTTGTGAAATTATTAATTATTCTCAGGCCTAACATGTGGTTAATGTTTGAATGATTAAATAAGCTGTAAAACCAATAAAAAATTTGTGAATTATTTTTTTTTTATTTCTTTTTTAAGTCATTGCTTTCAAAAATACATATTAGATATGTAAAAAATATTAAAAAAATTTGTATTCTTAAAGAACATAGGAAATACATTATTAGATTAGATTTTTATTATGATATTTACTATAACAGAAAGGACTTCTTTTTTCAGAAGAAAATCAAAGAATAGCATTGATATTGATGCATCAGTTAGTATGTCTAAGCGACGCTCTGGTTCGGGAGCAGATCTTACCTTGACTGTAAAAATATCTGAGATGAAGAAACTTAGAAAGAAATTTAATAGGCTCAGATCAACAGTAGAGCAGCAGAAACTGTCACTAGAAGATAAAGAAGAAATGATAGAAAAACTTGAGCTTGAGAGTCAGAACTACATAGCTAAAACTAATGTGAGTAAAGTCTGAAATTTGTATATCAGCAAACTAATTTAAGTGAGATCTCCACTTTCCAGAGAATTATATTTCATAGGCCTGGAGTTCTTTTAATGTCCTCCACAGAAAATATGTTCAAAATAGTCAAATTTCCCTATGATGAAAATCTTAAATAAAAAAAAAAAAATGGTAGATTCTCAATTATTAGGTTGGGAAAACATTATTGGAATTGGTGTCAAATGGCATAAAATGTATTGTAGTACCAATACACAACAAATTAATGTTCATTATCAATGGCTCAGGCTTTCAAATTTGAAATCACCATTTAGCTAATCTGTTACAACTTTTTCTTCCTTTTTTTAATGATGGCTGTTGAGTGGTATCAATATTTTATATTTAGCTTGTAAAATTAACATTTTTTATCCCATACAGCGTTTAAGCAAGCAGGTAGAAGTGCTAGTAGAGGAGCGTGTTGCCACTGAATCAAAAACAGAACAATTGTTGGGAGAGTTCAATGACATGCAGACAGATGCAAAACAGATTGAGGAAAATTTACATCAGCTACAGCTAGAAGAGTTACAGGTACCATACTTATAGTTCACTTTCACCACCAATCACCTTGTTTAGCCATTTCTTTCAAATTTCCCTAAATCATATTAAATTTCTGAAAACGTCAGATGAAGTGCCAGTGGTGGCAGAAAAAATACCTTAATAATAACCTTTAGAAAAAAATAAGATCTTTATGAATACAGCCCCTGGCATTAAAAATTAGGTTAGAAATTTCTGCCTAGAAAAGATTGGTGTTGGCATAAAGATGACATATTACAATAACTGCAGTCATCAACATCAAAATGTTATTATAATTTATATGAGTGTGGACCGTATGTTTGCTTATTCTTTAGAAGAGAGGTACATAGTAAATAAACGTTATGTGTTGGTGTATCCATTTTCCCAAGTTGTCTCCCTTTCATGTACATGAAAATACCCTTTTTTCAACACTTGCTAAATGGTTAGGTGTGTTTACCAAACACATGTTCTTGTTTTCATAAACTATTTAATATCTGTATTCAATTTAGTAGGGAAAATATTAAACTTTAAATTTAATTATCTAAAAGTTACAATATATCCTTGATCATGAAAATATATTTCAAATATTATAAATTTATCAACATGTATGTTGTGTAGTATATAGATATGGACTATTTTGAGTATAGGATGTGATAGTACAGTTGGAAGAAGAGAAGAGTGTATACATGAGGAAGTTAGCAGGACGAGATAAACAGATAACATCATACCGGGAACAACTAGAGACCAGTCAGAAACAAGCTGCTAATTTACAGTTTAGACTAGATAAGGTTTATACCCATGTTATTATACCTTCTCATATACAGCTGAAATAACATTTTCCACCGTGACATTTTCTGATTTGTCATCAGCAAAATACTTTGAGCAACTCTTTGTGAACATAGACAATTCCTATTTATTATCATGTTTCATGTAATAAAAATACTGATCTATCTTTATAAAATCTTACTGAAAAGTGTTTTACATTGGTCAAGCCACTAACATTTAGTCAAAGATTTTGTATACATGTACTTGAAATATCTTCAGACTTTGTTTGTTTTCACAATTCTATAGGAGAGACGAAAGTCCAGGGATGATCAGAAACGAGATTTAGTATTGCTAGAAACAAGGGAGGATAAATGGAAAATCCAGGTTGAAGACAAAAATGCTGAAATATCTGATCTTAACAAAAGAATTCTGGTATAGTATTGCTAAAGTTATTTTTTACAAAAACAATAAATTATTATTTCCAGTGAAAGTACATGTATAATGTCTAGTTATGTCAATATAAAATGCATTATTGCTTATGATAGATTGTTCCAGTTCACACCATTCTAATGTTATTATGCTCCCCGAAAAATTTCGGGGGAGCATATAGTCGTCCGGTTGTCAGTCCGAGCAAACATTTGATTATTATGAGCTTCATTCCGTAGTTAAATAAAGAACAAAAACTCATAAAATTCAAATTAAGAGCTATTTTTGTGTCGCCTCTACGGAGTAATGGCGACATATAGGGATCACTTCTCCATCGTCTGTCTGTCCGTCCGTCCGTCCGTCCGTCCGTCACAAAACTTGTCCGGACTACTCCTCATAAACTACTGGTGCAATTTCATCCAAACTTTACAGGAATGATCAGTACCAAGTCTAGTTGTGCATATTGTCAGCATTTTCCAGTTCAATGATTTTTGTCAGAGTTATGGCCCTTTAATAATTTTTAATTTTAAAGTTTGTCCGGACTACTTCTCTTATACCACTAATGCAATTTCAATGAAACTTTACAGGATTGATCTGTAGCTCAAGTCCTTGCGCATATTGCAAGGGTTTTCCGGTTGAATGATTTTTGGCCGAGTTATGGCCCTTTGATAAAAATGTTTCTTTTTCTGTGTGTTGCCAGATACACAAAAGCTTGTCCGGACTACTCCTCATACACTACTGGTGCAATTTTATCCAAAATTTACAGGAATGATCAGTACCAAGTCTAGTTGTGCATATTGTCAGCATTTTCCGGTTCAATGATTTTTGTTTGAGTTATGGCCCTTTAATAATTTTTATTTTTAAAGTTTGTCCGGACTACTTCTCTTATACCACTAATGCAATTTCAATGAAACTTTACAGGATTGATCTGTAGCTCAAGTCCTTGCGCATATTGCACGGGTTTTCCGGTTGAATGATTTTTGGCTGAGTTATGGCCCTTTGATAAAAAGGTGTTTTTTTTTCTGTGTGTTGCTAGATACGCAAAAGCTTGTCCGGACTACTCCTCATAAACTACTGGTGCAATTTTATCCAAAATTTACAGGAATGATCAGTACCAAGTCTAGTTGTGCACTGTCCGTCTGACTGTCCGTCTGTCACAAAATTTGTCCCAACATGAAATTGGCCATCATGAGGCGACACATGTGATTACTGATCGCTCTTGTTTTGTTTTTATGAGCTTATTTTGCTTATGGACGTTGGTCCAGGTGGTGTTTATGAGCTGATTTGCCTCATAAACATCAAAAGTTGGTACGTCCGTCCGTCAGTCCGTCTGCACTACCGAATAAGGATAGGGGGCCATCTAACTGTAAACAGAACAAAAGAGAACAATAGAGTTCATTCCGTAACAATAGAATAAGGGGCCATTGGCCCTCTATTAAACAATAGAAAATAACAAAAGAAATGGCCCCTTATTCCATTTCGGCCGGACATTTGATTATTATGAGCTTCATTCCGTAGTTAAATAAAGAACATAAACTCATAAAATTTAAAATTAAGAGCTATTTTTTGTTTTTATGAGCTTATTTTGCTTATGGACGTTGGTCCAGGTGGTGTTTATGAGCTCATTTGCCTCATAAACATCAAATTTTGGTAAGTCCGTCCTTACGTCCCAAATTCGTGTCCGGTCCATAACTTTGTTATTTGAAGTCGGATTTTAAAAATATTTCACAGAAATGATCACCATATTAAGACGACGTGTCGCGCGCAACATTTGGGTCGCTACCTTGAAGGTCAAGGTCACAGCATGACCTTGCAGCAAAATCGTGTCCGGCCCATAACTTTGTTATTTGAATTCGGATTTTAAAACTTTTTCACAGAAATGATCACCATATTAAGACGACGTGTCACGCGCAACATTTGGCTCGCTACGTTGAAGGTCAAGGTCACATCATGACCTTGCAGCAAAATCGTGTCCGGTCCATAACTTCGTTATTTGAAGTCGGATTTTAAAACTATTTCACAGAAATGATCACCATATTGAGACGACATGTAGTGCGCAACATTTGGCTCGCTACCTTGAAGGTCAAGGTCACAGCATGACCTTGCAGCAAAATCGTGTCCGGTCCATAACTTCGTTATTTGAAGTCAGATTTTTAAAATATTTCACAGAAATGATCACCATATTAAGACGACGTGTTGCTCGCAACATTTGGGTCGCTACCTTGAAGGTCAAGGTCACAGCATGACCTTGCAGCAAAATCGTGTCGGGCCCATAACTTTGTTATTTGAAGTCGGATTTTAAAACTTTTTCACAGAAATTATCACCATATTGAGACGACGTGTCGCGCGCAACATTTGGCTCGCTACCTTGAAGGTCAAGGTCACAGCATGACCTTGCAGCAAAATCGTGTCCGGTCCATAACTTCGTTATTTGAAGTTGGATTTTAAAAATATTTCACAGAAATTATCACCATATTGAGACGACGTGTCGCGCGCAACATTTGGGTCACTTCCTTGAAAGTCAAGGTCACAGCATGACCTTGCAGCAAAATTGTGTCCGGCCCATAAGGAATCATATTGAGATGACGTGTCGTGCACAACATTTGGGTCACTACCTTGAAGGTTAAGGTCACAGCATGACCTTGCAGGAAATTCGTGTCCAGCCCATAACTTTGTTATTTGAAGTCAGATTTTAAAACTATTTCACAGAAATGATCACCATATTGAGATGACGTGTCGCGCGCAACATTTGGGTTGCTACCTTCAAGGTCACAGCATGACCTTTCAGCAAAATCGTGTCCGGCACATAACTTCATTATTTGAAGTCGGATTTTACAACTATTTCACAAAAATGATCACAAATAATGAGACACTGTGTCACGCGCAACATTTGGGTTGCCACCTTGAAGGTCATGGTCACGGCATGACCTTGCAGCAAAATCGTGTCTGGCCCATAACTTCATTACTTGAAGTCGGATTTAACAACTATTTCACAGAGATGATCACCATATTAAATCCACGTGTCGCATGCAACATTTGGGTTGCTACAATGAAGGTCAAGGTCACAGCATGACCTTGCAGCAAAATCATGTCCGGCCCATAACTTCGTTATTTGAAGTTGGATTTTACAACTATTTCACAAAAATTATCATCATATTGAGACAATGTGTCGTGCACAACATTTGGGTTAATTTTACACTTTGAACTTTGTCTGTGACATGACTCTGACACTACAAGAGGTATACCTTCCTGTGTCCAAAACCTATTCGGGGAGCATCACCCGGTTCAACCGGCTCTTGTTTTCCCATAGCTTTTGATCTCTGATCTACATCATGGTGTTTAAAAAAAAAAAAAAACTTTCACCAGTACTGGGCTTCATATTTGGGTTGACTATTATTCTAAAAATCCTTCTTTATCCATCTTTATTGGTAATCTCTTTCCAAGTTCCATAACTGTATTGTATTTAAATGAATTATTTGGATTTCCCCTTTGCACAAATGTTTGATTTTTAAAGTTTTTGTGTGTTTCTGCTTCAAATTAAGGTATTCACTGAAAACTTCACACTTGATGGTCATAAAAATAGTTCACTATCAGCTATCAGTTTTAAGCATATAAAGCAACATAAATAGGAGGGAATATAAAACATTTGATGATTTTTATATATAAGTATATCTTTTAATCATAGGTGCATTAAGTAATGTAATAAGTAAGTAATAAGTAAGTAAAGTGTGTTTTTGATATTTAAGTAATTGTGTATATAATGACTGTGTTACAGGAGTTGGAAGATTTACTGGAGGCTTATGAGACACAGGAGAGCGAGTACATGCAACGAGAACAAGAGCTCCGCGAAAAACTGAAACACAGGGATAGTGATAGGAAAGATGTGGTATGTAATGTAATGTATAAAGATTTCTCAAATGTTCATCACTGTACATTCTGGTAGCAAATATTCTTTTAATAGAAACTTGGGTCTCTTTGGAATATTTATAGTATATTTGTAAACAGTGGAGGATAAAAGGCAAATAAAGAATATGTGTAAATAATAGACTTTTGAGCAGTCTGTGTCTAATAGATATTGTTTCTTCTTTTATTAGAAATGGACCCAAATGGTTATGAGGTTAAATTTAACTGACTCTGTGTAGACATTACCTTTCTTGTGTTAAAATCATCTACATATCACCTGCATGTATAATATCGTAAAATCTTAATATCTACCAGAATAAGTATATTTACTGTATTGACATTGACTGTAATATTTAAGGAAAAGTGCATTCTTTATGTATCTTAGAGCAAGTCGATAATTTTAGTAGCATTGGCTGATTTCTTAACGAAATTACAAATGTAAGCCATGCTCTGAAATCATTAGAAACATTCTAAACCAAGTACTATAAAACACTGAGATAACCAGAATTTTCTCTTTTTATTCATAAAACCTGAAAATGAAAGTGACAATATGTGCAAAATAATTCAAGGTAACATGTTCTGTATATATTTATAGGATATTAGAGTGATGGTACATACATCACCCTCTCCAAAGAAAGATCGAAGATACTCTGAAAAAATAAGGGTAAGTAACCACGATTATAACATGTTTAAAATCATAAAATTCAAATGACATTAGTATAGTTAATGCTAAAAAATTAAAGTAGGGACCTAAAGTAAATGGTATATTTTAACATCTTAACTGTCATTCTTCATCTTGTTGAAAATGGAGGTAACAGAAGAGCAGGTAGATGTGTCATCAGAGTTATAGATAAATGGTACAAAGGGTGATTCATTTCTATCTTACATAACTATTGATGAAACTTGGGGTCATCTAGGCCTATATGAACTAGATTCAAAACTAGATTCTATTATATGTAAAATACCAGTCTCCCACACACCATAGAAACCAAGCAAACTCTGAAGATGTGATGTTCTCAAAGTATATGTAAAGTTGTATTTGTTATATTTACACTAGGAATTGGAGGACAAGATTGAACAACAAGATAGAGAGAGAGCAAACTTTGAGAGTAAGGAGGAGGACTTGAAGGAAATTATAGAGGTAAAAATTAAAATGGTATATAACTAAGGTATATCAATGAATATCACTCTTGTTATACCCCCACAAACGAAGTTTAGGGGGGGTATATAGGAGTCAGCTTGTCGGTAGGTCCGTCGGTCGGTCCACATCATGGTTTCCGGACGATAACTAGAGTTTGGAATGAGGTATTGTAATCAAACTTGGTATTTAGCAACCTTATGTGGAAACTCCGGTTGGTATTGCATTTGGACCCCCTGGGGTCAAGGTCAAGGTCACTGTTACTAAAAATAGAAAAATGGTTTCCGGACAATAACTAGAGTTAGGAATGAGATATTGTTATCAAACTTGGCGTATAGCAAGCTTATATGAAGACCTGGGTTGGTATTGCATTTGGGCCCTCTGGGGTCAAGGTCAAGGTCACTGTTACTAAAAATAGAAAAATGGTTTCCGGACAATAACTTGACTTAGGAATGACATACTGTAATCAAACTTGGTGTATAGCAAGCTTATATAAAGACCTGTGTTGGTATTGCATTTGGACCCCCTGGGGTCAAGGTCAAGGTCACCGTTAGGAAAAATAGACAAATGGTTTCCGGACAATAACTAGAGTTAGGAATGAGATATTGTAATCTAATTTGGTGTAAAGGAAGCTTATATGAAGACCTGGGTTGGTATTGCATTTGGACCCCCTAGGGTCAAGGTCACCGTTACAGTGTTACTAAAAATAGAAAAATGGTTTCCGGACAATAACAAGAGTTAGGAATGAGATATTGTTATCAAACTTGGCGTATAGCAAGCCTATATGAAGACTTTGGTTGGTATTGCATTTGGGCCCCCTGGGGTCAAGGTCAAGGTCACCGTTACGAAAAATGGTTTTCGGACAATAACTAGAGTTAGGAATGAGATATTGTAATCTTATTTGGTGTATAGAAAGCTTATATGAAGACCTAGGTTGGTATTGCATTTGGCCCCCATAGGGTCAAGGTCACTGTTACAGTGTTACTAAAAGTAGAAAAAATGGTTACCTGACAATAACTAGAGTTAGGAATGAGATATTGTAATCAAACTTGGTGTATAGCAAGCTTATTTCCAGACCCCAGTTGCGATTACAATTAATTGAAATATTTCTTTGTACACAGTTGATAGTTTGTGTTCAAATTTTTCTTCAGACTACTTTTTTTTCAAAAAGTCAAAGTTGTTGGTGGGGGTATTTATCACCTTCAGTGATAGGTCTAGTTTGAATTGTTTTGTATTTTGAGCATTAAACATGAAATAAAACACTGACATTATTTATTGAGTACATGTATTATGTCATGAGAAAGGGAGTTTTTCATGTGAGCCTTGCTTAACAATTAGCATGCTTGATACTACAGTTGTGACCATTGCATACCAAGGTAAGCTAGCACATTTGTGCCATCTGATCATAATCTGCATCGTTCCTTATTCAGTCATTCCATGCTTTGAGACTTACCGTTAAAGAGGTGGTTTTGTCCAAATTGAAAGATGGACATTTTAATTTTAGATATTTTACATGGTATGGTTTAGTAATGTCTAGGGTACTGTCTGCACAAGTAAGGCTAGATCTTTACTGTTTTGGTATAATTGAAACCCCAACCAGAAGAGAAAAGAACAAATGTTGGTTATATTTGCAGAAATTAAAGAATGAGTTAATGACGAAGACAGAGAAAGCCAAATTAACAGCTGAGATGAAAGAGTCTATAGCAAACCAGGTACATGTGTACCAGGAAGAGGTGCAGCAACAAAAACAAATTATAAATGTAAGTTTTTTTATCTATTGTTGTTGTCAAGCAAATTTGGACGTTTCTTATTAAAAGTTGACAAATGTTCTTTTCATGAGTTTGAATTTGTGCAATCTAAGAACTTATCTGAAAACTGTAGTTTAAAATATATCATGATGTAATCACTAAAGATATATATACTGTATACTTCCTTGGTGTAAGCTGTTTTATATTTAATATTTAGTAACATTTGTTTTTCTTTTATGCAAGTTCAATGGACAAAATTTCAGTGTGAATGAAGAATAATTTTTTATCTGTAAAAAAATGAAATTCTTTTTTTAAATTTTCGGAATTTAAAGTGCAAAATTTCATGGTAAAAATCTTAAAAAAAATAAACTGACAGTCACCTATATTTTTGGGCCCTACTCCCAAAATTTGGGTTTTAAAGGGCTTGGGAATTTTTATTTTTAAATTTTATTTTTGGGTTTTTTCCCAAAAAAAGTTTTTTTATTTTTTATGTTACATTTTTCCACCCCGATTTTTAGCTTTTATATTGAAATTTTAAAAATACAAAAACTTTAAAATTTTCTTTATGTAAAAATTTTTTTTTCCCCCTTTATTACAATTTTTTTTAAGTACCCATATTTTTTTTTTGTGCCTTTTTTATTTAAGATAAATGTGGTTTATGTGTTATATATACTGTTTTAAACCCAGGAATTAAGGGAATGTTTAGACTTTTGTAGGGCCAGAAAAATGGACGATAAATCCACAAAAACCAAGTTTTTGGAGAAAAGGTCAAGGTCAGTAGTTTAAATTCTCTCATGTGAGACCTGCATCGTAGGGGGAAAACTTTTTACAAAATTAAATTTATATTTTTTATTATACACTTTGGGCTGTAAAAAAAAATTTGGGAATGCAATTTCAAAAAATTCTTTTTAAAGATTGAAAAAAATTTTGTTTTTTAAATTTTTTTTTTTTTTTTAACTCGGGTTTTCCCAAACTGTTAGTGCAGTCCAGTTATAATTAGAATTGGATTGTTGGATTGTAAAATGTGACTGCCCTGATATTACATTTCTGTATGTATTCCTATATATGAGTTCTATAATTATATTGAAGGAGTTGGAAGAACAGGTAGATCTTTATCGAGATGACAAGAAACAACTGATGTCAGAGGTCACCAAGGTCAAACAGGAGAGCAGTGATAGACAGTTCAAGATCACAGAACTTGAGAGAGTATGCACATAATTATGTTATCTGTAACTTTATTAGAGGAACATTTTTTGTGAAAATTAAGATGATTTTTTTTTATTAAACTATAATGTCTTGTATGTTAGTAAATTACCATGTAGGATCACCAAGATATATGGTTGTATTTGATACATTTGATATGCTGGAGGCAACTGTCCATCAATGCAACCAGTACAGACCAAGTGGTTTGCACTGTTCCAGGGTTCTCACTAGGACTTTAAAACATGGAGTCCATGGACTCCCAACCCTGAAAAAGTTGGAGTCCAAAAGCGCGTCGCAATTAATATGTTTACAGATTAGTTATTTAATGCTCACAATAGCATTGCTGATATTTTGAATCTTCAAGAGACTTTCAAAGTTTATAGTTATTCACAACAAACTCTGAACTACATAGTAAACTTATTGTTTTGTTGTTAATATTTATTTTAAAATTATTTCATTATAATGCATCAACACATGGAACTTGTTTTTAGCTCGACTTTTCTATGAAAAGGGGAGCTATCCTACTCGCCCCGGCGTCGGCGTTAGCGTTAGCGTTGGCGTCACACCTTGGTTAAGTTTTTCGTACCACCCCACTTTATTTCAGAAGTATTACAAGTATGGCTTTGAAACTTACCATACTTGTTCACCATCATAACCTCCATCTACAGACAAGAGTACATAACTCTGTCAAGGTTTTTGACAGAATTATGGCCCTTTTTTGACTTAGAAAGTGTATTGAGCTTGGTTAAGTTTTTTGTACCACCTCACTTTATTTCAAAACCATTGGAGGTATTGCTTTGAAACTGACCATACTTGTTTACCATCACGACCTTCATCAACAGACAAGAGGACATAACTCTGTCAAGGTTTTTGACAGAATTATGCCCCTTTTTGAGTTAGAAAATACATTGAATATGGGTAAAATCCACTTATTGCCTTAACCCTTTGAGATATTGCTTTGAAACTTTTAATGCTATTTCACATCATTACCCCCATCTGTACGCAAGAGAAGGTAACTCTGTCAAGGATTTGTTTTAAAAATTAAGGCCTTTTATCGACTTAGAATCTTGGTTAAGTTTTTTGTACCACCTCACTTTATTTCAAAACCATTGGAGGTATTGCTTTGAAACTGACCATACTTGTTTACCATCACGACCTTCATCAACAGACAAGAGGACATAACTCTGTCAAGGTTTTTGACAGAATTATGCCCCTTTTTGACTTAGAAAATACATTGAATATGGGGTAAAATCCACTTATTGCCTTAACCCTTTGAGATATTGCTTTGAAACTTTTAATGCTATTTCACATCATTACCCCATCTGTACGCAAGAGAAGGTAACTCTGTCAAGGATTTGTTTTTAAAAATTAAGGCCTTTTATCGACTTAGAATCTTGGTTAAGTTTTTTGTACCACCTCACTTTATTTCAAAACCATTGGAGGTATTGCTTTGAAACTGACCATACTTGTTTACCATCACGACCTTCATCAACAGACAAGAGGACATAACTCTGTCAAGGTTTTTGACAGAATTATGCCCCTTTTTGACTTAGAAAATACATTGAATATGGGTAAAATCCACTTATTGCCTTAACCCTTTGAGATATTGCTTTGAAACTTTTAATGCTATTTCACATCATTACCCCCATCTGTACGCAAGAGAAGGTAACTCTGTCAAGGATTTGTTTTAAAAATTAAGGCCTTTTATCGACTTAGAATCTTGGTTAAGTTTTTAGTACCAGTCCACTTTTTGACTGAACTGTTTGAGATATTAATTTGAAAGTTGGAATACTTGTTTACAATCATGATTCCCAAACATGTCCAGGAGAAGGTAATTCTGTCAAAGATTTTATTTGAATTATGGCCCTTAACTGTCAATGTTTTGTATTATAGGCAAGCACTAAAAAAGTCGAGCGCGCTGTCTTACGGACAGCTCTTGTTTATTTTTAACTTTCATACCAAATCAAATTTTATTCTGGTAAAATAAGTCCACTCTAAAGACAAAAAGTTTATATTTGTAAAAAAAAAAACGTAAATGTATACTGTATAGGAAGCGTTTAGCGGAATGAATAGGAAAATCGCTTACAGCTTCACACAGTGTGTAAGAGATTCATCCGATCGATAATTATTTTAGCAAATATCTTCAAAAGGGGGCAAATTGAAGATCGATATTTAAAGATTTAATGTTGATTGAATAATAAAGGAACAATTCATTCACATGTTTGGCTTGGAAACTGAGAATTTTTGCGAAATTTTAGGGTTTCTGGCGAAGTGAAATTGCCGATGTTCGGGATCAATTTTCTGATAAAATCTAAATATCAAAGAAAAGCGTATGTGTATTTTGGTTTGTTGCCCTGGAATTTCGGCACAAATCTCAAATTCTTAATACTCTTATAGAACGTTTTTGCAGGCATGAAACGAAAGCAAAATTTTGCCTAGAAAATGCCGAAAATATTCGACAATAATTCAAAATTACACTCATTTGTAATTTGAGAAAACAGTCTTTAAACTTGCGGCGTAAATAGTCAATATTTTTATCCTTTTGTCGGTAAAATTTGCTAATTTCCAATTAACTGTTGATCAAATATATCTCGCGTTATATCTGTTAATTACACCTACAGCGCGTGTACATACATTAGTCTGATCTCTATTGAGTGATAATGATCGAAAGCGTTATCGCTGATTGGCTAATCGCTTCACGGGTCGATGTGCATAGGAACGCCTACCTATAGACTGACACGCGCGGACCAATTTGTGTATTAGTGGTTGTAAACAATCGGCAATGTTTATGCGTCCCCAGGCAAAATTAAGCGTACGTGGAATCCTTGCTCTGAAATATTTGCGTCCAGCTGTAATAAACATGCGTACCGGGACGCCGAAATAAGCGTCCCCGAGAACCCTGTGTTCCCTATTTGATTGGTTCTTAATTTGAAATTTCCCTAAAATTATGAATGGTTTTGTTCATATTAAAAGATGGACAAGTCCATTTAAGATATATAGATGGATTAAGAAAACATACACAGGTCTAAAGAGCTGCATTGTGTCAGTTTTGTATCTAAATGTTATATACTGTATATAATACATTTTGTATTACTATACATTACAGACAAACTCGAGATTATCATGTAAAATAGAGAGATTAGAAAGACAGCTGGAGAATTCTAGAGAGAAGGAAATAGACCTTAGACTGAAGAAAAATGAACTATCTGACATCAGGTAAAGTACATTATTTTATGAAACCTGACAGGTAAGCTTAGTGGGACTAGTATATGACAGTTCTGTGTAATAATGATACTGTCATATTTGTACTTCATAAAGGGAAATCAACAAGAATTATTTCTAATAATATACCATGGTCTCTAAATCTGCCTTTAAACAATTCAGTTAAATACTAAAAACATCTCAAACCCTTAATTCTAATGGCTATTAAAATTGATTTATGCCTGTTTGCACATCCTGGCCTGGCTAAATTTTAAAATTTGATATTAAAATCTCTTGAATTACCAGTTGACCGTTTCAATTTTAAGCAGTGCAAATCCATAACTTAGTAATAAATCAAGTAGGATAAATTTATAAGTTTGTAATCAGCAGTCAAAATTATTCATTGTCTTTATTTTACAGGATAAAGCTAGCTGAAGAAAGGGTTACAGATATTGAGAAAGAGAAGATAACTCTGTCAGAGAAAGTGAAATCACTGACAGCTGACCTTAATGACCTTAAAGGGAAACAGACTGATCTTGATGTGAAGGCTCAGACTACAAACACCAAGTTAATGACGGAAAATCTTGACTTGAAACTTAAACTGGACGATGTGAACAGATCCACAGAAAAATTAGAAAAACAGATAACTAAATGTGAAAGACATATCTCTGAATTAGAGGAGGACATTGAGAATAAGAATAAAGAAATAGCAACATTAAAAGTGATTAAAATTGAGAAAACTGATTTAGAACGAAGAGTATCTGATTTAGAATTTGAATCAAAGCAGAAAAATGAAAAGTTGAAGAAGAGTGTTGAAAAAGATTTACAGATATCTAAGTTAGAAAGAGAGAAAGAGAATTTGAATACAAGGTTGAGCAGTTTAGAGAAAGAATTACGTGAGATGAAGAATAAAGAAGCATCGGGTAGAAGAGGGTCAAAGTTAGAGAACATAGAAGACTTGAGACAAGAGAAGAATTATCTTGAGACTCGAGTTTCATCATTACAGAGACAGCTTGACACAGCAGATAAGAAAATAAGTGAGCTTCAACAGAAACTTAGTGAGGTTTCTCTTTCTAAAGACAAAATTCAAGGTATGGTTAACTGAAATTTTTTAATTCTGCTTGAATCAGATAAGATTGGCACAACCTCAACATACATATCATAGCTTTATTGGCCTCTGTAGTTGGCTGAAAAAGTAGTCCTAGCTCAAATTTAATATACTGGCACCTGTATATGTTTGAAAATTAATAATTTATTACTTTTCCAAATGTTGCAATAGTGAAAAACTAAATGTGCTTGGTATATTAAAATATGGTTTAATTTCTTAAAACCCAACTTCAGTGTGCATGAAATAGAATTTTTCCAATTTGAAAAGATTCTTGTCATTGCAAAGTTGTTATGTGTGAGGAGGGATTACAATGCTGCTTTGAGATTGATCCTGACAGCCAAGAAACAATATTAGCTGAGTTAATTCGTAATTACATTTGTACCCTGTAGAAGTGAAAAATTAATAAAAAAATATATGATATAAGGACAGTTTGTAACAAGATATATTTTATGGTCCTTGTACAGTGAAATAATTTGGTTTACAGGTCTGGAGAGTGATGTTAAAAGGTTACAAGAAGAGAAGTTGTCAATACAAGAGGAACTAAGGAATGAAAAGCTAGAAACTGAGAGAAAGTTGAAATCTCAAACCAATCAAAGAAGAGATGTACAAGATGCTGAAAACAAGCTGGACAAGGTAAATAGCAAGAGTGAAAAATCTATATGTATCTGTCCTTTGATATATATTATGTTAAGGTACAGTTATATTGTAAAGCAGACAATCGCAGTTTTCTGTTATTTTGTTGTCTCATGTCTGCATATGTTGTTAAGTTATAACAATTCACAACAAGAACTGCCTTTAGTATAATACATGCGTCTGTCTTATGAAGATATTTGTCATTGAAGTTTTTTAATGTGCAAGGTTATTGTTTGATTGAAATTTTGACATTTTGTTATCTGTTTTTTTATGCTGAATTTATCAACTTTTGGTCATATCTCAACAGTGGATTCACCAAACAGGCTTTCCGTGATAACTAATCAGTAATTACCAATTTCTTGACAACTGACTGACTAATACGCTCACATTTAGTAATGTTTATAAGTATATAACTCTTTTTTTTCTATTTGAACTTTGCTATATTTAAAGGAGCGTGAGAAATACAATACATTGTTAGGAGAGTTGAGAAAAGAGCTGTCAGAATCTAATTTGTCATTGAGTGAAGCTAGATCATTACTGTCAGCCACCCAGAGACAGGAGAAACAAACTAGAGAGTCATTAGAGGGAGATATACGTGAACTACAACAGAGGATCTTTACTCTAGAGGTTAACTTACGTTCATTTTCTTCTTTACAGTCACTTTAAAGTTATATTTTATGAAGGAAAAAACTTGAAAAATCTTCCTCTCTCTCAAAGCACAAGGCTTAGAACTAAGATATGTTTTTTGTAGCATTATTTAGTTAACTTCTATTTAGTTTGCTAAAATCAAGACCTCAGGGTCATTTTAATTACATTGAATTGTATAGAAAATTAATCTTTAAAATCCTCCCATCAGAATCTACAATGCTTAGAGCTTAGATACTTGGTATACAGTACCCCTAGTGGTCCCCAGTAAAAGATAATGATTTTAAAACATTCCAAAGAGTCAAATCGTGCCATATGTAAGTAAAATAGACTTATGTTTGAAAACACATTAAAATCCTTTTTTTGTATAAATCTTCTTTGATAGATATACCATACTTAAACAGCAGTAATGTTCACTCTTACTAAATGTTTAGCCTGTTGGTGACAACAGATTTTACAAATGGGCAGATAAAGGTCAGATGGTATACGTGATGATAGTCTGCACTGTTCACTATTCTGTCAGTACATATCTAGATATTTTCTCTAAAAAGGTTACTACTGGTTTTGTCCAGATTTAAAGATGAATACCAGATTGAAAGATAAACAAGTTAGATATGTAGCATGGTTAGTGTTTAGAGTAACAATCATAAAGTAAGCTCTGATATCTATTTTTTCAGAAGGAGAGAGGACTTCATGAAGATAAACTAGAGGGGGAAAGAAAACTGTCACATATGGTATGATTTCCCTATTTCCTTTTTATGCCCCAGCCATGATAATGGTGGTAACCTTATGTTTGTGTGTGAATGTATGTTAAATATCGAAAGACAACACCACAATTACAGGTCTAAGGTGAAAAATAAGTCTTTTTCTGTCCAATCCTCAACTGACAATTCTAAATAGGTTTAAAATTATTGTGCAGAAAGTTTAACCATCACGAAACATTGCACTGAAAACAAGAATCAGATCTTTAACTCCACATCTTAGGTCAGGTCCATAACTGCAGGTCATCATTGTAAGTCACTTTCGAAGGCCAAAATTGTGTATTTTTAAGGGTGTGTGTGGGGTGTCTTTCATGACTAGATTTATGATTTTTTACAAATGATCATTATATCAATGGGACTGTATTCATAAGTCAAATCACTACCTCAAAATGGGACCTTATTCTTAGCCAATTAACTACCTCAAAGTTCAGGGTCTGGTAATTAAAATGACATGTTTTTCAAGTGGGCTGCATGACATAAACAGTTTCTTCTATGAGCAATTCCACCTACATTTTTCAAAGAGCTTGAAGTAAACTTTCACAGTCATAAGGTGCCTTGATGTCTGGCGTTATGACTTTTGTAGGTGTTTTTTTTGTTGATTTGTTGTTGTTTTATTATCTCATTAGATCAAATTAACTGAAAAAGTACATCAGACTTACAAGTTTAATCTGTTGGTTTTAGTCAGCTTTGTTTTTTTTTCAGGAGCAAGAAGAGTTACAGAATCTAAAGTCCCAAAATGAATGTCTTCTTAAAAAGTGCAAGGTAAGATTGGATGATTGTATATACATGTATGTTATAATTGATGAGGATTGAACCAATATATAATTTTGTCTTCATTGATAAGTGCTGAAAGTAACTGGAAGTAGCTACGTTGCCTGACATAAGTGTTGATATTATTTTAGTCCCGTGTGACCTAGTTGAATGTTGATAATGTTTCAGGACTTGGAGGAGAAAGCATCAAGTACTCAGAGAGAAGTAACGGCAAATCTGATGGCTAAAAAATTGTTGAAAGACAGTTTAACACAGAAAGAACATGACTTACAAGTGGAAACACAGGTAATGTTTGTTATAAAGTAAAGGAATGGTTTTGTCAGAATGTTGTTATTGTCTCCCATGTAAGTAAAAGGAATATTCTTATATGCACAGGGTTTCTGACAATTCTGAAGGAATTAATCTATTCTTATGGTAAGAAAGCTAGTATTGTGATAATTTATGTTGTTTTTAAATATCTTATGTTCTTTTTTTTTTCTTTTTTTTTAAATGCCTCTTATGATGTGACGTACAATGTGATATGTGTTTATTACATGCATTTCGGTGGTTTATAGAAATATATCAGTGATATAAAACTGGTAATTTCACTGTTTGAAACAGTGAAATTACCACTTTGATAATTTCACTGTTTTGAATGTAAGCCCCTTATGTTGTTTCAGTGAAATATCAGCGTGCACAGTACTGGGTACCAGCTTAATTATAATGACGTAACGTCAAAAATGACGTCACGTTGTATTATTATTTGGCGCGCTTTTCATTCAGTATTAGGTTTTTAAATGTCTTTTTAAAACATTTCTTTGCATGTAATAAAAAGAAAATTTGTTTAGTTCAGTGTAAGATCGAAATATATTTCACCTTGTGAACACCAAAAGTTCATATTTCACTCGTGGCTGCGCCACTTGTGAAATATACCTTTTGGTGCTCACTCGGTGAAATATATTCGGATCTCTCACTGAACTAAACAAATATCCTCTATTTATTCTTGATATTGATAAAGCAACATTGATTATAGTGTTGATTTTAATTTTAGTTATACCATTCTTTACTTTACTATCCAAAATAAGTTTCGATATCTCTTAGTTTTTTTGTTTGTTTTTTTTTTGGTTTTTCCCATGTCAATTAATGTTTTTTCGTGTTTTAGAAAGTTGAGAAGTTACGAGGAATTTGTAGCGAACTTGAGGCTCAGATAAAGGACCTTGAGGCTATACAATCTGAATTTGATAACCAGCAAGCAGAGTGGAATAAAACAAGACAGACATATGAGCAAGCCCTGGAGGAGAGGGAGAATGACCTTGATGGGGCCACACAAAGGTTAAATGTCCTTAAACAATTTAGGTTTGTCATCTAACATTACCATTATAATTACCTTAATAATTGCTTCATCAAATGTATAGTAAGACTATGATCTTGTTACTATTTTAGAACTGCTGTATAATCAAAATATTTTATATTAACAATAAACAGTTCCACATTCAAAATAGGGCAAGTCCATTTAACAAATTAAATATTTACTTTGTTCATGAATTTATGTAAAGTCATAAAAGTCAAGTTATTATCCCTGCAGCACAATTGATTTTGACATGCAAAACTTAATTTAGCTGTTTATTTGCTTTTAAGGATATCAACACAAAACTTGGAATACTTGTTTTTCATTACAAGACACAGTTGTTAGACAAGGGACATTATCTTGAAAGCTAAATTTTTTGAGTTATGCTCCTTTTTAACTTAAAGTTTTTTTTCGAAATCATTAATTATGTAAAATAATTTCATAATTAAGGTATCAATATGAAATTAGGAACACTTGATTTTCATGACAAGGCAAATTTGAAAGACAAAGGGGCATTATCTTGAAAGCAGTATTTTTAGGAGTTATATCTCCTTTTAAATTGAAATATTTTTAAATGTTGGTTAGTGAAAGAAAATTTAAAAAAACAGTCAAACATACTGTGCATATTCCTTGCATCTTTAATATTCATAATCAAAAAGCTGCTCATCTTATTGAGAAGTGAAAGCAATATCACTCTGAATTTTGATTTCTTTTTAGTTGTTGCCCTTGCAAGCATTAACACTGCTTGTTGCTTTTGTGATAAAGCCCTTATAATTGATGTAAGGGAAATGAAGATGACTGTGTTTCCTCCAGTCAGTATATAATTGAGTTTTTACAGGAAACATACATACCATTTGTATGATTACACAACATGCTATAGAGGTTATCAACATGTATTTTACAGGCAGAATTCTCAGGAAGCTGCCCAGTCAGTGAAACAACAACTACAAACAGTCAAAGATAAACACAAGAGTGACCTTAGTGCCCTAAACAAACAGATATCAGTGCTACATAAAGATTTACAGAGAAATAACACAAGGGTAACTGTTCTTTTCTATTATTGAAATTCCTGGGAATTTTGAATTCTTTTTATTTTATTTACATTATTTTATTTTATTATTTTTATGTCTTAGACTGGACAAGAATACTTATAATGTAGTAGTTATACATTTTTATACGCCCGTTTGAAAAACGGGACGTATTATGGAACGCCCCTGGCGGGCGGGCGGGCGGGCGGTCGGCGGGCGGGCGGCGGCGTCCAATTTTTGTCCGGAGCATATCTCCTACATGTATGGAGGGATTTTAATGAAACTTCATATAAATGTTCACCACTATGAGGAGCAGTGTCGCGCACATGAACCAGGTCTCTAGGTCAAAGGTCAAGGTCACACTTAGAGCTCATTGAAAAATGCTTGTCCGGAGCAAAACTTCCACATGTATAGAGGGATTTCAATATTACTTTGCACAAATGTTCACCATTGTGAGGCGGAGTGTCGCGTGCAAGATTCAGGTCCTTGCGGCCAAGGTCAAGGTCACACATAGAGGTCAAAGTTCAGATAAAAATATGAAGATGTGTATATGGACCATTTAGTCATCATTTATTGAGGGATTGTAACACAAATGGTCATTATCAAGACTATGGCTGTGATACATATAATTTAGGTCAATATATACAAGGTCAAGGTCACTAAAGATGATGAAATATCCAGATTTTGTAAATAGAATTTAATCAAAGGGAGACACCAAAGTTATTACTTTGTTCATAAATGACTTACACAATTACTCCCCTTGATCTATTTTCTAAAAATAGAATTTAATCAAAGGGCATGAAATAATCCTCTTTCTTGGACTTGAGTATGTTGTAAAGAATGTAACATTTATTTACACATGTTTCATTCATTGGTCAAGATACTTAACTGTGATAACTATGGTGTTCTGTAGACTTGGTATTTGTTCATAAAGATCATACAGTAATTACCTTATCAAATGTAAATACTTTCTCATAGAAATTTAATTATATTTTAATTTTCAAGTAAATATCAGTTCAGCTCATTCAAAGATTAAGAATTGTAATGAAATGTATTTCCCTAGAATAAAATCTTAAATCAGAATTTTTTAGTTATTAAATTACATGTACTTTTTATACGCCCGTTTAAAAAAAGATAAAAATATGAAGATGTGTATAGGGACGATTTAATCATCATTTATTGAGGGATTGTAACACAAATGGTCATTACAATGACTACCGCTGTGACACATGTACTTTAGGTCAATATATGCAAGGTCAAGGTCACTAAAGATGGTGAAATATCCAGATTTTGTCTGGAGCATATATCCTACATGTATGGAAGAATTTTTATAATACTTTATGGAAATGCTCACCACCATGATATGTATTGCTCCATGCATGATCCAGGTCTCCAGGTCAAAGGTCAAGGTCACACTTAGAGCTCATTGAAAAACGCTTGTCCGGAGCAAAACTTCTACATTCATAGGGGGTTTTCAATATAACTTGGCACAAATGTTCACCATTGTGAGGCTGAGTGTCGCATGCAAAATTCAGATCCCTGCGACCAAAGTCAAGGTTACACATAGAGGTCAAAGTTCAGATAAAAATTTGAAGATAGTTATAGGGACCATTTAGTCATCATTTATTGATGGATTGTAGCACAAATGGTAACTATCATGACTACAGGTGTTACACATTTAATTTAGGTTAATATTTGCAAGGTCAAGGTCACTGGAGATGATTAAATATCCAGATGTTGTCCGGAGCATATTTTCTACATGCATGGAGGAATTTTAATGTTACTTTTATAGAATTGTTCACCACCATGAGATGTAGTGCCCTGCACATAAACCAAGTCTCTAGGTCAAAGGTGAAGGTCACAGTTAGAGCTCATAGAAAAACACTTGTCTGGAGCAAAACTTCTACATGCATAGAGGGATTTCAATATAATTTGGCACAAATGTTCATCATTGTGAGGCTGAGTGCCGTGCATAAAATTCAGGTCCCTGCGACCAAGGTCAAGGTCACACATTCTGTGCATATCTTCCCTATTGATTTGTTTTAAGGTTCATTTAACAACACAGTGCCAAGAATAAAAACTTGCTTGCTAGATAACACTTATCCATAATGCCCCCATCTCCATCTAAAGCTTTTTCGTAAACGGGCGTATTTTGTGACTATGGCACCCTTGTTGACAAATGTATTAAATAGACACATGAAGTTTGTTTGGTCTTACAAATTACAAGACCAAACAAACTTCTGTTGAATCTATTCAATACATGTGTTTGAAATGTTTTTCATTTGTATAATTTATAATGTATCATTTTTTTTCTGCACTTCGTATTGTACCGCCAAAAAGTTACCTATTGATGAACATGTGTATGTTTTTGCAAAAAAATGTTTGATTGGACTGGCCTATTTATTTTAGTATAATGTATTTGACCAGTTTCTCTTCTAACTATAATGATTTTATGATGAACTTTACTGGTAGATGTCAGATCTGGAGTCCCAGAATTCCAAGTTACAGATGATTTTGGAGCAACAGAAAACTATCATAGAGAATGATGCTACAGAGAAAAGGAGGCTTAAAGAAGAGGTGAGTTTATTCTGTCAATCAAAAACAGTAGCTTTACTTTAGTTCAAACATATTTTATTGCAGCACATACAGTAAAATATCATACGAATGATAAGTATATAACAAAAAGCAGATGGGTTAGGCAACAAGTTCTAGCAACATTAAATAAAGCCTTTCTCAACAAAATTTTTAAATTATTTTAATCAGTTGAAGCAAAAAAAGGCCAATGTAACTTAAAAATTAAACAATAACTTTGTTAGCCTATGAATGATCAAACAAACAAACAAATGATAAACATACAGAATATAAATACAGGTTAATGATGTTGGTTTTTTTTGTTGTTGTTTTTACAGATCAGTAAAATTCTAACAGAGAATCAAGAGACTAAAACAAAGAACATTAAACTACGTCAGAATCTTGAGGAAGCTGTTGATAAACTCGAGATTATATTCGGAGAGAAAATTGATCTCGAAAACTTCACTGAAACTTTGCAGGTATGTCATTCTCATGTTTCTTAAATCTTTTACATGTAGTTAATTTGCTGGTACTATCTATGTAAATAGTCTCATGTTACTTATGTTTTAAGTCTAGATAAATCATGGGAAGTTCAAAAATATAGTCTGAATTTATTATTGGTCGGGTTGCACTGGTGCAAATCCGGGTTATAGTATGGTGAATGTCGGGCATCGGGCGGGCGGGGAAAATATTTTCTTAACAGTTTTCTCAGCAACTACTTATTACAGCCTCTTGATATTTGGCATACAGCATAGACACATGGTCCCATACCGTGTGATTTGATTTCAGGTCTGTCGCTCATCCACTTCCTGTTTATCCACTTAGTTAAATTAGTTAAATTTTTCGACATTAATGGTCAAAGGTAGGAAATTTTCGTAACAGTTTTCTCAGCAACTACTTATCACAGCCTCTTGATATTTGGCATACAGCATAGATACATGGTCCCATACCGTGAGATTTGATTTCAGGTCTGTCGCTCATCCACTTCCTGTTTATCCACTTAGTTAAATTTTTCAACATTAATGGTCAATGGTAGGAAATTTTCGTAACAGTTTTCTCAGCAATTACTTATCACAGCCTCTTGATATTTGGCATACAGCATTGACACATGGTCCCAAACCATGGGATTCGATTTAAGGTGTGTAGCTCATCCAGTTCCTGTTTACCCACTTAATTAAATTTTCGACATTAATGGGTCAATGTTAAATTTTTTCGTAACATCACAGCCTCATGATATTTGGTGTACAATGCAACCCGGCCTTTTCTGTCTTTGACACTGTTTTGCCTTTTAACATATGAATGATTTATCAATATTGTTAAGATTTTTTATCATGAAATAGGACTAGATCAGTTCCTGTATACTTGAATGTGCCTTGTTTATTTCATATACAATATTGTGTTGCTTTTGTGTTGAATTCATTGATCATTTAGGAACAAGTAGAATTAGATATAATTCACAAGCTCTGTCAATTTTTTTCACACATAGACCTGTATATACTTCCTTTTATTTTATCAATTTATATAAGAATAGTGTATTTACAAAAAAAATAAACAAACAAATAACCTGTCAATGTTTTTATGAGCAGGGTCTACATTTCTTGGAGAAGTACAGGTTTGAGAGTACTATAGATCAGCAGATGAAGTTGATAGATTATCTACAAGATCTCTGGCAAGATAGTGTTAACAAGAAAAAGAAGGTGCGTAATTTGAACCTTTCTTGCTTTATATACATGACAATTTAAATCTGTTACATCTTTGTTTAAAAATGCCATTCTTAGAATGAGATATAAAAAGTTTTTCTATAACTATAGTAAATGCACTAAATTATTCTCTGTTTACTAGGTAAGTAATGCAGCACACTAATTAACATCAGATTTCAGTATGTTTCTTAGACATTGCTAGGCTCAAAGTAAAAGCTTATGCTTATCATATTTGTTGATGAATTCAAAGAAGAAAAACTAAAATTGTATGTTTTGTAGTAAGAACAAAATTATTTGAAATATAATACTTAGGATTGTTTTTATATTTACTTTTCAATAAAAACACATACATGTATAAAAGTAATTTGTTGCTTTAAATGGTTCTGAATTGTTACATCAATTTTAAGACACCAGTGAAAGATGGAAGTATGAGGGTAAGATAAACAATATGATAGAAAAGACAAATTTACCATGAACCCTTCCTGCAGGTTATCACATCATATAAATATACCTAACTTTAGATAACTTGTTCACTTGTTACTCCTATAGATGCCTCTTGGGGCGGTAAAAAAGTTTATACACTAGTATACAGCCAGTCTAGTCTGATTACACCAGTTAAAGCCAGTCTGATCAGATTTTCCACTGTTGCCTGATTGATTTATATCAAATAGTTATTGAAATGGTTCGTGTTTTCTATGGACTGTTCTAAATTATAATGATGTCACTAATTAAGCTGGATAATGTCTGCAGGAAGGTTATTTTGTTTCTTGTATATTCCCAGGAACAGAACATATATTGCTGTGGTGTTTGGGTGCTTGGCTTTAATCAATATTATATACAGCTTTATATGCAGAAAAAAATATTCTATTAACTATACATATAATTTTTATAATATCAGGGCATAAAAAACACTAATATGTGTATGTGAGTATATACAATAATAGTTGTACAGGGTTGTGTCATAATTGGTTATAGGATTGAGTTATCCACAGTAGCATTTATTACATTTTCACTGAAACCAGGAAATATTTTCTGAAAATCTATTTTTTAGGCAGAAAAAAACAGACAATATTCTCTGATATTTACCTGTAATTTTTTTAAAAAGTTAATGTCTTGGCCAATCAAAGGAAGGCATTTCAAAGTTATTTATAGATTATACATTATAATAAAATGATACATTAAGCCATTTGTAATAAATAACTTTGAATAATTAATAATGGCATGTAGTTGCTTTTGTCAATATGCTGTGAAATGCTTTTTATGTTATATGTAATAAAACACAAAGTATTTTTTCAAATTTATAATAATTTGCTATATTACTACTGTTAAAGAAGTACAATATGTATAATGTTAGTTGATGTACTTTAAAAAAAGTTAATACTAGAGTTATTTGCAGGGTATTTCATGTTATTTTTTTAGTTCTTTTCTATGAAGCAACTGTTTTCTATGAAACTCAATCTGTTTTTAATAATTTGTATTGGCTGATTCAGGAAGGGGTTTTTATTAAGAATTTGAATTAAATGTATCAGGAGGGTTTGTTATTAAAAATTTGATTTCAATGTTTTGGAGAAGGTTTGTTATTGGAATATTTCTATTTTATGTTTCAGTGAGGGTTTGTTATTGAAATTTTTGTATTTAATGTTTTAGAGAGGGTTTGTTATTGAAATATTTGTATTTTATGTTTCAGGGAGGGAAGTTTTTTGGCAAAGGTAAGGAAGGAATGCCAAACATGGCAATAATGGGAGATTTACAGGGAGCTCTGGATCAGGAATGTAAGAAGAGTAAACAACTACAGGAACAAATGGACAGACTGAGGAGTGAAAACTTTGCTCAAGCTAATGAATGTAAGGCCTTCTTTTCTTACCACACTGAATATCTTAAATGGATTCGTCCATCATTCAATTGTCAAAAACCATTTATAACAAGCTTACGTTCTGAAATGTTGCTGAATCTATGTAAGCACAGCTTGATGTTAGAAGGATATAAGCCTCTTTTAAGTTGGGGAGAATTAAATGCAAGAATTGTGGAACCTAATTTCAAAAGTCCTTAAAAAGTCTTTGACTACCGTATAAGTACTTTTTTCTGCGGGAACTTTATTTCTGCTATTTCTGCGGTTCATAACGACACCGCAGATTTAAAAACAGCAGAAAATTAAGCCTTTTGCTATGTCTACATGTATGTCGGAATATGTCAACTGCCTGTATTGTATAATGACATTACAATGTACAGTTATCAGCTTTTGTAGATGGGAATTTTTCTTTATGTAGACGTCATGAATAAAATATTAGAAAAAAAGTTACTTTACTTGTTCTTTTTGTTTTAAAAAATATCATGTTTGTATGATTTTCACTCACCCTAAGCTTGATTTATTTTAAAATAAAACTATTATACTTTGACGGGGGCAACAAACATACCCTTTTGTATTTGTACAATATATTGTGTCTACGTGCGATTTTACCATACTTTATTTTCACACTTCATTTTTATACACATGCAGTATTACAATTAATTGTTGTCATTGCACATTGTTGATTTTTGTTAATTAACGCTTATATACCGATACATGGTGATTACGATAAACACACATTATAAGTCGTCTGCATGTTTACCGGAAGTAATGAACATGTAACATCAACAAATCTTGAAATGTTGTATGTTTGTGTCGGTTAAAACAATTTTGTAAAAATATCTTAATTAAAACGCAGAAATAAAAAAACTTCAATGTGAGAATGATGACACCGCAGAAATAAGATACGCAGAAATTTAAAACCCCTTATTTTAACCAAAATCGCAGAATATTAAGCCAGCAGAAATAAGTACTTATACGGTATCTTCCTTCAGTTTCTGTACAAATCATGTCAAAGTCTTGTCTACAAATGCCTTAGTCTGTGGCCATGTAAGGATGGAGTGTTTTTAATGTTATTGATACAGCTACAAATTGACATCATCTATAGGTAAAAAGAGAAGCTGTTGTTATATTGCCTCTCTTTGGATTCATAAAATATTCAGATACAAGAATATTACAAAATAGTGTCATGGAATTAGGGAAGTAGATAACTGTTTATGTTTTTTATTATTATATGAAATACTTGTTTTTCAGTATTGAAGGTTAAGAGTGCTCTAAGAGAGAAGATGGTATCTGACCCAGGGAATATGACTCCTAACATAAAGGCAGCTGTACAAGTGCTCATACAGTCCCCATCCAGTCAGAGCAACCCGGCCAACTCCCTGCTCACACCCAGTGTTAAAAAGACAAGTCGTCTGCTTACTGTACCTGCTCCCACCCCCAAGAGAATGCACCATAAGATACCACATAGGTTTGTGAATGGTCTGAATACACGTGCAACAAAGTGTAGTGTGTGCCTAGGCAGTGTACCGTTTGTAAAACAGGCAGCAAAATGTCAAGGTTAGTACAAACTTAAATTACTATTACATATTTAAATTATTTTAACATATAGAAATTTCATATGTCATAAATATTTGAATGTAGATTCAAGCATTCTAGATACTGTTACAATATTATATAATGGATAAACTAACAATCTAAGATCTTACTTTGCAGAGTGTTCCATGGTTTGTCATCCCAAGTGTGTCACCTCAGTACAGGAGACTTGTGGTCTACCTACAGAGTATATCCGTCATTTTACATCTATCATGGACAAGGGATCACCCATGCCCAAGGACAGTCAAGTGGCATCACCTGGTATTGATGATGAAGATGATGATGTTTTTAGATTGAAAGGATGGCTCAAAGTTCCCAAAAAGTGAGTTCCCCTTATTAATATTTTTTGCAACTCTTAATAGATTTTGACAGAGTTATGCTCTTTCCTTACTATGTTGTCCTTTGCACCCAAAATTATTTCTACATGTAATTTCTAATCTTTTTATATATATTTTTTGCCACAAATGTTATTCTCCCCATCATTTGGGGGAGGGAGGGGAGTATGAATTACTTTCAGCGATTGTTCAAGTTTTTTTTATAGCTTTTATTGGTTACCAAGGGTTTCAGGTATTAATAGGCTTAAATTATGATTAACACAAATATTAGCAGCTGGCATTCAAAGTGTCTGCAATTTGAGTTATATTTTCATTATTCATTGTCACCATAGTTGTTATGAAAGGACTCTAATAATTGATCATTTCAGTAAGTACATATTGTAGACTTCTAGTTCAAAGTTAGAACAATATCTATTAAAATCTTCTTACCACTGTGCTTCTACCACATTTTACAAACATGATCCCATATGTAATGATTTGAAAGAGAAAAATATCAGTAGAAATCTTATATAGCCTAGGAACTCATGTTCAGAGTATATAAAGAAGGAATCATTTCAATGTGTATTGTTTAGAATCTTCATTTAAATATTTATTAGTACAGTCATGAAAATTAGGATTAGAGTTTAAAGTTAAGCCATGGTAAGAAAGGTAGAAATTTTCAATGTAAATTGGGAAATTTTACTGGCCTAATAGATTTTCACCGACATGCTTGTGCTATTTTTGACCACAGATTTTACAAATATTTTCAGGAACGGTAAACAGCCTGGCTGGGAGCGTCGTTGGTGTAAGATGGAGGGAAATATATTGTTGATGTTTAACACTGACTATGATGCCAACCCTGTAGATACATTTGACCTAAACCCAGCAGAGACTGATGTTACTATACATAGTGCTATCAGTGCAGCAGAACTTCCCAGCACAGCTTCCACAGACTTACCATATGCATTCAGGCTAGAACATGAACCACTGACAACATGCTGGCCTGGAAGGTAATTTATATATATTTTTATTTTATCTGGAGAAAATCAATTGATGTTTATATTATATTATTCAGGAATCTATTAAACAGTCACATTTACTTTGCTGTATGTTGTACATTACATAAACCAAATACAATTGTTATGTTGTCGCTTTTTTGTTTCATACACTTGGCTTTGACTTTCTCTGCTTGTAATTTTAAAAAATTTAAAATATCCCCATTTTGTAAAACCAAATATTTTACAATGTTTGTTAAAGGTACATGTAAACTATGTTATCTTTGTTATTATAGATTTTAAATAGTGTTCTGTTTTTGATAATTTTCAGTCTACAAGATTTAGTCATCATATAATGAATGACATTGTTTATTCCAGGGTGTTATATTTGATGGCATTATAAATTTCAGGGTGTTATATTTGATGGCATTATAAATTTCAGGGTGTTATATTTAATGGCATCACGGTTCACAGAGAAACAGAGATGGGTAGCTTGTCTTGAAGGTGCCATCAGAAACTTACAGAAAGATGATAGTGTTCATAGAAGAGTAAGAATATTTCTACTGTTTCATCTTTTACTATGTTTATCAGGTAACCCACTCTGACATGTACATTGATAAACAAATACATTGTGTATATCAGTGTTTTCTTTATCTACATGTATCTGATGTTTATAAAGGTGTCAGTGTCTACCTGTCAAACTACTGTGCTACTTCAGACACTGACATTTAATTCGAAATGTCTGATACCCCACCCAGGCACATACTTACTGTAGATACACTGGCATGACACACTATCACGTCACAATATACTGACTTAAGACACATTGACATAATGCCCTACCCAGTAATATTATAGTAAAAGAAAGCACAATGGCATGACACCCCACCCAGTCATATACTGACTGTAGGCACAATGACATAATACCCCACCCGGTCATATTACAGTGAAAGAAAGTATATCGTGACATGACACCCAATTCAGCCCCATGATACTGACCTCAGGCACATTGACACAGTCTTATACTGACTGTACATTGTATAAGCTGCATATGAAAAAAAATATTGTGAAATTTTCATGGCTAAAATGGGGTGTGGAAATCCTATGCCAGACTTATGTGACTTGGGAATTTTTGCTTGTGGAAGAGTAAAATTCTTGTCTGTAGACAAGTAGATATGTGAGGCAAAAAAATGCGAACTACTGTATTTTTATCCTATAATAAATGGGAACATTAAATCTTCCAATTTTGTTAAATGATTTTGAACACAGATTAACAACAAATTTAAATTGAAATAATTTTTGTGGGTTTTTTCTTTTTATTCAGAAAATCCAGATGACAAGTTTGTTAGATCTGGCTGGTGACAAAAGATTAGAGCTGAACTGTTCTCTCTTACTTAGTAAACAGGTATACTATGATTATATTTTTGTCAAAATTTCATATCGTTATCAAAAAACTGAATATAATATTATAAAATACGAAAAAATATATTCTTCTACTTTGTCAAGATTTACCAGTGTACATGTAATTGAAACTTGAATGCACTCCTGCAGATTTCATTGAAGTTTTGTTATGGTTGAATATTAAAACAGCATGAAAAGTTGTGTATTAACTTGTTGTTTATATTTGATTACAGCTAACACTTCTTGGAGCAGATGAGGGACTATATGCCATAAATGTACATCGTGATCCTCCAGTTATCACTAAACTTAACCAGTTTGACAGTGTTTATCAGCTCAAATTTATCCCACAGCTCAGTCTCATAGTTGCTATTACAGGTATGTATTGTACCATAAGAGCTTGGTCTAGTAGTTGTGGCTAGTCAAACATACATATGAGCCGCGTCAAGACAAAACCAACATAATGGGTTTGCGACCAGCATGGATTCAGACCAGCCTGCGCTTCCGCGCAGTCTGATCAGGATCCATGCTGTTCGCTATCAGTTTCTCTACTTGTTATAGGGTTTTTAAGCGAACAGCATGGATCCTGATCAGACTGCGCGAATGCGCAGGCTGGTCTGGATCCATGCCTGTCGCAAACCCATTATGTTGGTTTTGTCATGACGCGGCTCACATATTTATTTACCTAAAATTGTCATACATAAAATTCAATAATGCATGTTACAATACAATTAACAGTTTATTAGACTACAGTGAATACATTGATAAAAGACAACAACAGCTTACAGTTTCAATATTTTGAAAACTAATTTATGTTTAATATGTGAATTATTTCAATTTTTACATGAATGTATGTTGATTTTTTTTAAGCCGCCCAAAATAATGATAAGACATGAAAGAATATTAAAAATCTACCAAAACTATTAGAAATGGCTGTTTTGAATTGAAATAAGTTTTTTTTGTAGAATTGGAAGCCTAAGTTGGTCTTATGTTGACAGTTAACTTAAAGGATATTCATTTATATGCGTTGAAATAGAAATTTGTTCTAGAAATTTTATCAAGTGTTTTTTTTTACAAAGATGATTTGTTGTTTTCTTTAGGAAAAGAGCGTAAAGTTCTGACAATAGACAAGAAGTTAATACAGCTAAGGTTAGGTCAGTCTACCGGTGAGGCGACACAGCCAGTGCCTCACAATGTTGTAGAGGATATTGTTGGATGTACAGTGTTAGACTGTGGTACATATAATGATGCTGTATACATGTGTGCTGGAATGACAGATAAAATACTTGTGATGAAGTATAACACTGATCTTAGAATGTTCTGTGTTCGAAAGGTAAAATGACTTTCTAATTATTATTTACCAAATATTTTCTGCAGATTGGTCCTCTGTAGAGCAGTAACCACTTTAAAACAAGTGTTTCAGTTCTTCCAAAAGTTATATTTTCCAACAAATTTTACCTCTCTCCAGCTACTTCACTCAAGTACAACCAAAAATATTTGTCACCCAAAGGGTGTTGCTTTGTAGAGGTGGTATTGTAACAACAACATTTTTTTGTACTACTGTTGAACAGCAATAGAACTTGTTTATTGTATTCAACATTTTGTCACAGCTATATAGCTTGCCTTGCATTCATCTCAATTATTATGATGAAATATTTATCAGTGTCTATCTATTGACTACGATAGTATAACTATATTACATGTGTTACAGGAGTTGACTATAGATGAACCATGTAGTTGTGTATGTATGGCTGACAGTTTTGCTATAGTTGGTACAGACAGATTCTACAAGGTCAACTTAGATCATCCCAGTTTAACAGGTATGTTCACACTTTGTTTGGTTGATCAAACATGTCTACATATGCAGCTTGTGTTGTGATATAAAAAATATTTTACTTAACCTTAACCAGTCAGTTTGCATTTTGAGTTGTCTGTCCACATGGCAAAAGTTATCTGGAGTACCTACTATCTGTTGTGAACTGGACTACTGTAGTTTCTAATTAAAAGTTCTTATCTCTTATTGTTGTAAGACTTAATATGTTGACATTGAAGTTGACATAGAAAAAATGTATGATGAAATTATATTGTAACTTTCTGTTATATACAAAATGTTGGTCTGTTTATATTTCAATAAGTCTTCATAGCCAAGAGTTGTTTCAAATCACTTGCCTCTTACCACAGTTTATTTAAAGTGCTGACAGGCATTGTGAATTGTTTCTGTAGACCACCTTCTAGCGTACACAAGCTAAATGATTCTATCTTGTGTCTTGCATAATGCAGGGAAGGGCACCTGAGCCTTCTTTCATCACTGGTAAAACTGAAAAGTCCCCATATGAACTTAACAGTGTCAGTGTGATGTAAATTCTAACCACAACTAAAATAGGTACCCCTGTCTTATCAGCTTTCCGTCATATATGCAAGTAATATGGTATTGTGTTTATTTCAGAGTTTGTAGACAAGAGGGATAACACTCTAGCATTTGCAGCATTTGGTGCTGCCACTCACCATAGTTACCCCCTAGCTGTTGTTCAAGTCTCTCCAGAAGGCCTGCCATTAGAATATCTCCTCTGTTTCCATGGTAATCATTTCACTTTCTGTTCATAAATGTTAAATACGAGAATAGTATCAAATGCATCATTATATTTAAAGAAAACATTTTGTTGGCTGTTTGTCTTCTGCCAATAATATTATGAAACAACATCTGCTCTATCGATTTACCAAATGTGGGATGTTCCCAAACTTTTTTTCAAAAGGTTTCAGTCTATTGCATATCTGGGTCACAGGAGGAATAAATATGATTTATAAGTGCAATCTTTAGTAAATCTTCATCAAGCAAGGTCAGATATTTGATGTGTAGCACTGACACCTTGGAGTTGGTGTTTCTCATAGGGGAAGATCAAATTTATGTTTGACATGTATTCAGTTTGACAAGATAGAGTTACTACATGTATTGGTATCGGAGTTACTACAGGTGTTGGTATCATATATAATTACCTACATTTATTAATGTATTTATATATAAATATATTCTATGTCAGAGTTTGGAGTATATGTGGACTGTAAAGGACGACGAAGTCGACCAGCTGACATGAAATGGAGTTGTCTCCCTCTATCTTTAGGTTTGTATATCTTAGTTTTCTACATCATTGTGTGTTTACACAGTCAATAGTATATAACTTGATCTTCCAACATGGGTGTGTAGACCAGCCATAGGTCCAGATTGGTGGTGTAAGTTAAAGCTTAAGTAAGTAAAGATTTGAAGAAAATAAAACCATGAAAATGATACCATTTTCATTATTTTGATAAACAAATATCTCATAGTTATAGTGGTCAATTCAGTTCTAAATACCCATATTTAAGGAGTACAAGTTCATTACACAGTTACAGAAGAATTTTTGCTTAAAGTCTTTATGATGTTGTTTTTCTAAAAAATATATAATATCACAGATTGTTATAAATTATAACTTGTATTATGTTTAAATTACAGCATATAGAGAACCATTCCTGTATGTGACATACTTTCACAGTATACAGGCAATTACTGTCCCTGCTAGTAAAGAGGAGATCAGGTTTGTTTTATATACATGTATATACTAATTGTCTTAAATTGCCTTACAGTAAATGATTTATAAAAAGCTGTTTAAGCAAAGTGTCTGGATTACAATTTATGTAATTTGGCTACAACCAATGATGAAATTTTAACTGTGTAATTTTGCATGCTGGGAAAATTGTTTTATGCTTTATTTTTTAATTTTCCAATTTTCACGAAATAAAAAGATAATTGTACTATTAGTAATAGTAGACATTTTATACTGGATGCCTTATTTACAAATGTCAAGGCATTCTGAACCAAAATTACTAGTAGAGAAAAAAACCTTAAAGCTGCATGTCTCAAAAGTATTTCAAGAAAATCAAACTTGAAATAAAAATGTTTAGTACAGAGTATGTTAATGTACAGATTAAAAAATTGATAAAATTTTCAAAACTTTTATGTAAATTAGCATAAATCTGGAGACATGCTGTTTTAAATGTCTCAAAACTGCTCAAATATGAGTTTTTTAGATCATAAACCAGCCTATAATTGACCTCAGTTATTTATAGTGAAAAGTGCCTTTAATGTTTTCAATGTGTTCATTCAGTGGTTTGTATTTATAAATTCATCATTTCATACATTGTATGCACATTATGTTGTAGAGGGAAGCAGACGTCAGTTGATCTGACATGTCCCAGATATCTGGGTTCCTCACTGGAGCCCGGCTCAGTGTATGTAGCCTCCAGTAGTGGTATGACAACAGAGCTTCTCAGCTTGAAGGGCAAAGATGGAACTTTCATAGAACCCCTGGGCAAGGAAAATAAACCAAGGTAAGAATTGTGTTTGAATTTGATAAGGCTCATTGTGGTTAAAGAAATTATAATATTTGTTTATTTTAATTTATTGATTAACATTTCAATTATTAATGCAAAATCTGAAATAGTAATTAAACTGGTGTAGGATCATTTGATTACCTTTTACTACCTAGTTAAATGTATAGAGGTTATTGAATAAGTGTTGATTTGATACTTAATTTAATGAACAAGTTGAATAAAGTCATATTATGCGAGCCTCCTGCGTCGTGGTTTATCTAATTAATACATGTTAAAATCAATATGAAATGACAATAGATGAACGATTCCTTTTATCATCGGATTTATAAAGTTAAATAAACATCTAAAACAGCAAATTTATTGTTAGAGCATGATTTTTAGCTTGTCATTTTGTCAAAGATAAAGAATTATTATGATCACTATGACGTTGTCATTGTTGTCAACATGTCATAGTGCAATAACTTATGTAGCCCATTGCTCAAGTGTTTTTAATATTATTCAAACATAAAAGGTATCAACATGAAACTTGGAATTCTTGCTAACCAGGCCCAGTGTTGGCTGCTATACCTTAATGCCTACATGTACTACAAGGTGTAGTTGTTAGACAAGGGGCATAATTCTAATATTTTAATAAATATTTATGCCCCTTTTTAACTTAGAATTTTTATCTTACGAGGGTGCAGTGCTCTTGTTTATATTTTGAATTATTTTCCCATTATTGTACACGAATTACGTTTTATTTACAGTGTACGAGCTAGCATGAGGAAAGCATCATCAAGTCAGAAGAGATCAAGTCCATCTAAAGTCGGAACATATTCATCAGCAAAATACAAATCACCAAGAATGTGTCGACGATTGTCGTTGACGTCTATAGACAGTAACAGTAGTATGTCATCTACTTCCACAGTGTCTAGTTATGGAAGTGCACAAACTGATGTGTGAATGGACTAACATTGTTGTTGGTCATGTAACCTACCATCATTATGTGTATTAAACAATCTAGATTACACATCAAAAATTCATTCATTTAATGTGTACATTGTGAAATCCTGTGTTAAAACAAGTGCTGTTATCTAAATAAGATAGTAGATACTAAATTGGTACATGGATTTCTTAAATGGTTTTTCTATGTAGTCCAAAACTTCGAGCAATAACTCGAGTATTGAAAAAACATTTAATTTTGCATGGCATTTTATAATAAATATTAATTACTGGACGTCTAGAATTTTTTTTTTTTTTTTTTTTACATTTAATTTTGCATGGCATTTTATAATAAATATTAATTACTGGAAGTCTAGAATTTTAATTTATTCATGTTGTAAAGGCTGCTGGCATAAATATTTATGTATTCATCTTTAATACTTTTATATTGTTATTTTTTATCACTTAGATATAATCGTATTAGGGATTTTAGATATAATTTTAGGACAACATAGGTACCATACTGAACTAAGGTTATGGTTTTGAATTTCAAACTGGTTAGATTATATGAACATGTAGGCCAGCCTAGCTCAAGCACCCATTACTTTATTGTCTGGTTAGACTGAATAAACATGTAGGCCAGCCTGGCTCTAGCAGCCAACACTGAATGCAGTTATACTGGTGAACATGTAGATCGGCCTAGCTCTAGCACCCAAAAATAAAAGGTTTGGTTAGACTACATAAACATGAAGGCTGGCCCAGTTCTTTACTGGGGGCAATATCATATCATTTACTTCATCATCTGTTAAATGATAACTTTAGAATACTTCCACAGATGCTATTTTTTTCTTTGAAAACTATTATTTTGTACAACTGGTCTTGTTTTTTTTGTCCTCTCTTGCTTTTTCAGTTCATGTTTGTCATTTAATTTATAAATGATTACGTATCTTCATTTCATCTATCTATATATACTGGTATTTTTGTTTCTGGATGTTTGACTGTATTATTGTGTCTATGGTAAAATATTGTGCAGCTTTTTATTCACTATTAAAACATCTAAACCAATCCTCGGACTTATTTATGGTTTTAGTAGATGTCAATCGAGTTTTAGGGAATTGTACCTTAAAAGAGCATCAACCTTATCATGCCCATTTTACAAGTCACCGAAATTGATTTAATTACAAGAAGAGCATGCTTAAGTGTTCAGTTATTATAAGATTTATAGGGACTAAATTCAATCCTCGTCTCATGGAAACTGTAAATTTTATTTTATACGTATTCAAATAAGTTGATGTTTTTGGACCCGTTCTGTGTGGAAAAGTAGCTTTAAAAATCTCTTCTTCGAAACTTTTGGGTTCGAATCCATGTAAAGAAGTTTTCCAGCTGGCTTAAAAAACTTCAGTGGTTCTAAATGATGCACGAAGGGAGATCTCCCAAAACCAATGAAGCTGGAAAGTCCGCTTGACCTAGGAGAATAAAGCCTTAGATCTATTTATCACATACCCGTGCCGTGCATATATTTTGACGTGACGTCATTTGCGTTATACAAACAAAGTGTAAAGACGCGTTATACTGTAGGGGCGTCAATGAAAAATGACTCTTTTTCAATTTTTAGCTCACCTGTCACAAAGTGACAGGGTTAGCTTTTGTGATCGCTTTTCGTCCGTCCGTCCGTAAACTTTTACTTTAAATGACATCTCCTCATAAACCACTAAGCCAATTTCATCCAAACTTCACAGGAATGTTCCTTTGGTGGTCACCTTAAAAAAATTGTTCAAAGGATTTAATTCCATGCAGAACTCTGGTTGCCATGGCAACCGAAAGAAAAAACTTTAAATAGCTTCTTTTAAAAAACCATAAGAGCTAGAGCTAAGATATTTGGCATGAAACATCTTCTAGTGAGTGTCTACCAAGTTTGTTCAAATAAAAGCCCTGGGGTCAAAATTGGCCTTGCCCCTGGGGGTCATTGATTTTCTCTATATGCATATAGTAAAAACTTAAAAAATCTTCTTTTAAAGAACCCAAAGAGCTAGAGCTAAGATATTTAGCATGAAACATGTTCTAATGGGTGTCTACCAAGTTTGTTCAAATAAAAGCCCTGGGGTCAAAATTGGCCCCGCCCCGGGGGGTCATTGATTTTCCCTATATGCATATAGTAAAAACTTAAAAAATCTTCTTTTAAAGAACTCAAAGAGCTATGGCTAAGATATTGAGCATCAAACATGTTCTAATATGTGTCTACCAAGTTTGTTCAAATAAAAGCCCTGGGGTCAAAATTGGCCCCGCCCCAGGGGGTCATTGATTTTCCATATATGCATATAGTAAAAACTTAAAAAATCTTCTTTTAAAGAACCCAAAGAGTTAGAGCTAAGATATTTAGCATGAAACATGTTCTAATAAGTGTCTACCAAGTTTGTTCAAATAAAAGCCCTGGGGTCCAAATTGGCCCCGCCCCGGGGGGTCATTGATTTTCCCTATATGCATATAGTAAAAACTTAAAAAATCTTCTTTTAAAGAACCCAAAGAGCTAGAGCTAAGATATTTAGCATGAAACATGTTCTAATAAGTGTCTACCAAGTTTGTTCAAATAAAAGCCCTGGGGTCAAAATTGGCACCGCCCCGGGGGTCATTGATTTTCCTTATATGTGTATAGCAAAAACTTAAACAATCTTCTTTGAAAAAACCCAAATAGCTAGAGTTAAGATATTAAGCATGAAACATCTTTTATCGAGTGTCTACAAAGTTTGTTCAAATAAAAGACCTGGGGTCAAAATTGGCCCCGCCCCGGGGGTCATTGATTTTCTTTATATGTGTATAGCAAAAACTTAAAATCTTTTTTCAAAAAACCCAAATAGCTAGAGTTTAGATATTAAGCATGAAACATCTTCTAGTAAGTGTCTACAAAGTTTGTTCAAGTAAAAGCCCTGGGGTCAAAACTGACCCGGCCCCAGGGGTGTCATTGTTTTTAACTATATGTGTATAGTAAAAACTTTAAAAAAATCTTCTTTTAAAAAGCCCAATGAGCTAGAGCTTAGATGTTTAGCATGAAACATCTTCTTATGGGTGTCTACCAAGTTTGTGCAAATAAAAGCCCTTGGGTTAAAATTGGCCCTGCAACGTTGGGGGGGGGGGGGCCTATATACAGGTGAGCGACCTAAGGGCCATCATGGCCCTCTTGTTCTTTTTCACGGTCTTTATTTTTGGTATGTGATAAATAGAATATTAAATTCGTGTAAGTTCATTACTCAATTTATTGAACTCGTTGAATAAAATAATATTATGCTCGTCAGAGGCTCGCATAATATAAATTTTATTCAACTCGTTCAATAAATTCAATATTGAACTTACAATCATTCAATATCCTCTATATAATCTACAGCTAGCTCATAGAGAGGTATTATAGATGTTAAGAGTATATTGCCCTTATTCATGAAAGAATATTTTAACGACTTGACTTTCAGAAAGAAGTCACTGTCACATCCCCTAGGTATATGCACGTCGTGGAGAAGCACAGGGCATATGCAGAAGATTTGGGGTTAAGTGGGTGGAACAACAACTATAATTTCGTACAAGCGAGGGTTATACTAAAAACTGCAAGAGACCGACTACACTGTACTTCTTCTTCGTCCAGTTGCCGATGTCCTGATGTGCTAATTGAAGCCGAGCGCAGTGGCCCTACATAGTAGGCAAAGACTATGAGGAAGGGAACTAGGGTGAGTGAGCCCCTAATACGAAGAGCTGGCTTGAACAGCGATGCCCATTGCTTGGCACAAACAGCCCTAACCAGGGCTAACCTTCATTATTGTCACAGGTTACTAACTGTACGTTTAGGTGGACATTGACCGCTGAGCAGAGAGCTACTTTCGACTCAAAATCCATTTTTTGAGCTCACACGAGCTTGCTTAGGGTGAGCTTTTTGGGATCGTTGAATGTCCGTTGTCCGTCGTCTGTCATCCGTCCACATTTGTTCGTTAACACTCTAGTGGTCACATTTTTGCCTCAATCATCATCATGAGTTCCAACATGGGTCATCTCGGATGAAAAACTAGGTCACAGAAAAATATTGTTAACACTCTACGTCAAGTTCGAATGTTGAAAACTAGGTCACGCCGCCCAAATATGGAAAAACCTTGTTAACACTCTAGTGGTCACATTTTTTACTCAATTGTCATCAAACTTTGTCAGGAATTGCTCGGATGAGTTCAAACATGGATCATCTCGGATGAAAAACTAGGAGCTAAAAATAGAAAAATTTTGTTAACACTTTAGTGGCTACTGTTTTTATCAAAATATCCTGGAAATTGGTCTGAATGTTTGTTTTGATGACTTCTAGGTCAAGTTCGAATATGGGTCACCTGGAGTCAAAAACTAGGTCACACCGCCAAAATATGGAAAAACCTTGGTCACAATTTTGACTAAATTGTCATCAGACTTGGTCAGGATGTTTGCCTATAAGTTCGATTGGTCAGGTGAGCGATCTAGGGCCATCTTGGCCCTCTTGTTTCCTAATACTTTGGAAATTGCACTGAGGTAAATCATTTTAAAATTAGCTCTTGCGGAAGCACCGTCATTAAACATAGACTTCATACATACATAAAAGTATAAAAGGGGGAAATACCTCAATAATTTTATAAAAATTGATTTTTGAATTTAATGGGTTTTTTTGGCAGACATCAATAACTTTATATAGTCCCGGGGGTCATTGCGAGAGCAAGTCTGGTTAACGAACCTATCGTAACCACTCTTGTTATCGTTACTCTGGACACATTATTATTGATATTTAGCCTAGTTGCGGAAATTGTAATAAGTGCATATTCTAGTTGTTGACAAATCAATCATTAACATCTGCCAATTACTTGTTTGTTATGCTGGGGTTACATGATAATAAATTCGTCATCTTGCTGATTAATCTAAATGTGTTTATTATAACAATTATCACGTTTGACCTACTTGAATAGAAATATTTAAAAAATACGTGATGTTATTACATTATGCCTTATTATTATTATTATTATTATTATTTCTGATTTTTAAGTGGTCCATCCCACCTTTGTTGTAATTAGTAATTACATTATTTTGTGATGAGTCTATATCATTATTTTTGTATCTTTATTTTTGACTTTCACGTGAGTCTATATCATTATTTTTGTATTTTTATTATCGACTTTCACGTGAGTCTATATCATTATTTTTGTATCTTTATTATTGACTATCACGTGAGTCCATATCATTATTTTTGTATTTTTATTATTGACTTTCACGTGAGTCTATATCATCATTTTTGTATTTGTATTATTGACTTTCACTTGAGTCTATATCATTCTTTTTGTATCTTTATTTTTGACTTTCACGTGAGTCTATATCATTATTTTTGTATTTTTATTATCGACTTTCACGTGAGTCTATATCATTATTTTTGTATTTTTATTATTGACTTTCACGTGAGTCTATATCATTATTTTTGTATTTTTATTATTGACTTTCACGTGAGTCTATATCATTATTTTTGTATTTTTATTATTGACTTTCACTTGAGTCTATATCATTATTTTTGTATCTTTATTATTGACTATCACGTGAGTCCATATCATTATTTTTGTATCTTTATTATTGACTATCACGTGAGTCCATATCATTATTTTTGTATTTGTATTATTGACTTTCACGTGAGTCTATATCATTATTTTTGTATTTGTATTATTGACTTTCACTTGAGTCTATATCATTATATTTTTTTTATTATGAGCTTTTTATGAGTGTGCATCATTATTATTGCCTTTCACGTGAGTCTATATTACTGTTGTTGTATTTGACCTCTACGTGCACGAGTTTTTATCATTATTATTGTATTTTTTATTATTGACTTCCTCGTGAGTCAAGTTCTCAATGTTGAAAGTCATATACTAGTAGATTGCTGAAAAAATAATTTGATAATAACTATACTACTATACAAGCTGAATATTTTATAATTGGAGTTATTTTACAACTCGCGGTTCACGAATCTTAGCATTTCCAATGGTCAATAAGCATTCTCGTTTCTGACAGATCTGAAATTGAGCTAAGACAATTTTTTATAACAACGACCACTGTTCGAAGGAGGAAATAATACTATGGCGGTTTAATTGTGTATCTTGTCCTCTTAATCCAAATACCGACAACCTATGTAAATTCTCACTTGTTTTTCTTTCTTTCGTTATATAAGAGTACAATTAATCGCTTTCAAGAAAGTCTGACAGGCACTTCATTGAGATGTTACAAAATGAATTATTATTTTAGAAGAATTCAAGTCATTGAACTACTAAAGAATTATATATATATCTTTGTTATTAGGTGAAAATATACGTAATTAACTTAATGGCTTTACGGTCTCCAAACTATTCAATATCACGGTTTGTAATCGAAATAATGGTTTTAATCAAAGCGAATAGCTCTCGCAATGTTGTTCTCAGTCTTACCTGTATAACGACAAACGGTTGCCTGGTAACAGCTCTCTAATGATATCGGAAAACGACATTTTCACTGTCCATTAATATAAGAAATGGAAAAATTTGAGCAGTTCTGGTAAATGTTAATTTGATGTAAGCTTTTTAAGATATGAAAATGTAAATAATTAATTAGCTGGAGGTATTATAAATGCTGGGGATAACGGATACTGTTATATTAATATAGAAGAAGAACGTTTTTGTTTTCACTGAAATGTGAATACTACACTATAAGACATAGTGGCGACATTTGGAAACAGGTAAGCGGACTAGTTTTTAACCAAGAATGTTAGCTTTTCTATATGAAAACTGAAGAAGACATTCCTGGCATATTTTTTAGATAATCCTGTCACAGACACCTATATATTTCATAAGAGAGTCACTTATAACTTATATCCCAGCTGAGGGCTTGCCAGGCCAGCGTCATTGTAAGAGGCAACTAAATGGGTTCGAATAAATGGAGTCTATTCATCTATTACCTCCAGCAGGTGAGGTGTTTTTGACCCCTGGTGTTGCTTTGGAGTTTGTAAAACCCGAGGTAAGCAAAACTCGGCGCCATGTGATCTATACTGTGTCTGAGCGCTTGACAAGACACCACCGATGGCTTACAGGAAGGGACCGACAAGGTGCAGATATTTTCGCCCAAATGAATTCATCCCGGCGGTGAATTTGAACGCAGTTAACATCATCATGTAATTCGTTATACTTGTCACGAGGGTCCCATGAGATCTGATATTATTTAAGTAATTGTAACAAATATCACATTGTTTACACAAATAATGATACCCATTAAGCACCCCAGGTTAATTGTAGTTCCCCGATTTATAATGAATTTCTCCTTTCCGTCTTCAATATCTTATATTTGAAAAAAAAATCCTTTCCAGAAATATTGAAATACAAACAAGTAAATAGCTTTTAAGCGTTACATCTTTGATGAAATATCTTTTAGCCATTCCTACAGTCATGCTGTCTTTGCCCTTGCTTGCCGTGTTCATATTTATTGTTCTTGATGGATTGTCTTCATACTCGGACACAACAACCCTTTTGGTAGATCGGACTGAACATGACATGGATTCTTATATGACCATAACCTTTACTATCAATGACGTTTACCTTCAATATTCATATCTTGAATTTTGCTCGAGTTTTTGCTATACCTTGCTGTAACTTTCTTTTTATGATTGGATTGCCATCATACTTAGTCATAACAATTTTTTTCGGGTAGACCATACTGACCACGTCCTTCACCCATAAATGACTTTTTTATTTTGTTTGATTTTTGCTATTGGCTATAACTATTTTTAATGGATTTTCTTCTTGCTTGAACGCAACCACCTTTGAAGGGGTTTAAACTATATTTGACATTGGCTTTGTAATTGATTGATTGATTATCTTTATAGTTGAACAAAACAATTCGTACAAAACAATTAAATGATCTTGAGCTTTGTTTGAATCAAAGGTCAAATATGATATTTGCTTTAAGATTGCCTTTTATCTGTCGCAACTCCGTTATTTATTTACGGATTTCATTCAAACAATAAATACAACACCAAACATGTTGAATAATCTAAGTATGATCTGATTACCAAGGACAAAAAAAAATGAAATTGTGATTGAATTTCTGTACAAGAAAATGGTGTTGTTTATACAAAATTCTTCCTCTGATGTGTTTGAGTTTAGAAATAAAAAAAAAATCGAGCGTGCATGACACCCGATGAGGTTCTCTTATTGGATATGCAGCACGGAATCTTTCATATGTTACAGCTACTAGTGATCATGACTCTAATCTAACATTTGTAAGCATTGTATACTGTAACCTATAATTTTCGTCTGAATATTTGTTTGCCTCTTTAAGGCCCATTATGCCTCAGAAATGATTTGATTTGATTTCTCAAAAGTGTTTTTTAAAGTTTGGTTTACTTTTAAAGTATCCAAAAAGTTACTCATTGGTTAATGGCCTGATCAATCTTTTTCACGTGTTGTTTTCGGCAATAAGTACATTTATAAATGAATCAGTATTTTGTATGGTAGTCAAAATACTACTTTGTTTGAATGTTGCTACTTTTATAACAAAGTATTTCACATTTATCCATATACTTTCTTCAGAGAAGAAGCATCTAACATTCTCGTAAACCATTATAAAACACAAGTTTATTTGTTAATGAAGTGATGACAAAATTGAACTCTATTTTATACTTTTTTATGTGATTAAAAATGATTACTTATCAAAATCACCTATACCAACGAGCAAACCCAGATGGTTGTATATTGAGGCGTGGGAAATATATACATTGTATACGTATTTCTTTTGAATTTTATATATTGGCTGATCAAGCATAAATTATTTCGAATGATCAGACCGAACAGTGCAAACTTAAAGTCACGTACATTTAGCGTTGAAGGCATCTGAATTAGTGCTAGGTTGTACTTATTTCTAATAGTACATGGTACCACAGTGTGAGTGTAAAAAAGGACTGTACAGATCTATATATGGTTTCATTTTATTAGCGCCAATAGAGAATATCAGCCATTGACGTCATTTGAACATATTTTGATCACATTCATCACACATAGAGACCTACCCATTAAGCAATTTATATTTCAATTCTTGTTTATTGAAATACGGTACAAAGTGAGATTTTTATCATTAAATCAACAGGAATATCACACCGTATGTGTGTAATCGATAAATTCCTGACAGTAACTAAGTTGTGATTAGTAACCACACCTGTCTGAAGCCACATGATTCGTGCTAACTCTATTTTAAAAAATGTGATGTTTTATACGATTTATTTTACATAAGAATTTTAAATTTTTTGATATGTTCCTACTTTGTCGCGCATCGTTATGGTGATATATACATTTTGTAGCCACAGTCCGGTGCGAGGTATATTATGTACTCTCTGTACTTACTTATTGTTGAAACTGGGCATTGTATTTGCTAAACAAAACTGTGAAGTGTACGATTAGTGTTTTGCTAATATTGTGAATTACGTTTATTTATTTCCATTCTTTATTTCATTATTTTTTATTTCATAACAGTATTCATTTATTTCATTACTTATTTACATTATTCATTTGTTTCAATATTCATTTATTTCATTATTCATTTATTTCATATTTATTTCATTATTCAATTATTTCATTAATCATTTATTTCATTATTTATTCATTATTTATTTCATTATTCATCTATTTCATTATTCATTTATTCCACAACATATATTTATTTACCCATTAAATTTTATATTCATTTATTTACTTCTTTTCTTTATATGATTTAGAAAATTGGTAAAAATAGTTATGTAATGTTATTGTTATGTTAATAGAAATGTTATATTTATTTACTTGACAGGATGATGGTTGGTAATGACATCTGATGTGTCATCATGGCAACAGAATTATATAATTCCACAGTGAGTACATTTGAATTAAAAAATACAACGACATCGGAAACAAACTTGCAAGAGGTGTGGTCTATGCCTGTTATCGCTACAGTTATCACTGTTGTTTATCTATCTCTTAATACACTCCTAGGATTATCAGCTAATTGTCTACTAATTATCATAATCAACCATTCCCCGACACTGAAAACGCCGGCAAACGGCCATCTGATAAATATATGTGCAAACAATCTGATTTTGTGCACGTGTATGATTTTATCTCTACTGTCAATTTTGCTGCCTATGGATTTACGTAATAAAATCAATATCTTAACAGGATTTCACGTATTTCTAATATCAAATTGCTTATTTCAATACTTGGGAACATTTGCTTCAATCGGATACTATAGATCAAAAATCATTAAAAGTCCTTCGATGTCAATTAGAAGACGGCGTCAAATTATCACACGGTGTCTGGCGTCATCATGGGCGACGTCACTTGTAGTAAGCCTCATGATGTGTCTTTCTCACATAGAACATGACGTGTATGCTTGTATGACACTGAACCCGTTTCAAGAAGAATTTCTAATATGTGGATCAACACGAAACTATTCCGCCCAGAGATTAGGAGTTGTTGTTATAAGCATTTTTGTTTTTATTACAATGTTCATGATAATTGTGAAGTCATATCACAAAGTGTTCAAAACGCTAAATAAAGGCAACGTTTTTGGTAAAAACAGAGTATCTCCTGTAGCAAGATCACTCAGTTTACCCTCAGAGATTACAGATGACGCCCCTGTACAACAACAAATACAACCTAATCAAGTGTGTGGTATTCAGAATGGACAGTCGGACAAAACAGTTTACACGATTTCGCGCAAGGATATAAAATCAGAAAATGACATTGTTGTGCATTATCAACGAAACGATAGTATCACTATGCTGACGTTTGAAGATATCATTGCGTTAGAGAATCCTATTCTGGCGACGCAAATGCGAAGACAGATTCTGCAAAGGCGCCCCCTACAATTGACTCGTAGCACGGCAAGTAACAACTCCGTGAAGTCTAAAGGGCAAGAGTTTACTGATATATCCGCTAGTGCTGATTTACAAAGATTACAAAACTTTAAGAACAATTCTGCTTTGAGGAACTACTTTCTTAGGAGAGATCGTGCAGGTTTCAATAGTGCAACAAGGAACAGTATAGTAATGTTGGCTTCATTTATAGTGTGCTCGTTGCCAATGTTCGCCTGTATGATACCGCACGTGCTCTCTCAAAACAAGGAAAGTCATAGAGTGCTGATTCTGTTATTCACCAAACTGGCATTTTATCTAAATGCCCCTATTTATCCGATGTGGTATCTCGTTCAGAACAAACGTGTTCGGAAGTGCTTATTTAGAGTGTTTGATTCGCTTTGTCTCAAGTTGGACATGCGTCACTAGACATAAATTTGAATTGTACCACATCTTCAACATTTGTGTTCAGTATTTATTGAAATTAATCAGCAATTTCCGGACTGAAACGAAAATTGTTAAAAATCTAAACTGTAACACTATTGTAGTGTGATTTAATTGGTTCGTTTATGATATAAATGCAGTCTTCATGTCTACATGTGTTTATAAAACCGTCACTAACGCTACCATATATTTCTCTTAACTATAAAATAAAAGGATATAAGCAGGTTCGTTAAATTGGCAGAAAAAATTGTTTGTAGTTATTGTTATAAAAATCCTACCATGAAATGAAGTATGAAAGAGACCAATAGGACAGGAAACCATTAGTGTAAAAAATTACCTTTTGCCTAAATTCGTTGGATACGGCAGGGCAGGGTATCGATACTCGTGGATTGACTGTACCTAAAGTTACTAGTCAACCACCTTTTAATTTCATGAATACATATTTATTTTAAGAAATAAGAATTAATAATCGAGGCCAGTGATGCTTTGACAGTTCACCAACTCTTAAGGAGCGGCATATGCGCTAAACATAGACATATTTAAAGAGCAATGTATCATTTTGTCAGGGATCGTTTTATTGAGTTTTCTGATGGTATTACTTATTGATGTAAAATACCTGTTTAAACTTCTTTTTTCTTTTCTGTATAAAAACATTATGATTACAGAGTTTGAATTTGTTTTATATAGATAAATGTATTTCGCTAAGTACCAATAAAACACTGATTGTGCCATAATTAACATTTACAATCGTTCATACACTAATTAAGAAGCGCGTCTATATTTTCTACATATCGTTCTTCCGGATAATGTTTATGAATAATCGCCGAGGTCTCCCGAATGTCTACATGTCTTTTGGTTCTAAAAGTTTTCATTCCAATGGAAAATATTATTGTGTGAACCTTTAACCTGTTAAATAAAATAAATTGACGTGTCCTACTTTGAATTTGGAATCACAGGTGGCAGTATCAGTGTTTGGACACCCCACCCCTATCTGCCCCTGGACCCCTACTACAACCCTGAAAAAAAAATCAACACTTTAAGGTTTACTATAAGGTACCAAATACAAAACCACCGATGAAATTATATATATAAAAAAAATTTCCACTATAAAAATTATAGTAACTATAACTATAATTTTGATAGTGGGAAAATTTTTTTGGGGTGGGGTGTCCAAACACTGATACTGCCACCTGTGTTTGGAATAGTCCGTTTATTGTTTCAATATTAAAATGCTAAATGATGACCTTTTGCAGTTTATCAATTTTTCTTACAGGCCTCATTTTCGACACTTCCCTGATATATAAAAATGGCTTTAATTAATTAGTCATATGCCTTCACACTTGTAAAACATTTGTTTGTGAATTCAAACCTATCATGTATAAATGAATTTTTTCGGTAACGGTATATTGGGTGTTATACCAAAAACCAATGAGCATAGTCGTAAAATGAACATAACTTTACCAGGGCTCACACTGGCTCAAATAAAATAATAGCCAATATTTTTAACTTCAAATAATAATAGCCAAAAGTTCAGCGGACTATTCACGATTTAGCGATTAACAACATAAGTAGTTGATTAAATAAACATTACATATAAACCTTTTTCAGTTTTATAAGGATTCTCAAATAAACTGATACATTTGTGTATATATTGATAACTACCTTTTTTTTAAAATAGAACCACAACTTAAATTGTTATTATAGAACAGAATAAAAATGTTATATAGTATAATTACTGTATATCAATAATATTAAAGATTCATTATGAATTTACATAATGCTATTATCAAACAATTTCTTTTGTTTGTTCTAATCAAATTTTGTCAGCTATAACCCCTGTCAATTTCCACATTTCACACAGAACTGGAGTAGATCTAGGTCATATTAGCCTATAAAAATAACACTTGCAAACTCATTAACAGAATGCAGCCTTTTTTCTGAATAATTTACTGAAAAATGTCATCATCACCAATGTAATACAAATTTTCTGCCATAATAGTAAAGATTTTTAAACAGAACATAGCTTATTTTCACCTTTAAATAGATATCAAAATTATCGGTGTCGCGAAAATATGTGACAATCGGATTTTTTTCTGTTTTCTGAAGAAATACTCACAATTTTGCTTGTTGTGCAAATAGTTGTTTGGAAGTTAATACTTTTTAAATATTTTATCATTGTTTTCCACTGGCGATTTAGTCAAGTAGCTTAAAACCAAAAAATTTCAAAATTTGCTATTACTGCAATTTACGGTAAATTTTGGGTTGGTCAATATCCAGTTTATCAATTTTAAGACGATCTTTTTGGCTAATTGACGGATAATTTGATGGCTATTATCATGCTAGACAATATCTTTAAAGTACTTATACAATTTTACATCTCGCATGTATTTTTATCACCTCGGGCAATATGGTAAGCAGCACGTGACCGATAAAAAGTTGACACTCGATTAAATCCACCCCGCTGGTGTTAATTGGGTCTACTGCATTCTTTATCGATTTTTACACCTTAAATAAACACTGTTTGAAGTAAAAAATAATCGCCAGATTTTGTAGCCAAAATGCAAAAATAATCGCCAATCTTATAAAATAATCGCAAATGGCGACTATGGCGACCGACAGCGTGAGCCCTGCTTTACAGAGCATGCAGTTGGTATCACGTTAGTTGATAACGAAAGCATATTATACAGTATATGTCTGTTTAAATCTGGTTTTTTATATTCTAAATTATAGTAGAATTGGTAAAAACAAGCCTTCTCATCTTTGATTGAATTTTTTGATTTTTGAAAATAAAATGTTTACCAGGGAAAGCATCTAAACATTCTAAGAAGTTCCCGTTACGTTCACTTACACATTATACAGTATCAAGTCCTTAACCCTAAATATCTGAATTGGACTTGTCCATCTTTTAGTTTAATCAGTTTGGCGTGAACTGACTGACTAGCAAACAGTGAAGATTCTGGTCGTGGATATGTGCCGATTGATCTAACTTGGTCTGCACTGGTCTCAACGGTTCAATTAATTGCTGCCGGTAAATTAATATTCTCAAAACGAGATTAATTGCATATTTCTTGAAACTGTGTGATAAGTTTTTAATGTACATTTCCATGATGAACATATCGTCATTGGCGTAAAAATATGACAGATCCTGACAAAACTTTAAAGTAGATACATTCTACATAGGTACACACACTTTCGACGATTATACATGTATATATAACTATGTTTTTTAATTCAAAACACCGTTCACGCTAATTATAAAATGCTTCATTGAAGTTTCGTCTTTTGACGATATTTATATACGCATGTACCTGTTTGTCTTCACACAAATTATCATACAATCTGTACCCTAATGTAGCAGGTTGTTATTCCGCCTGATGGCGTGAACTTTTCTTATAAATATGTTCTCTAATTATAGCAGACATCTTCACGATCAATATTTCAAACTTACAATATAGTTTCCAGGGAAACAATTTCTCCTGTCTCAGAAAAAGTATATTACAATATTGTCACACGACCAAGTACTAAAAGGTGGTGGGGAAATAATACGTTCGTGTAACATGACAAGAATGATTAAAGAGACTTGTTCATACATCCTCGGTAAATATTTCCGCCGCCCCTACCTGTCCACCATCTCTTTATTTCTAAAAGCAGAGACAGTGACATGCAACACAAATTGGAGAAGAGACTTCAAGTAAATGTAGAATTATGTGTCTGTCTAACGCACTTTTTTAACGCCGTTACCTGTACACCATTTTGACGTTGCGTTGTAGTGTTTTTTTTTTACTTGTAAGGTCATGATGTCAAAAACATTTTCTTAATGTTTACGTATTTATTGAAGTCTAATCACAACTTTTAATTGCTAGAAAGCAATGAAATTGACATTAAAGTTACCAATCATGTTTATGTCTGCATAAAATTAGAAAAAATGTGCACTTTGTTGGTTTTCTCATTGGTCCAATTATACAGACTTGTAGGGAAATGAGAATATACTGACAAGACAAAACTTCAACATTTTGAAGATAACAATTACAATATAAAAGCAAGAGGACCACAGCTCTTAAATGTAAAAGTAGATCAAAACTAGGTCAAAATGTTCTCCTTTGATTTCACACAAAACTTAAGCTATGTACGTGGTCCAAATTTAAAGCGTCAAGGTTTATCGCCTCAAATATCATATCACATTATTACAAAAACAAATTTAATATAAATAGAGCTTTGCATGTAATATTACAATTGGAAGTGAAAATACTTCAATGTACTCATAACACGTGACTTTTCTAACGCGTACCGCACATTCTTCGCTCGGTTCATGAGTGTTCTCAAAAACTGGTTTTGTACAAGCTACCTATTAGTATACCAAAATTTGAAATACCCCTTAGCGGTTTTTGACATCATTCGACAACCTGCAGAAACGGAACACTATTAATAAAACAAGCAATTATCATAGTATTGCAAGCAATCCATAAGTCCCCTACCGGTTAGAACCCCATCAACATTCTGAAGGGCCATTGGCCATTCACTAATGTTTCAATTTTTCTCTATTTTAAGTAAATTTGTTGGAAAAGTTCTTTAAAAGTGATCACAGGAAACAGTTTTTATGAACAGACAGACGGACTGAAGGACACTCTAAAGTTAATATTTGAAACATCCCTGTTACCAAAATATAACATTTTAAAAGCAAAATTCTTAAAGAGGAGATAACTCTTGAATTAAAGATGCAATTTCATAAAAATTTTCAGCTCTTTGTTGTTATATTTGCCATGTTTTAAGCCTATTTGTTGCCAAGGCAACTGATATTTTATCAAAATAGGAAGAACGGATAAGACATGCATAATCTCAAGACTGCTATCTACCCATATGTCAAGTTTCATAAAAATATTTCCAGTACTTTTTGAGTTATAACTGGATTCAGTTTATGTGTAAAATTTGCCATATTTTCAGTCTATGTGTTGCCATAGCAACCAGAATTTTCAACATAGGAAGAAAAGAAAAAGACATGCATAATCTCAAGACTGCCATCTACCCATATGTCAAGTTTCATAAAAATATTTCCAGTACTTTTTGCGTTATCACTGGATCCAGTTTATGTGTAAAATTTGCCATATTTTCAGCCTATTGTTGCCATAGCAACCAGAATTTTTCAACATAGGAAGAAAAGAAAAAGACGTGCATAATCTCCATACTGCCATCTATCCATATACCAAGTTTCATAAAAATATTTTCAGTACTTTTCAAGTTATCCCTGGATCCAGTTTATGTGTAAAATTTTCCATATTTTCAGCCTATTTGTTGCCATAGCAACCAGAATTTTCAACATAGGAAGAAAAGAAAAAGACATGCATAATCTCAAGACTGCCATCTACCCATATGTCAAAGTTTCATAAAAATATTTCCAGTACTTTTGCGTTATCACTGGATCCAGTTTATGTGTGTAAAATTTGCCATATTTTCAGCCTATTTGTTGCCATAGCAACCAGAATTTTCAACATAGGAAGAAAAGAAAAAGACGTGCATAATCTCCATACTGCCATCTATCCATTATACCAAGTTTCATAAAAATATTTTCAGTACTTTTCAAGTTATCCCTGGATCCAGTTTATGTGTAAAATTTTCCATATTTTCAGCCTATTTGTTGCCATAGCAACCAGAATTTTCAACATAGGAAGAAAAGAAAAAGACGTGCATAATCTCCATACTGCCATCTATCCATATACCAAGTTTCATAAAAATATTTTCAGTACTTTTCAAGTTATCCCTGGATCCAGTTTATGTGTAAAATTTTCCATATTTTCAGCCTATTTGTTGCCATAGCAACCAGAATTTTCAACATAGGAAGAAAAGAAAAAGACGTGCATAATCTCCATACTGCCATCTATCCATATACCAAGTTTCATAAAAATATTTTCAGTACTTTTCAAGTTATCGCGGGATCCAGTTTTGTGGACGGACGGACTGACGGACTGACAGACGGACAGACGGACGGACGGACAGACGGACGGACGGACAGACGGACGGAGGGTAAACCTAAAGTCCCCTCCGGTAAACCGGTAGGGGACTAATAAAGCTATGTCAGGCAAGTTTTCACGAGAATTATTAGCGTTTAGTTATGTAACATTTTGCACTAAAGTATTTATTTTCAGCATGAATACAAATTACATTCTTGTGTTTAAAATGAAAGTTTCAGCTGATAGAAGATTTCCAATATGATTGTAAATAATGCAGTTGTTGATCAATGCGCTGTAGAGATCCAAAAGGAACATAGGAGGTCTGTGTGATTTCTGAATGGAAACAATTGTTAATTTAAAAATCTGAAAATAATAGATCTAGGGAAGACAATCATGTTTATTTAGACATTGAATAAATAGTTTTAAATTAAATTTCATACTCGTCAACTTGTGACGTCATAACTGAAGAAAAAATATCGTCCCCGGACATATACTAAGATACACATCGATTTGGAAAATCAGAAATTCACTACAGTAATAGAATACAATACTGATTTCTTCCCAAAAAAAGTGTATGCAGAAGCTATGGGTTACTCATTTGAAAGAGCGGGCTCTACACTTTATTTTTTAAACATAAAACTGTAGATGTAAATCCTGGACCGGCTTTACTATTGGTTTTCTGCGCAGATCACTAAAAAGTCACTTGGTATAGGCACCGTGTATAACATTAATTTAGCCAATAGGAATAAATTTCGTATTACTGCTTGCAGAAAGATCCTTTAGACAAGTACATGTAATAGACATAAGATTGCTTTTCAACTGACAGTTAAAAATATCTCTCATTACTTGAATAACACAACGCATAAAAAGTTTTCAAAATCTTTAGTTTTAATACGAATAATGTAAACATTACAATGTCACTAACTATTTTCATCTCATAATAAAGAGTATTTACAAAACAAAATATAACCATATTGCAATATTAGGGTCAAACATAGGTGACACAATGATATACTATACAAGTGAAAAACCTTCATGTACTAAAACATTATTATATATAAAAGCTCCCATTTAAAACTTGTACAAAGAACAAAATAAAATCATTTAAAATTTTTGTGTTTTGTGTAATGTCTTATAGCAGGTATAAAGGTCTAGCCCATAAGGTTGTACAAAGTTTGCACTGGACATATTTTATGTTGTTTTTTATAAAGATCAATTAATTAATGTTTTATGCTCTTGGGCATGAACTTTCAAACACAGATATTTTAATACTCTTACAAAACATGATTTTTGTAACAAATAAAATTCAAATTTCATTTTTGACCTTGACAGTTAATGTCAATTAAAGGTCAAGGTCACATTTGAATTTTGTCATGTATTTTTGTCCCAGTATGAATCAAATCTGTAAATAAATAATAAAGTCACAACAATTTAATCAAACTTCACTAATTTGACCTTGACAGTCAAGGTCAAACAAACATTATGCTATCACATAAGCTCATCTTTGAGCACCTTGTGATTTGTATACCTTAGTAACATATTTCTTCAAGATACTTAGAAAAAAACACACCAACACTTCAATGAGATAAACTGAAAACTGTTGTCTAAAACCATGTAAAATTAAAACCGTGTTTTAAATAGTTTAAATAAATTGTTAAATGACATCTTATAAAATAGTAGTGAGAAAAATGATTTAAAATATCAAAGTGAGCAACATATTTAACAATAAAAATCAATTTTACAAATAATTAATTAATCATTATTCTTTATTTTTGCTATTCAAACCTGGATGATAACAGAAACTACTTTTAATCTCATGCTCAACAAAGTGTGAGCATAAATGATGAAATGCATAATCCTGTAATTTGTAAGAGTAAACTAGTTTTTGAGCCAAATAACCTATATTCCTACTTTATATAGAGGTAATAAACAGATTCAAACAAATTTTGGTAACAAAGTTTTCCTTTGATTTTTACTTATGACCTAGTTTTTGACCTCTGATGACCAATTTTACAATTTGTCCGATTAAGACAAACAATGACTTTATTAATATTTTTTACAGGTTTATGTTAACTAAGTTGCCCCTAGGACAGGGCCTCTTTCAAACCAAAGAGCATGATTTATACATTTTGTAAATCAGACGAACAACCAGAGACATAAAAGTATATGTCCCATAACACATAAAAGTATCTTTAATTTTCTTAATAATCATTTTAAGAGCTTCTAATATATGTACAAGAACACAGTCATTCAATATATGTACATGTATCAATGATAATTACCAAACAAATAAAATAATTGATTTATTCATTCATTGAAAATGACTTTACACAATATTCAATTAATTACAGATTTTTAAAATGTACACAAAAACGTTTCTTTATAATTTGATTTAATGTAAACCCTGCTAACAAGTTCATATATAACGTCTCCCATAAACGCTGTTAAATATTATGTAAAAATTTACAGACAAGCAATCTAATTAACAAAACTGGAACAGTTAATGATCAATGCAAGACATGTTGCACAGTTACATTAGAGTTATGAAAACATAATAACATGCCCTATATTACTAGTGAGGTGAATAATATTAAACAAAATATTTCAAATAAAATATACAACTTAACAATTTCAACTCTACACTAAGTACACATTTTTACATGCTTTAAAGTTTTATGTTATAAATAAACTGATCTGCTAAAAATCTTTTTTTTTTTCTTACTCAGAGACATTCTTCTCTCTCTTATATTTACTTAACTTAGCATACACTGGTAAGTGTACATTTTTTCTTATCAATTATCATATAACAAGCCAAATTTTTGTCAAAACAAACCAGGTTTACTCCTGAGAAATGTCAGGCATCTTGTGCATAGATGACTATTCCTCTATTACTTACAACTGTAATTTATATGAAAAAGAAACAAAAACAAACATAATTTTGCCAAAAATAGTCAAATCTCAAAAGTTCAAAAGTCGTCCACTATGAACCAACACACTTAGTGACAATAGCCCTATAACGGTTTGGTAAAAATCTTTAGAGGAAGAGTATTTATATATAACATACAAGTATGATAAAAAAAGAACAAAGGGCCATAACTCTGCTTAAATTGATTAAACAACAAAACCTTGACAATATGTGCCAAATACACTTCATGACAAAAGTTCTGGGAAGTTTGCTTGAGATTCTGTTGGAAATGTTGGTACATACCAGGCAATATTTACCAATCTAATAACCAGTATCAGAAAGCATGGTTAAAAGTGTTAATATAAGTTGACAATTTAACAACAGATAGTGCCAACATTTAATTTGTGTGTAGTTTTATAGGAACAGAATTGGACACATTCCTTATAAGTACATAAATATAGCATGAGATAAAGAAAGAAAAAAGAATTTATTCTGAGAAAAACTTATGAGTAGAAAAACTGGCTTTCCATAAGTAAAACAATTAAGACATTTGACATGATAGCACCACCATATCTATCAAGTATATATACATCTCATTTAAAGGTTCCCTAATCAGCTACCTCAAATATGTTAACTTCTTGTTGAATTGTGTCTATGACAATATAAAATCCATTAAAGAGATCTTACAAAGTTAAAGCAAAGTACAGTTGTGTACAGAGACCAAAGGCCCTTGATAATTCCTGTTGACCTATGTCACACAGCTAATGTCAAACTCAAATGATGAGTTGACCTTCGTCATCTTTAAATGAACAGCAACTTGCAACAAGTGCTATAATAAGAAATCTCAATAATTTAACCTTGAAGGTCAATTTAAGGTCAAGGTCATATCAGAATAATTCAAAATTTTGGTTTCGTCATATGTGATACTACCAGCTAATTACAAACATTGGTTTTGTTCTTAACACTGTAATTAACTTTCCAAATGGAAAAAAAAAACATAACAAATAAAGGATATATAACAAAATAAATTAGCATCTCATTTAACCTGACAAGCTACCATACAAGTATACTGAGACTTTATGATGTAGTTTATAAACATTTAAATTAACAACAAACAAATACTGATCAACATTAACAATGAAATTAATCACTACATTTATCCATCTTTTCTAGTACAAAAGATAACCTGTTAGGGGAAACTGCTCTTGATGAATTTAATTAGGTTAAGTAAAGATAAGCATTAATTTAGAAAAAAGTACATATATTGCTTTATCAAATAAAATACTTCAAATATCACTGAATGTGATAAATACACACAGCTTTAATTCTTAAGCCATGAGCCACCACATTCAGGGACCACAGGACTGGGCATTTTTTTACACCAGGGGCATAATTTGTATAACTTAAGGTAAAGATCTAGTGGGTAAAGCTTCATGCCAAATATTGAAGGTCTAAATGTGTTTTCCATTATACAATGTATTTGAATACAGAAAAATAAAATAAGTATTAACATAACATAATGTTTTTAGTCAATTAAAGTTTATGCAATTAAGTGACCTCTGGGTTGGTCAATTTTAACCCTGAAGGCAAGATTTATATTACTTTGGTAGATATATGAATTTTTTATAGTCCTTTCATAATCATAGCTCTTTTGACCTAGTTAAGCACCAGTCTGAAACATTTGTACAATGTTGGTAGTGGGCCACAAGTATAACACAAATTTTCTATGTTAAAAGATGGGACATAATTTCCTTAATATAGCTGGCGAGTTATGACATATATCATGTGGGTAATGACAATGAACTTCTATCTAAAATATTATATAACTGTACAAAATCTTTATCAGAAATCTTTACATACAAGGGTGGAGATGCATTCGATGTTTTGGTATGGGGGTGGGAGGTGATTCAAACAGAATTGCACATAAACATTTCTAATAATGACATTTAATTGTTGCAGGAGAAAAGGATGTTTCTGTTAAATCATTAATGACACACCTTACTGTTTATTGGTATTAGTTTATTTTTTTGGTTTTCTTTCCTTTGTTCAATTAATTTAATGGACTTGTGTTTGTATTAAATATAGTATACAGTGTAAGTTAATGGAAGAGGTTTTGGTATGAAGCAGTCAACAGAATACTGGCCAGGCTTCCTACTGCAGGTATTGCCAAGTTAATAAAACTACTAGCTTTCAAATGGTTAAAAGTCAACCATAACAAAACCGAAAAGTCACAGACTTTAAAATTCCTCTCTTTTTCTTCCCTTTTTAAGTTGGTGTTTGTTACACCGACACTATAAAGGTCATATAGCAACTTCTTAACTATACTGGTGGAGGAAGACCTTAAAAGGTACCCCTTTGTCCATCATTTCAGTCATAAGCAGGTACCTGAGTAGAACAACTGACATTCGTGAGCCAGCTAGATAGCTTTCTCACATGAAAGAATCCTGAATTCCCCAAATAAATTTGTAACAACAGCTAAGGGGACAAGTGGTTTGAAATCAAAAACGTTAACCACTTAGTCACAGATGCCCAAAGTAACATGTTAAGTTACTGAATTTTTGCCAACCATACTGGTATACTTCATATTCTTCTTCAATCTTCACTGAGGATAAATAACATTAACAATTGTGTAAATCTTTAGGCACTTTTCCTAGTTTAGTGTGAGATTGTCAAACTTTGAGTCTGAAATATCATTTTCACATATAATTTTCTAGTGTACCAGAAATGTTTCAAAAATTAAACACTACATAATTGGTAAGATAACAGTGCAGGTAGTGCCAAAATAATTATCAACAGTATGAGCATGAATATGAAGGTAATAATACAACACATACCCAAACTCATCTAGAGCATCATATTAATATCTTTTTTAATATTTATTTAAAAAATTATCTTACTATACAAAAACTTGTAAATATATTCAAAATGAAACTTTGTCCATTGTCATGTAGTACATTTAGCCTGCCCATTTCTGTTACCTGTACACAATAATTGTATGAATCTCTATTTAAACTACACCATATCAACATTTTTGTTGTCAAAGTAAGTAGTAACACCATCAGGTCTGTAAGCTGGTCTCTGTACCGTCCTGTGACTGGGTACACCTATCAGAGTTGAAGGCTGAAAATATAACATAAAATATTCATCATCTGTTTCAGAACTGGTTCATACCAAGAGGGCCATCATGGCTACACTTCACTTGCAGCCACAGATTTTAGCCACATAAAATTTTACTTTAATGTATAATAAGTATCAAGGAAATAAAATGCTATCAATTGTTCCCACCAATTGTTCTCACAGCCACTTAAATACTCCTTGATGAATGCGGAAGTGTAAACAACAAAGAAATAACATTAAACAAAGTTCCTTTTCACATATATAGTGGACTTACTAACATTTAAAGTATTGTTATTTCTGGCAATTACAAGGAGCTAATCTGGAAAAAGAAATATTATTATAAAAGTTTACAATGACAATTCTATAACTAAATGGCTATATAAAGACATTATTATAACCAGCTTTTAAATTTTTTTTAAAAAATATTCTATTATGTATTTACCAATGGCTCTATTTCAGTAGGACTGTTACCATAGCGATCGTCAACATGAAAGTCATCTTCTTCTTCTTCATCCTCATCTTCTAGAAGATTCATCATTGATGGAGCAAGCTTACCATCGAGTCTGATCAAATCGTTAAGGTCTTCAAACTAACTTAAAATATTTCGTCCATAACAAGATTTCAAACAATGTTTTATAAATAAAGAGACATTACCTTTGTAAACTTACATGCCAATTAATTTATAATCAAGGTTGTGCAGTCAAAAAGCAAGTAAAAATTAGGCGAGTTATAATAATGAAATATAAGTTGATGAAACATCGCAACAAGACAGGCATATAATTTCTTTGTGGAAGTTTGGGAATCATTTACTCCTTGATTCTGGCTATGATTTCCAAAATATAATGCTTTTCCTTCTTGACCTATATAATTTGACTTCTAAAGTCAGACATTTGGCACTCTCTGACCTTAATGGAAGCTCTGTATTAAGTAATAGTGTACTACAATTATGATATCAGCAGTCATTTTAGACAAAAACCTACTATACTTGCTAGCATAAATACTACTGTGTTAAAAAGAAAGTAGAATATTGGCTTAAAGAAGTTTTTAATTAAAATTTGTAACTAAAATACATTTCCCAAATTTTTCAAGATAAAATACATATATTAAAGGATACATTTGTTTAGAGTTTTTCTTCTTTCTCTTGAAGAATTTTCGTGCTAATGATGCCAACTGTTTCTTTGATGCTGAAAACATATTAAGACATCTATCAAGATAACGCTTTACTAATCATAAAGTTAACATAGATTATTACCTGGCCATTCTTAGGTTACTACTGTTTTATTTTTAAAAATAGTTCTTTTCAGCTTAGAACAAACAATAAATACCAGTACTCATATTCTAACTTATTTCTTGATGATATAGTGTGTCCGTTTGACCCTTGAAATGACTCTTATTTCCAAAAGGATTTTAATTGAAGGGTCAAATTTTGTTAAAATCATCGGGATTTAATCTTGTAGTCAGTAAAACTTTAGCAAAATGACCCTCAGGATTTCATGGCTAGTGAACACCCTGTGACAGATCATTTGTCAAAAGTTATAATCATACATAATAACAAGAAGACCATGATGACCCTCAATCACTCATCTAATTTCTATGCCAGAAATATTCTTCTTTTTTAATGTATAAGTAGATAGGTAGGTTTAACAAGTCCTTGGTCATTTAGTTTTCTCTCAAGAATTTTTGTTTTTTTTGAGAACCACAAGCTGTTGTTACATGCCAAACATCCTAGATCTGGGCACTGCAGTTTCTGCGGGGAAACTTTAAATAAATGTTAAACAAGTGGCTTCAGGATTGGGCTGTTTTTCCAAGAGACATGCCTCTTTATAAAACTTTTGTAGAGGTCAACTAGATCCTGCATATAAACTTACTGCATAAAATCTGAATGCAGACTTGGGAATGAAAAGGTCACCTATCCACAATGAAAAGACCACCTATTCACAATGAAAAGACAACCTGTTCACAATGAAAAGACCACCTGTTCACAATAAAAAGGCCACCTATTCACAATGAAAAGGCCACCTGTTCACAATGAAAACACCGCCTGTTTACAATGAAAAGACCACCTGTTCACAATAAAAAGGCCACTTATTCACAATGAAAAGGCCACTTATTCACAATGAAAAGGCCACTTATTCACATACTTTCAGTGATGTAACTAACTATAGACCAACCTTTGCCCATTCCAGTGAGTTGTCTGCGTAGTTCAGCATCATCATCTTTATCTTTAGGTATAGGCTGACTAAATGGGAACGCATCTAAAGTTTTATCACTGTCATCACCATAACCTTCATGTACTGGAAATATAAATATAATAGTTACTTACATATCAACATTTTGTGATCAATAGTTAAAGTTTATAGTTTACAATGTTGATTGAAAGTGTATTAATAGAAACCAATAGTAAACTGTAATGTATTCAAAGTTATCGGATTTGTATTGATAGTTTCTTGCTAAGTAGTCATAGTTACTGTTATGCATTTATAACTACTAAATTCTTTTTCAATAAGTGACAACATACAAATATTTCACATAAATAATTTTTACACATTAGATAACAATTAGAAATTGTAATATTTCATAGTTAATGCCATTAATAGTTTCAGTGGTAATTTATAGCAGAAGTTTAAATATACATAGATAAATATACTTCCTTATTACACTTAAGTAGTCCTTATAATTTATCATAAAAAGAAATTCTGACAAAATCCTCAACATGTGTATAGTGGTAACTATCTATCATGACAATGTGCATAAACACACTTATAATTTTAAAAGCCATGACAAAAAGTGCAGTTTGTCATTAGTTAACAATATTCTGGATAAACTAGGTATACTATATACTCACTGTCATCAGAAGGTCTTAAAACTGGGGGTGTAACCGTAACTGATGTATTGCAATCTTTCCTCTTTTCATTCACTCTCTCTGTAAAAATAAAACCATAAATCAATCATTTTTGTTCATTTGGATTCAGCTTATATGTGTATTCATTACAGTCACTGACTTACATTAAAGTTTTTATGATGATCCTAGATTGCCCACTTGTGAACCATTGCTAGACCAGATTAAAATTTCAACAGAGTACCAGTAGAAAAAATCAGGGTCACAAAGGTCAAGGTTTGAATTAACACAAATTTTTTAAGCTTAATATTTAAAAACACCATTGGAATCACCAAAGGTCAAAAACTCTATACCAATTACATAAAATTTTACTTCAGGGCCATAGCTTAAAAATTCAAGGTCAATAGATTCAAGCACATGATTGCTGAAATTTAGTCTAAACAAAAATTTTTGGAAGCACAGACAAAAGACAAACAGACAGAAACTCAGAAAGGTGACTGCATGCCCATTGGGAATCATAATATATCTATGACAACAGAATAAAACTTTACCCTTTTCTAGAGTCTTCATAAAGTCATCGTTACTTCTTAACTCCTGTAGAAATTCACTATTTTGTAATGCTAGAGCTAGACGTTCATCCTCGAGATATCGGGCCATCTCTGGGTCAATATCTGCCGATGTACGCTGTCTCTGTCTCTCATTCTCCTTCATACGCTCTTGTAACATGTCCTTACTGAAGTCATGTGTTTCTATTATCTGTAAAACACACACACACACACATTAATTAACTATTATTACTATTATTACCTACAAAAAAGAACATTTTGTAACTTTAAATATGAAATATCAAGTAGGAACCATACATTTATTATAGTTTCATCAAATGACATTTGAATGAATTGTGGACAACAGACAGCAAAGGCCCTAAAAGTAAAATTTCACCCTGTCACTGTAACCTGACTTAATGGCATTAATATCAATAGTGGTCATAAACTGGTCAAGGAAAATAAAGCCTCAATCACCTACTATTGTACTATCCTAATACTTACTATAAGCTATGATTGCAATCATGGTGTAATTGATCTACAAATGCTTTACACTTCTATGTGAATGATAAGAAAACTAATTACCACAGAATGGTTCCTAGACTGAGATGAAGAAAGTCTATCTTTATGCCGGGCACCAGATGACTTCTGTCCCCCATCCACCATACTAAATGACCTCGATATCTTTTCTGATGATTTATTCTTCTTCTCTGCGCTTTTAGATTTACTTTCCTTATCTTTTGTATCTTTGGTACCCATACTCAATGAACGTGAAAACTTTTCTGATTTGCTTCGACCTTTGTGTATTTTTGGCCGAGCGTCTGTCAACGACATAACATTGACAGGGGTAGCTGACAAGTTAGCAGTTCTGTCAATATCAGATTTGGCACTAGCTACTCCAGATTTAGAATCAGGTAACATAAGTCTTAAGAAGTCATCCGGTAAATTACCCAACATTGGAGGATTCCAGTTCCTGAATTCTCTCTTCAGTGAAGTGGTTTGATTATCACAACTATTTGTCCTATGAACACTGAAACTACTGCTCTCCATGACAGGTGAAAATCCAATCCCTTGACCAGCACTATTTGGCAGACCAGCCGGGCTTAATCTAGCCATTGCTCCTAGTGGTTCAGGGTGAGAATCTACCTCAAGTTTTAACTGATTACGACTGGGAAGTTTAGGTTGACCTATAGGGGTGGTCCAAATGCTCTGTGTTTGGTCTGTAGGGCCTGGAGTTCTCATTGCCTCTGAGTAAGATGGGGGAGAATCCTCACTACCACCAGCAGCCACCAGACTATGATCCTCATAACTTGGGATCTGTGGCTGAAATAAACAAGACAGTTAAGATGGTCCTACATAGTTCACCTCAGATCCACTGCCAGAACTGTTCATTCAAAAATTGAAAAAAAAAATGTTTTTCAAATTTAAGTCTACTGTTCCACTTGTATGAAGTCACAATTACATTGTACAAATATAAGGCAGGAATATTTTTTCTTACTTTAGGGCTATGATTCAATATAACTGTTGTAGAGGTCCACATGTAAATTTTACATGCCAAGTATTTAAGCTCTAGAACATTTATTTAAAAAAAAAAAGATTCCTTTTTCTTTACAAGTCTAAATTAACTGATCCCTTTGAAAGGACTAATTTTAGCCCCAGGGGCTTGATTTATATAACTTTTGTAGAGGACCACAAGATGATGCTAGCCTCCCTACCAAAACTGTAGTTTTAAAAAAAGAGTAATTTTTATATAAACCTATGTAAATATAAACAAGAGAGAATTCATTTTTTAAGTCTACTTTTAGCTCCTGCAACCTTTTGTTTTGTTTGTTCAAACTAGAACTGCCACTATCATGGCGTGAATACCCCCGCATACCACTTTGTCAGAATCAACAGTGGCCATTTAGAGCTCAAGAACAACCTCCCTGCCAAATCTGAGGTTACTAAGCCAGTGCATTGCTAAGTTATGTATTCTACATGCTTCAAATGTGAAAATGTCAAAATCAATACATTGCGGACAGGACATTCTTTAGCAATTGAGAAGAAAAGCTTTTTTTTTGTCAAGGTCCCTGTGACCTTGACCTTTGACCCAGTGACCTCAAAATAAATAGGGGTCACCTTATAGTCATGATCAACATCCATGTCAAATATGAAGACTGTAGGTCAAAGGAATCGTAAGTTAATGGGTGGACAAACTTTTTGAAGTCAAAGTCCCTATGACCTTGACCTTTGATCCAGTGACCTCAAAATCAAAAGGGGTCATCTACTAATCATGATCAACATCCATGCCAAATATGAAGACTGTGGGTCAAAGGAATCTTAAGTTATTGGGCAGACAAACTTTTTGAAGTCAAAGTCCCTGTGACCTTGACCTTTGACCTGGTGACCTCAAAATCAATAGGGGTCATCTACTAATCATGACTAACCTCCATTCCAAATATGAAGAGTGTGGGTCAAAGGAATCTTAAGTTATTGGGCGGACAAGCTTTTTGAAGTCAAGGCCCCTGTGACCTTGACCTTTGACCTGGTGACCTCAAAGTCAATAGGGGTCATCTACTAATCATGACTAACCTCCATGCCAAATATGAAGACTGTGGGTCAAAGGAATCTTAAGTTATTGGGCGGACAACCTTTTTGAAGTCAAGGCCCCTGTGACCTTGACCTTTGACCTGGTGACCTCAAAGTCAATAGGGGTCATCTACTTATCATGACTTGCCTCCATGCCAAATATGAAGACTGTGGGTCAAAGGAATCTTAAGTTATTGGGCGGACAAGCTTTTTGAAGTCAAGGCCCCTGTGACCTTGACCTTTGACCTGGTGACCTCAAAATCAATAGGGGTCATCTACTAATCATGACTAACCTCCATGCCAAATATGAAGACTGTGGGTCAAAGGAATCTTAAGTTATTGGGCGGACAAGAAAAAACCGACGGACGGCCGGACGGACGGACAGACAAGCTGATTCCAGTATACCCCCCTTACAACTTTGTTGTGCGGGGGTATAACAAGCTGATTCCAGTATACCCCCCTTACAACTTTGTTGTGCGGGGGTATAAAAAGCAGATGTTATTTAAAGAAACTGTGGGTAAGGACGCATGATTGACTACACAAGAAGGACGACTTGCCACCACAAAAGTTCATTTCTGAGCATGAGCTTCAGACATTTTATTTAAACAAAAGTTCATTGGTAAGTAAAGAATTCTATTAATTCTATTTCTAAAGCAAGAATAGATACTGTTTCAATAACTGCTTTTATATTTTAACCCAAACATCAAGTATTTTTATGCAGATTCTCTAGTAGCAAGTAAGCATACATATATACTCAAGGAAAAAATTTAAGGAAATTAAACAAAAGTCACGATATCAGTAAACAAAAGTTATGATAGTTTTTACCTAAATTTGGCACTGGCCCTTTACAAACAAGGAGCAAATGACTACAAAAATTGAATTTTTGCAACAAAAGCACAGTTTTGTGTGTTAGGTGATCATATAGTTACCATATCTATTATTTGAAACTTGCCTTAAGGTGACCTATAACTTTACCACAACAAACCTTAAAATTCACTGCTATTGATGTGAAAGTGGAGTCATTACATACCATGTTGAATTCTGCACCTGCTGCTTCCTCCTTCACAGTACTCATGTCCTCATCAATTGTCATGGTGAGCAACTGATCAATCGTTGCATCAACAGCACCATCATTTGCTCTCAGCACTGCCTCGATAACCTCATCGTCCAGTGTTGGAAACATGTTCTTAAAATCTGACATTGCTTGAAAGAAATCAAGCTGCCGTGTGCTCCGCCGTGAACGACTTTGTCGCTGACCAGGACTTGCATCCTGATTTCTACATATAAACAATATTAAGTAATTAAACATTGAATGTTGTCATTATCAAATCTGTTATCTTTACAGTCAAATCAGTTAACTTAAAAGGTGGTCAAAGAACATAATGAGTGTTAGTATATTTTCATTTTTTGACAGCATATGACTTGTGTACACCATATGCAACTCTGGGTAATCTTACATTTTTGTCTGACCAAATTAACACCTTTTCTGAGCAATTTTAACATTATGGTAGACATGTCTACAATTAAGACATTCACAATGTTCAAATCAGAAATGTTTGGTGAACATATTAAAGTTACTTATTTATATTTCAATAACTTGAATGAAACATCTTTCAATACAGTGTTGTTTTTTTTGTCTCTACTTTGGGAATGGTGCCGGTATCAGTCTGATTGGGGAGAAATGCGTTATTTTGACTTAAATTGGGAATTTTTATTATGCATTTTTTCAGCTACAAATAAGATTAGTCATCATGAATAAAGGTAGCTAACAGCTTCCACTGTCCAGGAAGAACTATTTAGTGGTGATTTATATGAATATGTTGGATTTAAATGATTTCAGAGAATATGTTGGATTTAAATGATTTCAGAGAAATCTCTTGGCCTTGTGGGAATTTTGAACAGCCATTTTGGGAATTTAAACATTGGATAATTTGAAATTGGGAATTTTATTTTGGGAATTTAAACATTGGAAATTAGGAATTTTAATGTCTTTTTTCTATTGGGAACAGTGCCTTTTTAGGGTAGTAATTATATAAAGAAGAAAAAAAACACTGCAATAAAGGAAAAGTAATAACTGAAAGTTATAAGAACAAAACTATTATTCCAGCATCACAACAGGGTTCTCACTTGGATTTTCAAAATGGGAGTCAAAGCCAGAAAAAGTAGGAATCTTAAATCTTGTCTAAAACATTTAAGCCATCTTTGCTGCAATTCAATTGATCAAGAAGAGCCGACACCGTTCAAAAATACCACTGAGCCCTAGCCTTACTAAATGTAAGTTATGCAACTGAAATCTGAATTCTGTATGTCATCCTAATGACATAAATATTTTAGTTAAATGCTCAAATTATAATCAATACCTGTTATAAGTTCTACAGACATATTAGTGAAGACATGAAATTTCTAACCTACAGGCTGCAAATCAGTGGAACAAGGTAAGTCCCTTCAAGCTTAAAACAATAATTTCTTATTTGTAAAATATTTGTACGATTACAGACCATGGCTTTATTTAAAATTTCAATCAGTGTTATACTCTGAACAGCCATAGTTATAATGTGTTGTAATATACCTGGCTTCATCCTCCTTCCGTCTTGTCTCAGCTGTTGCCATTATGTCTCACTTCACCAGTTCAACTGTCATCAAAGTTAATCACTAACATTGTTCTCCATATAACTTTCCTCACATTGCTTACTTGTAACTTTCCTGTAAAAGAATACTGGTAGAATTATAACATGATACTATTGGATGTTGAAAAATACAACTTTGACACAGCTACGGGAAATCCTCTGGATTCTTTCTAAGCGCTGTATTTTTTGGTAGTGTTTGATGCTGGATGGAATTTCTCCCTTTTATTGTTAGTTATACATGTAGCTTAAAATGCAGCTCTGTCGACTATTTCAAATTAAATATACTACTAACCAGGCAAGTCTAAGATTAAGAATGTACTGGTATTTGTAAGCAAATAATTTAAAAACTAGAAATGTGTCCATAGGACACGGATGCCCCCACACGCCACTGCTCTGTCAATCTTATGACTCTAGGTCAAATATTTTTTGGACTTCATGTGCCACAAGTTGAAAACTAAAAATCAACAAAGGGCCATAATTCTGTTAAATTTGGTTGCAGCAAAAATTCCTTCCTTTACTGCCATCTACACATTAAGGTTGTTCATCCCTGTAAGTTTAAGCAAAATCTGCCGTCCGGTTAAAGAGGAGTTGCGTTCACAAGATTTCGGGACATACGGACGGTCGGACAAGTGCAACGCTATATGCTCCCACTCTGTGGGGGCATAAAAAGAAAAGAAATCATAAAAATAAATCTACATTTTTTCTCAAGTTTAATACATTATGTTCCATTCTAAACCTAGAAGTATCACTGAAGGTGATAAATATCTCCACCACCATTCGAGGATGAATTTCTCAGGGTTATAGAGCATTGTGAATTAAACTCTGAGTCTGAGCTATATATGTATGCAGTCATGGTTCCCCGTTGGGCGCAAGATGTCACTTGGTGAGAAAAATGTGCAGCCTGACTGGAACTTGAACCTGGGACCCTTGGAATACCATACAGCAGCTCTAGCTTCTGAGCTATCCAGCCACTTAACCACTTTCTCCCATAATTAGCAGGGCCAAAACACCATTTTTGAGGAAGGGGCCTCAGCCTTTTTCTTGGGGAAAATATGCATGATTTTGGCATACTTTTGGAAAAGGGGTCTCAAACTTAACACAAAATTTTAACAAGTTCATCAAAATAGAAAAGCAAAAAGTACTGGGAAATACTTATAAGGCAGTAAAAGACCTTAATTCAACACCAACATTTAATTTTGTTCTGAATTCTATGGGATTTCAAAAGACTGGGGAATTTTGAGGAACAAACTGGGGAAAAAAAGAGGCTAGTTTGGTTGGGGAAGCAGCCTATATTCGGCCTCTACAAAGAATGGTTTTTTGGCCCTGATTAGTGAACAGTTCAATACTGTGACATAAGTTTCCTTACCATTATGATTTATAGTAGAACTGCTATAGCTTCTGTACATGATGGAACTAAAGTACAAGTACAAATGAAGGATTTACATTTTTGAGTCTGCAATCTTTACATCTTTACTTTATTGAGACTTGATGGTAAAAGGTAATATTATATTTTCAGATATATGTAAAAATTGTTTGAAAACAAGTTGTATCGTTGTAGCGAATTAGTAACGATTCGCCACACTAAGGATTTGTCACATAATGATTCGCCACAGAGTAATAACGATTCGCCACAGTTAAATAACAATTCGCCACAGTATGATTATAATAATGATTTTTTTAGTATTCAACAAACTTATTTCATTTTTTTTTAATAATTTGACAATGACAATAATTTAATAATGTTTCTTAATACAAGCTAATATGAAATTAAGGCCCCCATCGATAAAGTAATAGAAAGAGCATCGAAACACAAGGCTATCTGATTTGTATGAGGGGGCGTATGAATGAACCAATGAACGAGCATCTGAATATGATATTTCTGTCGCTTTCCCTTTGTCTTCCGTCACAATAAGTAAACCCCAGCAAAAATGAGCCAATCAATGGGCATGCTCTGGAGTGCGGGTAACTAATACCTGCACTCCAGTTAACGCACTGTGCATGTATATGTATACGATTTAACACATTTTCAACAGAAAGGTCCCCAAACTACGTAACAATAATATAAATATAAATATTTATATAAATAGCGAAGTTTAACTTATCTACAAAGTGTAATGTAATTTTGGTAATAAAATATATTTGTTTTCATGTGTCTTCATTCAATAAAAGTTGTTAGTATAATTTTCCAGTTTATATAAATAACGATGTTTAACTTATTTAAAATGTGTTAATAAATGTAATTTTGGTAATAAAATATTTGGTTTTCATGTGTTTTTATTCAATAAAATTAACAAATGAAATATAAGGCCAATTTTTTTTTATATTTTGGTTTACTGATTTTTTCCAAAAAAAGGTAGGGTCGGCGGCGGCAAAAAAAAAAAAAAAAAAAAAGTTTTCATAACTATAAATGTGGTGCATACATATACATAGTACTTACTAGAGCAATGAAATTAAATACATCGCCGATTGTCTATTCCAAAGATTGTTTAAATACACAAAAAAAATATTTTGCTCATATTGCCATTGCTTAAAAACACACATGAAATCTACACACAATGACTTTTGACAAGTGGCAAGCGAGCTTTTCAAAAGAATCTGTCATTCTTTGATGTTTACCCGCTGCTGTGTAATCTGAATCATCAAAGGTGCCGAAAATCAGCTGACTTGCACTCATTTCTTTATAGATCAGATGTTAAAAAAAAGTGTCAAGAAAAGATTACACAAAGTCATGTTCAATTTTGCCCATTGTGAAAATATTTTTATCGGATAAAAAGCAGGTCAATTTTTGACATAAAAATCTATTAAAAGTAAGTGCGGGCATTTTTTTATTTTGTTTGTTTGAAAACCTGTATTCAATCTGCTTTTACAGACTAATTTTTTTTTGTTAAATCTGAAAATACTGATCTTGTCAATTGCAGCAGATTTCTCTCGCTCTGTCCTTGAATGTAATTGCCTACGTAATTTGGCGTGTTTTTTTTTTTCTTTTTTTTTTTTACATTTTTACGCATTTCGACCTTCAATGCATTGATGAAATATGATCAAAGCCTAATTATAATTCTGTGAGAATGGCTTGACCCCATTTAACAGACATTCTTTCATAATACACCAATAAATACTTTCCCCAACTAGCAGACGACAGGCTATTCTCCAGTAAAGATAACCGGTTGCGTATCTCACTGTATAAATCGTATGTAAAATAGTCTGGCATATGGTAGGTTTAACAGTTAATTAAAATACTTACCGCGACATTTCTTTGACAAGTCGTTATTAGCAGCGTATTTCAAGACAACACAGATTTTTTTTGGGGGCAGATTTTTTTTTTTTTTTTTTTCATTTTCCCAAAATACAGAGTCGGCGGGTCAGTAAACCGAAATATCAAAAAATAATGGCCTAAAAGGAAAAAAGTTTTCCATCAACAGTTTGAAAACAGGTGTGAAAAAGTTTGTATTTGAACACGTGGCATATCGTTGTTTAACTGTGGCGAATCATTATTACTCTGTGTCGAATCGTTATGTTGCGAATTGTTAATGTGGCGAATCGTTACATTACCGTTGTAGCAGATGTCCAATTCGTGTTTAAATATTAAAACATTTTTGGTAGAATGTTGACAGGGGCGTATCGTGTTGGGGGGAGGGGGCAGGACCTGATCCCCAAGCGTCTGTGATTTTACCCTGGTTTTGCGATTCACAGTCCAACACTCTGTGACGTCTATCCAACGACCAGTTTAGAAATTTACAAACCCAGTAATTGTTGATCACGGTTGTTACAATTTTGAGAACACTTATTACATACAGACAGAATACACTTTATGCCCCTTCATTGGCTCATGATAGGGTCAAAACAGAGGGATCTTGTTATAATTTCTATAAAAATCTTAGTCTGATCTGAAGTTTATAAACGAAACCTTCAAATCTAAAACATTTTCTCAATTTTTTTACTCATAAACATATAGAGAACTCAAATTCGAAAAGCTCACCTTTGATTAAAAAAAGAAACCAAAATTGACCTTTATGGATTCTAAATGAAAACTAATATTTTTTTATTTTTATTTTGGGACTTTTTTTCGACCGGAAACTTTCATATCTCGAGAAATCTCGCGTCATTCTAGAAAGCTTCTGATTAACCAAGATGCGAAATGGCAGGTTCTCGAGTTCACAAATATAAAACAGTTTTTAGACGGTATGAAAGATCACCATAGAAGAAAACTATTCGCTATTAAAAGAAATTTGAAATTTCAGTAATAATAATCGTGATTTTTTAATAATGATTAAAAGGCGCCTGTGGAAATTATAGATTATCGCGAAAAATAATGACAATGAGTGAATGAGTTGGGTCAGAGGATGCTATTGATTTTCAAAAATTACTTTCAATTAAGTGATTAAAATACAACATGCTATATTTCTAGACATTAAATAGTGATTTGTCTTCAAAAATTAGGGGATTTGGACCAAAACTTTTTTCCCGAATCCTGTAGGGTACTTCAATGTCATGTGATACAGATATAAGAATCTTTTTATGGAGTAGAATTTCAGAGATACTATAATAATAACAGGTTTGAGATCATGTTCTTTATATGGGGAAGTCAAAGGCATGGACTGCAAAGCGGGCCTGGGTGTTGGCTTGCCTGTCTATAGACTAAATGTGTATGTTTATAAAAAAAAATCAAATAAAAAACAATACACATTAAAAAATATAGAAAATTCTATACAGTATTTATCAATGAAATTTTCAGTCAGTTCTAATTGGGTGCCACCATATTAAAGGTATCTCAATGATAATAGTTGGAGTATTCAGATAATGGAACAAACATAAGTTAAAACGGAAAAATGAACAATTTTTAAACCGACTTCCCCATTCATAGGCTTTGCCTAATTTCATATTATTAAGAGACCATGTCAGTTCTCCACAGTCTTTCGATTGCTTTCTACACCATTGTAATTCATTTGTTCAGTATTTTGTTACGAGTCTTCTGATTGGCCAGTAGCAATGAAACCAATGTTTGCACAAGGATGCTTGGTTCCTAGAAAGTAATCGGAAGACCCTGGAGAGGTTTAAAACTCGAATGTTGCATAATTAGACAGTTGTGAGTGGTCCCATTTAATGTATTTAGTAATAATATGAAATTTAATTTAGGCAAAGAATGTGAACGAAGAACCGGAAGTATGCTAAAAAATTGTTCATTTTTTCGTTTTAAAGGTGTCATTCGGTATTTCATGCAAGCTTCCGTTTTTACTTGGAACACTCGATTATTATTGATCTGAAATGTTGTGATTGTTTTGTTATCGGAATACCCGCCTATTATTATTGACTTACATTAAAATTGTGGTGCCCAACTAGAACTGACACTGAAAATTTCATTGATAGGTATAACATAGAATTCTATATATTCTTTGTTTTTTATTTGATTTCCTTTTAAATATACACATCACACAGTGTTTCTGCCAGACTAGATTTTTGGGGTCATTTGTGACCCTCTCTATAAAAATATGGGGGTCATTTGAAATTATGAAGGGTCAAATTGACCCTTACTCCGCTGACAAACATGTATTAGTCTAATGTTTACATATTGAATCACTGTGCCACAATTTTGTCTTAGTGTACCAGGGATTTTTAGCAAGAATGCATTTGTTTCCTGATAGATATTTCATTAACGGGAAGGGCTAGAGACTTCTGGCTGGTCTCATTTGGAAGCTTAATACAATCATGAAATAGTGATGTAATGTTTTTTTATTGTCTGGACAATTGTTTTCACATCGGCCCGGGAAATGAACCTCTTGCTTGTAGGCTCGTAGGCTCAAATCTGGAATTTCCGGCCTTCTCTTAACTTATAGTATATTTTTAGGGGGACTCATATTGCAAATTTTTTTTTTTTTTTACACATTTAAGATAAACACTGGATTTTTTATTAATCTAGTCGTATTTTCCCTCCCAGGTCTCATACTTCACTTGTGCCTGTGGTGTTACCCTGTTCCGTCATTAGGTCAAAAAATTAGGAAATTTTCAGTTTCTGTTCATCATCTCCCCAACAGTTGTACACATTCAACTCAAATTTGACATATAAATACATCAGATTAATAAGCAGGTCAAGTTTGAATTTGGTCATAGTTCGATGATTTTGGACAAAGTTATCCCTCTTGACTGTTGGCAAAAAATTGAAATTTTTAACCAGGTTTTCCGAAGGAAAAAACTGGTTATTAGATTGAGGTATGTCGGCGGGCGGGCGTAAACAATTTCTTCTGTGCGCAACTCCTCCTACATTTCTCAACGGATTTTGACCAAACTTTCACAGAAGCTTTGTCATCAAGTGCCCTGGCGCATATTGTCGGGGTTTTGCGATTAGATAATATTTGACCTAATTATGGCCCTTTGTTTTTTTTCCTTCCTTATATAGAATATATAGTGAACAATTTCTTCTGTGAGCAACTCCTCCTACATTTCTCAACGGATTTTGACCAAACTTTTACAGAAGCTATGCATCAAGTGCCCTGACACATATTGTCAGGGTTTTGCAATTGGTCTATATTTGACCTAATTATGGCCCTTTGTTTTTTTTCCTTATATAAAATATATAGTGAACAATTTCTTCTGAGCGCAACTCCGTCTACATTTCTCAACAGATTTTGACAAAACTTTCAGAGAAGCTTGCTCATCAAGTGCCCTGGCGCATATTGTCGGGGTTTTGTGATAGGATAATATTTGACCTAATTATGGCCCTTTGTTTTTTTTCCTTATATAGAATATATAGTGAACAATTTCTTCTGTGCTGCACTCTTCCTACATTTCTCAACGGATTTTGTTCAAACTTTCACAGAAGCTTTGTCATCAAGTGCCCTGGCACATATTGTCGGGGTTTTGTGATTGGATAATTTTTAACCTAATTATGGCCCTTTGTTTTCTTTTCCTTATACAGAATATAAATAGTGAACACTTCTTCTGTGCGCAATTCCTCCTACATTATTCATGTTTTACATTGCACATAGTTACATTGTTTGTTGCTTGTATTTGTATTTCAAATACAACATATTTATCTACAATGGTGATAATTGAAAACCTGGTTTCATGGCATTGCCATGTTTCTTGTCAGTTTGTAAGGTTGAATTTGCATGTGCAGGTATTTAACAAGAAAATACAAGTCAAGTTCGAATTTGATTTTGGTCCAATGATTTTTGACAGAGTTATCTTTCTTGAACTTAGAAAAAATAAGAAATATTCAGTTTCTACTCTAACTTTTGTAGGAATGTGTGCCTGAGGTTGACATTGAATGTGCTGTTATTTTACCAGAACATACAAGTCAAGTTCTAATTTGGTCATGATCAGATGAAAGGCTACATGTATTTGTAGAAGTTCCTGTGGGTTATGTGAATTATTGATTATTTGTAACAAATAAAGAATTGAAAACAATTATGACAGAGTGTAACATTATTACGACTTTTTCCATTACACTTACCATTTACATTTGGATTATCATAATGTCACCTGAATAAATGTGTGGGAAAATGCTTTGAATCATGATAAACATCTTATTTCAATATACATGTATCTGATATTTTAATGTCTCTGTTTCTCATGTTTTTAAGTCAGTGACAATTTTGTCAGTAACAACAATTTGACACTTGTGAATTTTCATTAAACAACTTTGAATGAAAAAAGATATTTTTGTGAATATGGCCTTATTTTGGCCCCAAAACTGCTTGAAAAAACAACAACAAAAAACCACTATTGTTATGGATGATTATATGATAATGTATGGCCATATGATATAATCTTTACAGTGATAAAGAAAACTACACTGACACTGGTTATATAGTTACCAGTAACATAACAATTAACTCATTTTCAGGTTTTTTATGTAGACTGTATTTTGTTAAACAAGTATCAATGCATCAGAGTCTAGTTATCTTGTATATAATCATTATAATGTTAAGTATTTAATTTATATTTTATTACAGTGTTGAAGGGTTACTGAAATCAGAAGCTTTAGATAAGAAAGATCGTCCATTATGGTATGATATCTGGGAAAGATTTCCACCCAAGGTTGAACCATCTTATGACCGTAAGGTGCCAACAGTTGAAGTAAAGAATATACTGTATCCCGAGGATCTAATTAGAGCGTATGTATTTTTCACACATTTTGAGTTTATCTGTTTCAAAGAAGAAAAATCAAGCTATTATGGTCACTGGGACGTCATTGTCGTGCAAAAATGTTATGTAGCCTATTAATTATTCAAACATTTTAAAAATTATCAACACGAGACTCGGAATGTTTGCTTTAATATCATGACAAGGTTGTAAGACAAGGGGCATAATTCTGAAAGCAATATTTTTTGAGTTATACCCCTTTTTCAATTTAGAATATTTTAAGAGACGGGTGTTGTGTTAACACTGCATACAGTGCTTTTATTGCATTGAAAGTCAGGCCTTGTGGGGGGAAAGTTACCAGAAAGCCTGACAAATTAGCAAGCAGGTGAGCAACAGACCAGAGATATAGTATACTGTTAGCTCAGATATGTTTGATGGATCTACTTGTGGGGATACATATTACAGCACTGGTCTCAAAAATAGCTTTTTAAAATGGACCTTTAAAAAGGACCTACTCAGTTTAACTAATGGCCTTTAAAATGGGTCATTTACCAGTGGTTTACATAATGTTTCTTGTATATAGTAACAAGAGCTGTCGGTAGGACAGCAAAGCTCGACTATTCTTAGTGCTTGATAGAAAAAAAAATGCTTGATACAGTAACCTCCTCCTGTTAACAGGTTGGGGTCATGATGGTGAACAAGTGTGCAAAGTTCAAAGCCATATGTCAATGGACTTTGAAAATATTTGAACTATTACAAAAACTTTAACGTAAATTCTAAGTCGAAAAAGGGGCATAATTCTGTCAAAATGCTTGATAGAGTTACTTCCTCCTGTCTACAGGTTAGGGTCATGATGGTGAATAAGTGTGCAAAGTTTCAAAGCCATATGTCAATGGACTTTGAAAATATTTGAACTATTACAAAAACTTTAACATAAGTGGTTACGCGGACGCTGACGCCCGGGTGACTACAATGGCTCTTCTTATTCTTATCGAATAGTCGAGCTAAAAATGACTTAAAATAATCTTCTCTGAAACTACAATGCCAAAATCAAATATACATATGCAATCTTACAAAGACAAATAAAAAAAAAAGTTAAGTCTTTTTGTGTGAACTGCATGCCTTGAGCTGAGAGTATTTTTTATTAGATCACCTGTCACAAAGTGACATGGTGAGATGGCCTTTAAAATGGGTCATTTACCAGTGGTTTACATAATGTTTCTTGTATATAGTAAAAATCTTCTCTGAAACTACAATGCCAAAATCAAATATACATATGCAATCTTACAAAGGCAAATAAAGTTAAGTCTTTTTGTGTGAACTACATGCCTTGAGCTGAGAGTATTTTTTATTAGATCACCTGTCACAAAGTGACATGGTGAGATTTTGTGATTGCTTTTCGTCCGGCGTCTGTCCGTAAACTTTTACTTAAAACAACATCTCCTCTTCATGCAAACTTCACAGGAATGTTCTTTTTATTTGGTAGTCAACTTAAAAATTGTTCAAAGAATTTAATTCCATGCAGAAAAAAAATTAAAAAATCTTCTTTTAAAAAACCAAAAGAGCTAGAGCTTAAATCTTTGGCATGAAACATCCTCTTTTAAAAAACCCAAAGAGCTAGAGTTTAGATATTTATCATGAAACTTCTTCCAGTTTTTTTTTTTTTTATATAACTACTACCCGAAAAAGGTACTGTTTCCAATGGAAAAAAGACATGAAAATTCCCAATTTTTGATGTGAAAATTCCCAAAATGACTGTTCAAAATTCCCAAAAGGCCATGAGATTTCTCTTAAATCATTTAAAATCAAACATGTTTATATAAATCACCAATCTATAGTTCTACCTAGACAGTAGAAGCTGTTACATGTCTTTATTCATTATGACTAATCAGTTAATCTTATTTGTAGCTGAAAAGATGCTTAATAAAAATTCCCAATTTGAGTCAAAATAACGCATTTTTCCCAATCAGTCTGGTATCGGCACCATTTCCAAAGGAGAGAAAAAAACACTGTCTTCTAATGGGTGTCGACCAAGTTTGTTCAAATAAAAGCCCCTGGTTTAAAATTGGCCTTCGCCCAGGGGCCTATATACAGGTGAACGATTTCAGGGTCATCATGGCCCTCTTGCATAAAATGTTGTTGTTATTTTTTTCTTTTTCTTTTTGGTTTGATGTTATGTTGGGCCAACACAGTATAGGTTTTATGGCAACTTTCTAGTTTTACTAGTGAAGGAAGAAACTGAGACACAAATGGGCACCTGAGTAGAACCACCAACGTTATGTAAGCTAGTTGGATATCTTCCTCAGATCAAAAGATCAAAAAGCCTGGGAGGGATTCGAACCGATAACTGTGAGTGGCAAGTGTGTGCAGAACTTTTTCTATTTGGCATGTAGCAATTCCCAGCAGATGTTAACACATATTTAATAAAGTGTGCAGCAGTAAAAAAAATGCCACACCTGATATGGCCTTATTGCTTACTTCTGTATTTAAGATATGAGACATTTTCTGTATCACAGGTGAGCGAAATAGGGCCATCATTGGATTCATTGCTCTTCATTTGGCAGTGAAGATAACTGTTACAAATGATATTTAGGGCTACAAAAGTTAGCATTTGTATTAGATGGGTTAACATTTTGGAGGATTCAATGTGGAAGAAATGCAAAAAGAAAAAAAAATCATTGTTGTTTTTATGTCATAGTTAAATTTTCTTTATTTGCAGTAAATATTTTGACGAGTTTGTTGATAGAGATGTATTCAATATTAGAAAAGGAAAGGGCCAAATACATTCAAAGGCACAAAAGTGAGTTTTAATTTTGTTGCCAGTAGGGTAAGCTCAACAGATTATCTACATGCGAGTTTTAAACTTTAATGTACAGAGGCAAACAAAAATCAAAGTAAACATATAATTAATTATTAATCTGCCAGAATTGTTAATTATATTTTGACATAAAATGGAGTCATGTATTTTTCCCTGAATGGAAGTAATATGTAGTAGCAGTATATAATTTTGCACAGGCTACAGAGCTTTAAGGTCTGATTAAGGGCAGAAATTTGGCCTCATTCTTCTCTCTGTAAGTATGAATTTTCCCCAAATTTTTGAGAGGGAAAAAATCCCCTGTACCAGTTTAGTAAAATTCTTCAAAAAAATGAAAAAATAAACACTGGGTTAAACTTTAACAAGTAGTTTGACATTAAGACAGGTAATTTGGTCTAGTAAAGTCTGTATGGAGCTGATTTGACTGGTGTTATAGAAAATTCCTTCTTTTACAAATTCGGCACCTTCAAATTGTAAAATTTTCAGGTAATTTGATTTAATTCACATTTAGAGATGTATTTTGTTTTAGACATCTGTGTCATTGGTTGATTAAGTCAATGTTGCCTTTTTATCTAGTTTTGAATCTTTCGTTTTTGAATTTTTTGTTTTCCAGTGTTTGATTCATTTGATTGTGGCAAACATCCATAATTCATTCACTCATAAAATATTAACAATTGATTGCAGGCGTTCGGCAAATTTGTCTTGCCAATTATGGTCAAATTATCATAAAGTAATATCCTTTTGATTAATAAGAACAAAATTACTATCCAGCACCCGTTTATTGTTTAATATATACAGGTAACAGGTGCTGGGTAGTAATTTTGTTTTTGTTGAGCATAGGAAGATTATTTTACGACAATTTGACCATTTTTGGCAAGACATGGCAAATATCCTTATTATTACAGAAAAAAGGTTTTTTCATGTGTAATATATTTTCGGGATACAAATCATTTAGAAAAACTTAAGAAAATAATAGGAATCTGATGACATTTATTTCTTGCTACCCAGTTTTGAAAATGAGAGAATTTACAGCTGACATAATTTGTTAGTAAAAGACAAAAATTGTTTAAAAACTGAGTCGTTAGAAAATCTGTTATAAATTATTCCTATCCAACTGGAAAGCATGACTTTATTTTCCCATTCATTTCCGACATTTTAAGAGACTTAAAACAATGTGGACATTCGTAATTGATGCTCAAACATTGTAAATAACCCTGTAATAACCCAAAAGCCCTCAGGCCAAGGTATATATGTACAATTAATTCTTTGATTTTTTCCCCCAAATTTTCTAATTTCTCAGGCTATATTATCCCCTTCAGAAAGCCACATTTGCGATAAAAAAAAAAAAAAAAAAAATCACTGCAAATTCTTCCATTTTTCACGAGCTAATTTGTTTGGTAGCAACCATTGTTTCCAAAAATATCCTTGTTAATAATGAAGTTACAAGAGAAATGATATATTTTTCAGGTTTGTAGAGTGTTATTTGGAATTACAAAAACCAGGAATGTCACCCGATGAGATAATGGATGCTGTACAGTTGCATCTAAATGATAATGGTGGTAAATATATCAGAAAGGAGAAAAAGGTTGGGCTTTTAATATGTCTCATACTTTTAAATACATTAGTAATTATATATATTTTTGCTATCAAGTTGCTCACCTCCAGATATATGTTAAAAAAATGAAATTTTGAGTGATCTGATTTTTAAGTTAGTTTCTTTTTCTGCTTTATTTTTTTCTTTCAAAGAATACTTGAAGTTATTAGTCTTATCTGAACACTGTAGGTAACAAATTAATTATAATTGATTGATTATGTTTAGTCAGAATTCATTTTTAGCATCTGATCATCACTTTGGTTGTGTTTTTTTTTCATGATATATTTTACATTAAATATAGAGTCAAATTTTGTACATTGTTAGACTAATAACTTCAAGCATTTTATTTAAAATGTCTTTTATTTTTTATAACTTTTCTATATCACTTGAGCCAGTAATAAATACGTTTGAAAAATCGAAGGTTGCAGACCTGATGTTCTCCGTATTGATACATAAGCATGCAGGTGAAATATGTGAAATGATGAAAACAGTATGACTACTAGATGTGATATACAAAAAGTGTATATCTTTAGATAATTCAAAGTTTATCAAATCAAAGTCTTATATCAGTTGTTAAGAATATTTCTAAAAAGTCATGGTAATCAGAAGGCTTGCATCTTTAACTATTGTTCCTGTACAGTAAAGGCGACATGGACAGTATGTTATTTGCTGTTTATGTAGAAAGTTAGCAGGTATATTATCATGACAGAGAAGACTGGTATCTGTGCCCAGATAGTCATGATACTTTGACCTTTGTCATACACAAATATCTCACATCAATGTTTAGATAAGACAGTTTTATAATATTGGAGGAAATGGGTATATGTTTGCTTTATTTAGATATTCCTAATAAACGCCCCGCCCCTAATAAAAGCCCCCCGGGCTTTTTGATATGGAACAAAAATCTGCTCATCAGTGGTGAACTCTTTAATAAATCCTTAATTTTATTCAAATCCTTCACAATCCATTTTATTTCATAGTAAATACAAAAATGTATCACATTAACTTTAAAATCAACACATTTTAATGTTATTACCAACACTTGTTTACACTAAGTGTATTTTAAATGATGTTTGGATTTAGGAAAAAACGTGTTGTAATAATAGCCCCCTTTTGGAAAATGTTTAGCCCCCGGGGGCGTTTAATAGGAATTTTACAATACTTTGGTATAAACAGACAATGTTGATATGTTGATGAGCTACACTGATGCTAGCTTACAGAAGGTCAGTGGTTCTAAAGGGACACTTTGGCTGTTATTTCAACAATAAAGCCGAAAGTTGCCATATAACCTTTACATGTCAGTGTGAATGAAATCAAACAAAACAGTAAACAAACTGATGTGAGTTTAAATCAATTTAGGGTTGTTTACTGTATATATGTATATTATATACATATCCTCAAGGAGACTATGAGCTTTTAATAAGATAATACTTGTGTGCTCTTAGAAGTATCTTTCTTACCCTATAGCTTGAAGGTATTGTATCACAAGAAGTTTTATTTCAGCAACATTCATTTATATTTCTTTTTCTGTTTCAATTTCAGACATTTGTTGAACCAAAACCTCTGTTTGATGACATTCAAACTAGCAGTCAGAAGGAGGTACATACAATTAAACAAGATTGGTATTGATAGGACTTACATTAATACAGATAGAAGCTTTATTTTGATTGGCTTAAGACTCTTCATTGTGAAAGGACAGACAGATTACTCTGGATCACCTGTGTCAGTCTTGCTATTTCAGACAATCACTGAAATGTTATATTGCTCTTCTTCAAAAAGTCTGGGAATATGTAGGTGTTATCAGTATTAGTGATGAACAAAAATTATTTATTTTCCCATTTGCTTTTGTTTAAATAACTTTGGAAGAAAACGACAGTTACAATTTGAAAATTGGATTATGCTACAAGAGGAATTTGAATTTTAAAATATTTTTCATGTGATGAGGGAATTTAAAGGGAGGGATTTTTTGTCAAATTAAAAATTAAAAAAACCCGTTATGGAAAAATCTAAAAAGTTTAATTTTTAAGAAAGCTTTTTTGAAATTTTTAAATTTTCCCTTTGTTAACGGGTTTTCCAATTTTTTAAAACATATATGTTTATATAGTATGAAAATTTAATTGTAAATTTCACAAGAATTTATTTGCTTGTAAAAATTTTTTCACTTTTAAATTGTGGGAGGGAAAAAAGGCCCGGGTCCCCCAGCCCGGGACCAAATTTTTCAAATTTTAAAAAGAAATATTTGGGTTTTCACAAAATTCCCACTTAAAACATTACTCCCTCTTTTATTTAGAAAATTATTTTTTGTGTTTTTGTTTTGTTTTTTAAGTATTAGTTTTGATTCTTATGAAAAAAAAAGGGAAAACTAGAAGGGAATTTTTATTTATTTCAGTATTTAACTAGTCCTTTTTTATACATGAAATTTTCCCATAAAAGAATATTTGGGGAAAATCATTCCCCCAAAAGGGGGCTTTACAAATTTTTTTGGGAATCACCATCTTGCTTTAATTTTTAAAACAAGTAAGTTTTAATTTTGCTCATAAAGTATTTGTTTTTCCAAAAGTTTCATATCATAACCATTTATTGCTTTATAACAAAATTATGCCCCTTATTACTTTGAAATATTATGCCCCTTGTTACTTTGAAAATATTGTGAGCTATTGTGATCCCCCTCAGTCTTTTGTGGTGCTTTGTCAACAATTTCTTTAAACAACATCTCTGAAACCAATGACTGCACATTAATCGAACTTTACAGGAATGATCCTGGGGTGGTCCTCTTTCAAATTTGTTCAAATGGTTCCGGTCTGTTGCATAAGTAGGTGACAAAAAATTCAAATTTAAAACAATCTTCTCTAATAACTTTGTCCAGAGATTTGATATTTGGTATATGATATCATCTTTAAGGCTTCAAGTGTCAAAAATTGACCCCAACTGGGGGGGGGGGGGGGGGGGGTCATAGGTTTTCCATATATAAATGTATGTAAAAACTTAAAAGTCTTTGAAATGACAAAGGCTAGATGTTATGTGGGGTATACATATAGTAAAAACTTAATAAATCTTTTCTAAAATTACAAGGGTTAGAGGTTAGATATTTAGCATGACACCTGGGATCAAACTCCTTCCCCGGGGTCATAAATTTTCATTGTGTACAAATAGTAAAGTCTTGTGAGAAAATTATCCTCTGAAGCATCAAATGCTAGAGCTTAGATATTTAGCATGAAATATGGTAAACCATGTGCAAAGTTTCAGATATGAATTGAACTTTGATATGAGCTGACCTTGATTTTGTGATTTTGACCTACTTGCTTGTCCTTTGATGTACAGCCATGTATATACATTCGTAGTAAAAAAAATATATGATGACCAACACCGTTAAAGTGCTTGATATAAACACTTGCTTTTGCTTCTATTACACAAATAACAGCATGTCCTCGATGAGCGCTTAGGGTGCCAGTGTTCCCTTGGTAAACTTACCTAATCGAAGTGTGCCAAGATGTGAATGTGTGTTATGAATGATGCCAGTCTCATTTACGCATCCTTATCTAACACTAAAATTACTTTCTTTAAAAAACATCTCCACCATCAATGTCTGTCTATAAAAGGATTGACAAAAAAGTTACTGGTTACAGCGCAGACGGTGTTGGATTCTAGTGCAACGCACTGTGGTTAACATAGGTTGCTAGTGGTTGCTGTAACTTGCATTTATTGGCTTGTCATAAGTACTTAAAGATGCGAGGTATTGTGATATTGTAGGCAGATGGCGGAATTTTATTTTCTTTCATAATAAAAAGTTTGTAGAAATTCACAAAATATTCAACTAAATTATATGGTACAGTCAAGTTTCATGATGGTATTGTGATAATGTGTGCACACATCTACAGGATCACATTGACAAACACATTTGTTGACTACAGTAATGAGTACTCGTACCTTAGCAAGATACTATATAGTAGAGTATATTGTGTCAAAGTTCAAATAAGTTACTAAATGGCCAGGGGTGTGAAAATTGTTGTAAATTTTCCAAATATTAAAAACGCTAAAAATATCTATTGATTGAGCTAAATTCAAACCTGCAACCCCCAGTTCCACAATGAAACAGGCTTGACTTGGTCAAACAAAAAAATTTAAATTTTAAATTTTCATTGCCCTTTTAACACCTATCATTAATGCAGATTTAAAATTTCCCGGCTATTAGGGTTTAGTTATAGGGTTTAAGTCACGTGTGATATTTTTTTTCTTATTTCAAATTTCATTTTCAAAATTTTTTTAATTTTTTATTGAATCTTTTGTCAAAAATGAAAGGTGATTTTTTAACGAAAAATAATTATTAAATCCAAAAGAAATTATAAAAAGTTTTCAGTATTTTAAAAAAATCTTTTATAGCGACAAAAATACTTTAAAATTTTATACTTTAAAAATTTCCCTTTTTAAAAAAGCAGTCATTCAAAAAAATTTTTTGCTGTTTAATTTGGGTACTTGCATTTTCCCATTTTTTATAAGACCTTTTAGTTTGTGTATCTAATGTCTATTTATACATGACATAGCACGTGACAGTTATTAAACATGTCCTCGCTGAAGAGAGTATAATCATAAATTACAAATCTAAAGTCACAGCCAAAATACATACATGCATTAACCTACTTTCCGTTTATAAAGATTGTATTGTAAACTTGCGAGATTAAGGCTTTTAATAGCTATATTTCGCTTTTTGAGCTTAGAGTGTCCCTCAACCCTTTGGTATATGGCTAAAAAGAATGATGTATTTATATGCATCTAAAGATATGTAATAAGATATTATTAAACTAAATGGGCGCACTCTCAAAAGTAAAAAAGGAGGAAAAAGTAAAAAAAAAAAACATCAACAACAAATTTGATAGATCGGAAAAGTTTAACTCTCGGTAGTATGATTAGGTATAATATTATGTGCTGTAGTCATAATGTCATTGTATCGAGCCCCCAGGATCGAGCAGTTATAATTTTCTTGAAATATTTAGAGGCATTGTCATCGCCTTTGAAACACAAGCAACTTAATTACTACTGTATAGGTTTGAATCCCGCCAGTGGGTATAGATTACTGGTTGGTTGGTGGTTCTAATCAGAACTTTCTGGAATTCATCCACCAGTGAACCTGGAAAGTCACCATATCACCATGAATGTGTCGGTGTGAGTTAACAAAAACAACAACAAAAAATAATGATAAGCTATACCAATCTTAATCATCATGCAATATATATAAATATTTTTCTGTCCGCATCTACACGAATACACAGCAACAGTACATATTTCAAATGTATCAAAAAGTTTCTTTATACATGTACAATATATGTACTTGCATATATGTTAGAAAGATTTCACCACACCTTGAGAAAAATGAAACCATCATTATATGAATGTGGCATGTATGAAATACATTTTGAATATTTAACGTTGCTCTGCGTTGATATATCCTGTTTACAGTAATTCAGAAATTACTTATCATAACTTTTTACGGAAGCATTATTAATACATTAACACTTGATATAGGAGATATATTAATTTATTTCGTCACAGATAGAAAAGTTCACGTAAACAATTTAATTGTTAATACGAACTTAATAAATATAATAAGTATATCTTGTAAGGTATATTTTCTGTCTTAAGATTGTAAAATTAATTTTGATAATGTGATAAAATTGATTACAGAATACCTACAATGAAAGAAAGTCATCGGTATATTTTTGAAAATTTTACATCACAATATTAGCACCAAATGAGGTCGTGTCTTTTGCACTAAAACGAAACCCTGTCCATTGCATGTCTTTTAAACCGAAACGAGGTATTTTCATTCAACCATATCAAATTTAAAGGTCACTTTTTCAGAAAATTTTCCCTTTTCGTATCTTTTTTTCGCACTGCCCGGAGGTTGAATTTTAATATTTCCTGGGGTTTTAGAACCCCCCCTTGCTACAGATGTAATGACAAAATATCCCGGAAAACCCCCGGGTGAAATTTAAACAAACCCCTTGCCTATATACTTGCACATATTATTTCCGAATATAATAATGTAATGTAATGTAATGCCGTACGATGCACTTGCTGATCATTTGTGTAAAAAGAATGTTAGAACTGGAGTAGAAACTGTATATGCAATATATCATTACTATTTGAAAGAATTGTACATGACCACTTGAAAATTATGTTTTTTATTTTGGTGTAGCATGTTTGAAAAGTTAACATAAAAACGACTTTGATGTAGTATATTTATATGGTAATCAGTTTGGTGAAAGATATTCAAATGGTTATTAATTCATTTAAGTATTACAATGTAATTAGATTGGTTTAGTATGTTTATAGCATACTTTTGATTTGAATAATATGTTTATACTTGATAGTAAACATTTTGTTTAACATTTTTATATGGCTGTTAGTTCAGTTTAGTGTGTTTATATGGTAACTAGTTTGATAATTTATATTAATATGACAAATATGATTACGTATGGCTATAGTACAAATTTGGTTAAGTATGCTTTTACTAAAATTTTGGTCTAGTATACTTATAGTATGCTACAAAGTGTTTTAACCGAGGGTATCAACGTTACATTTAGTGGAAAGCAAATGAATGACACATGAGTTGTTTATCGGGCCTTCCATTGACGTTTTCAATGGCCGGATGATACGTTATCCGAACCATTCTGGTGAATAGTTTCCTACACTATAGTTCCAATTATCTTAATTTTACTATTTACTCGGTATCAGTTGTATGGAAAGTTTGTATTTTGTATAACATGTACAATGTGAACGCGTCAGTCGTTTATATTAATCAAGTTATTTGGACGATGTTCAAGTACATTTTGTGATACTTGATTCGTCATCTTACGTTTTTCATTTTTTTCCTCTAACTGAGATTTCATATCATATTCATATCACACCCATAGGCTCGTTTTCATTTTTGACATTCCAAAAGCTATATCATTTCCATATTGTAAAAGAAGTAACAAAGTACAGTCAAAATGTCAAAAAATGATGGTGTGAAATAATTAGAGAGGTCATTAATTACATGGTTGAGAACAATACCAATTCTATTGGACTCGTACACAGCTGTAAAACCTGTATCGGACTCGGCTAGCAACTCGTTCAATATAATTTTGACAGTATCTGTACTCGTCCAATATAATTCAGCACTGTTCTCTACAATGCATGATAACCTCATAATGTTTACCAGTTTCACGTGCCCATAATTAAATATAATTATTATACTATGAGGTAATTGTTGATTACAATACTGAGTTCTATATTGGACGAGTACACAGCTGGCAAACCTATATTGAACAAGGCGCTTTATTGACTCCTTTACAGATTGATAAGTGATTTTGATAGCTGCAAACGCTGTAAGATGAAATGTTATATTTTATAAGGTGTAAAATATGCGTGCGCACATGTGTGCGTTTGTGTGTATAAATATTCCATTTTTTAAAGCAATACAATAACGACGTTATTATGGTGTACTTTATATAAATTACGACCATTGCGATCTAATTTTACTACATTAGAAATTATAAAACCTCGGTCACACGCAGTTAGGTTTACCGGTATAAGACATGACGATGAACATCTTTACGTGCTTCGACTATGATATTGTCAACTAGATGTCGCTGCGATAAATGTTTAAAAACATTTTGTTGTAAACACTGTCTAATATAAATTATTGTATTACAGATAGCCGTTGATCTAGGAAGTAAATTTAAGTTGATCGATAAGTTGGAAAGTGATAAATAACTTGAACCAGTGAAATTTTGTGTTGAAGGAGAAAATAAACTTCACTTTAATTTCACCTCTGATAACTTTATCAACCTATATGGCGTTGTTGCGTGGAAGCACTCGCCGAGGAGTAGCGAATGTCACAGACGGCCAACAAAAAACGAATATGGAGGAAACTATAGATGATTTCCAACGTGAAACTATGAAATCATTGTGGCATGCATTTGATATGTTAGATATTTCAAATACAGGGACTGTACATGTCTCCCAGCTTAAGGTGAGTCTACCTTTTGTTTACACACATATATACTAGTACAATGTATGCCCATATTTTAAAATATTTATTTTTCCAAAGCGTTTAATTGAAGTTTAGAAAGAAGAAGGCATACTGGCTCGAACTATAGCAGACTTAATGTTTTTTAACAGGTATGAGTCTTATTCAGTTACTATATAATCATTTATTAAGTCTGATGTTTCTGTATCACTAATGCAAAAATAGAGCTTTAAAAGTCTATCACTTGAATTGTGGTTTTTAAAACAGCATTGTTATCAAAGCTGTGTCTGATGAAAAGGTTCTTGTTTATTTATTTAATACTTCCGCATAGCTTTACAGCCGAAACCATAGTAACAATGCGACGTTGTCAAAATATTCTTTGATATAAGTTTGTCACGGAAACATTTCGTTATCAATAAACGGGAAGTTATGCTTTAGTCAACATTGGCAGTGTATAAGTGGGTTCCTCGCCTAACCTATAGTAAATCCTTTCGGAACAAGTTATTATACATTTATACATATGAGCCGCGTCATGACAAAACCAACATAGTGCGTTTGCGACCAGCATGGATCCAGACCAGCCTGTGCATCCGCGCAGTCTGATCAGGATCCATGCTGTTCGCTGTCAGTTCCTCCACTTGTAATAGAGTTGGTAAGCGAACCCACTATGTTGGTTTTGTCGTGACGCGGCTTATATAGATGTTTCGAGTACAATGTTTTCATGTCTGTCAATTTCTTATGTTCAATCCTTGAATATATTAAATTAAAAAACCGTCAGATTGGAGATGACAGCTATAAATTCAGTCTGATAAGATAATATCATATGCATTCATTATGTGCAGGTCAATATATAAACTATATACAGGACTGCATATGAATTCCTTTGTCATTGTTTTTTTTTCTATCTACCTGATAACAGAAACACCACATTTGCAGTTATCTTATCAAATGTGGTCAATAGAGCAATCAATTTATTAATCATCTTGATTTTATACAAACAGGATGATAACACTTATACTCTTTATAACAAACTGATTAAACTGTAGTGTATGTACTTATAGTATAAACTTAAACGAGGATGTCCGCACGCGTGCTATACCAAAATATATCCAACACCAGTCCCCTTATACGTCATGCTGTGGCCAGAAAAACAAACAAATTATCAATCATTATAGATACTAAGTTCATACTGCAAGATACAGTACAACCGCTGCAGGGCGACCCTCGATTGAACAAAAACCTCTTCCCATTTCTTCCATAAGTAAGACTTTTACAATAGATTTAATTCTCTACAGCAACACCCTTCATCTTTGTCTCTCAAAGAACAGTGCAGAAGTTGCACTGTATTTACACTAGTTGTTAGGTTGAGGCTAGTATCTTGTGTTCTGTCTAGTAACTTCACTAGCATAAGCAATATTTGATCAGTCACGGGCTTTTGTTTTTTTTTAATGAAGATATACGCCTTATCTAATAATCCTTTGTTCAGTCGATTCTTTTTCCTTTTCATAGTGATTCTGGTTGTCAATCCATCCGACAGAATCATTGTTAAAAGTCACACAAAAATGGGCAAACCTTTTATTTTAATCATAGGTGAAATGAAATATAAACTATGTTATAAGTATTATGAATTCTTTTTTAGGTAATTACTTCATCAATTGGTTTGAAGATGGGCTTTGACAAAGCAGAGGATATATTAAACAAAGACGGTGTAACAAGCATGGATTTTAACACCTATTTTGACATTGTTAAAACGGAGCTTATTGCCAAACAAGAGTGTCCAGATACCACAGATGAAGCTGTACTCGGTGCTCGCATCAATGCCATTGTGAAGACATGTTGGACGTTCTGTAACTTCGAGAGAAAACATCATTGTAAATCATGCACCTCGGAACACTGTGTGCTTCTCTGGCGCCTATATAATTTCCTGTCAGAGACAGACAGCGACGGAGAACCAGCCATTCCAGTCAACCTTGACCCCGAGGAGGCCGCTCTTCTTCTGAGAGAATTTATAGACATCACTGGACAGCGGAGTAAAGAAAGTGAAATCAAACAGTTTCTTATAGATCATCATGACATTCCGTTAACATTCGCTGAATTTCTAAACGTGTTTGAGAAAGACTATGTGTCGGGTTTATCTAATAAAAATATAACACAAGGATTGAATCATCTATATGATACATATATCCTCAATATTCTTAAGAAAGGTTTGTACAAGTATTATCTCTTATTTTGCTGTAATCACTTAACAAAATAGCATTTCCTATAACGCAGTGTTTTATTGTGCAATGGTGATCATAAGTTTACTCGAAGGGGGTTCAATTATATTTTCTTTGCAAACGGTTTCAAAGTATATGTTTTGTCCTATAAAGCTTTTCTGTTCCGACTAATTTAGATTTATTATGTTAAAGTTTTACAACAATTTGAGTGTTCCGAATTAAAACGAAGATACCCAGATAAAGTTGATATTAACTTCCTTCTAAAGCGCAGTTTTAATGTTTGCATACTATATGTTTTTTTGTGTGTGTTTGCACAACAAATTCTGTAAACATTTGAGTTGTGGTATAAAGATTTACAATCATTACAGATAAGATTAAGAAGAGGGGTTTTAAAGTGAAGACCTGGAAGGAACGCTGGTTGGTCCTTACTCCGTCACAACTTAAGTATTTTATAGGTCCAGACGAGAAAGTTCTTAAAGGGGCAATACATTTTGACAGCGAATGTTCAGTAGAGGTAAATCAAGTTTTAGCTAATATATCCAAAGTTGGCAATATACAAGCATACCTGTATATATAACACAGCGAACAACGCACGAAATATTCGTACTTGAAGGCTAAAATGAAGGTCAAACAAACTATTTTATTAACAAAAATAGTTTCAATAATAATTTAAAACTATTGTAAATAAATGCTTTCTTATAGCATGTAGAAAATATATTTTGGCATGATCGAATATTGACAGTATATTTTGAAACATTGACACATAATTCTGCACATATTTGTGTTTTTTTTACTTAGACATCAAGGTTAATTTGCAACATCCATCATATAAATCTACCATACTTCTTCAAAAACATCGGATATAAAAGATATAGTATTTGTTTAAAGAGTAAAATGTAATCTTTTAAGTGTACTTAAATAATTATACATGTATCAAACCAAGATTTTTGCCTTTATCTTTCGTCATTGAATTGAATCAAACTGCGTGTTTAACTGGAAAATAATGTATTCTTATAACGTTTTTTTCCAAATAAATGTATGGTTTTTTTATAGCAAAATATAAAAAATGAGAAAACACAAAGATACGACGAACTTTGAGTTGATGTATCTTTGTGTTTTCGCATTTCCGGTTTTTGTTGCGAAAAAGTTTAAATACTACATGGCATAAATCAGCCACCATAAATACCACTGTTGTCGACGCATTTAAATGTTGTCAGGACGTTGTGAGTACCCCATAAGTAGCAAGAGATAACTTTTTTAATATTTAATTATTTTCAATTGGAAAAAGTGTAGAACTATTTCTAGTCAATAATACATACAATGGAATATTTTAGGTTGCACGGAAAGTGTAATCGCGTGTTTGAACAGTAATAGCCTATATTGACGCGGTTTCACTTTACGACAAAAAAAACAAAACACAAAACATCTGGAAACATTTGCATGGGCTCCTGGACTAATACACTTTATCCCATTAAAAAGAATGGAATATTAAAAAGTATATTGCCACTGCCTTTTGTTGGTTTTCTGTCACTAGCATATCAAAATGGTCATGTGATATAGGCACTGTGTCGTACATACCAAACATTTACAAAAACTATAATACACTGATTGGTTCCTATTATGAATCTTGATTATTTTCAAATTATTGTCATAATCAATTAACTATTACTCTGTAATTGAAAGAGACAAATGTTTTTAGAATTCTGATTATTTATTTCTCCACCTTGACATAATCCGATTCATTTTCATCAGATTTGTTATTAATGACTTTTAATAGAACTAAAATCTAAAGACATGAGTCACCTCTCTTTCAACAAAAAGTAACAGTGTCGGTTTTTTTATTACTATAAACTAAAAAAAACAAATTTATTATTTTTAATTTTAGGTTTCCCCCCACCGTTTCCAAACTCATAAACCAAAAACGTTTGTGATCAAAAACAACCCCCAAAGAAACCCAAATTGAAAAAGATGGGACATATTTTTAAAATTTTTAAAAATGAAGGGTCAAGGGGGAAAGGTCAAAACATTAATTGGGGTTTAAACAGTTAAAGTTTTTTTTGTTCATACAAAAAATTTATTTTTTTTAAGGGGCTCCAATTTTTTTGAATTTGAAATTTTTGTTTTTTAAAAAAATACTTTTTTAAAGACCTGTAAAAATCAGTAAATTTTCCTTAATTTTAGTATTTAACAGGGTCCTTTTAAATCGTGTTGGAAAAGATCCAAATATCCAAAAAGATGCTGCACGTGAACGCTGTAAGGCGCGTGCAGAGAAGCGCCGACATTTAGCAGACGAAGAGAGAAAACGAAGAGAAGAGGCAGAACTACTGAAAAATAGAGAAAATGAATTAGACGAAGAGAAAAAGGTATGCGTCATATATTTGATAATAATTGTAAACAATATGCATGCAGGAAAATAAGAAACAGATGTTAAATAGCCATATCTGCTTACAAAGAACGAAACATCAAAACGTTACATTACACTACATTAATACAATTTCAGTGCTTGTATTGGCATATACTTGAAAAAATAAGACAATAAAAACTGTGACATTTCAAAAAGTGGAAAGAACGCTAGAGTAGCAACAATCTAGAATAGGCCGTCTCCCATCTTTTTTTTTATTTTTGCCAAATTCTTTTAACAAATTTGTCTGTTATGCTAAAACGGAATTTTTGTTGTTGAGGATTTTTCTTTCATGGTATATTTTGAAAACGTAAAATGTGTAGTACTTTTTTCATACTAGCCGAAACGCTCTAAAAGCAATAGGACAAGCGAAATCTTTCCTGGTTTAAAACTTCTAATTATCTTTAATTTTGTAAAAAGAGGCCCGGTTTTAAGAGGAATTTGTGCGATCAAGGCCCCTTAATGAATTTGGAAGGAACGAAGGGGTAAATAATTAACATTTTTAAAAATGTGTTGTTTTTTTCATAAACAATAAATATTTTTTAATATTTTCTACTATAGCAATAACTATAAATGAAAAGTAATTCTCAGTAAACGCATGGAAACTATTTCTTTTATACTATTTATTGCAGTTATATTCTCATTGACGTGGAAGTTTTCAAATATTTTATTTAGCATCATTAATTTATATAATAATTCAAATCTTCAGAGACGAGAGTCGGCGGAGTCAAAATGGCAGGAGGAACAAGCATACGAGAGTCCGGGGCCCAAAAAAACTCCGGGGAAAATAAGGAGAAAAGCGAGAGCCCGGAGAGGTTTCTTTCTTTAAAGAAAAACAAGGCAAAAAAAAGAGGAAATTGTCAGAAATTTTAAACAAACAGTTTTAAAATAAGGAAATTTTTTGTTTTTCACGTAAAATTTGATTTTTAAAATGTATACTTCAAAAAAAAAATAAACAGATTTCCCCCTTTTCCCCTTTGGAAAAAAACAAACAATTGAAACTAAACTAATTTATAAATTTCCCCAAAAAAGGGGATTTAAGGGAAAGACGTTTTCTCCGTCCTCCGTATGTCCCGTCTTTCTGTCCGGGTTTTCATTCATTTTTTAAGAGCCCTTTATCTTTTGTTTTAAAAGAAGGGAAAACCCTATTAAAACCCTCAAATTTTAATTTTTACGGGGTTATGTAAGAAATTTAAGGCTCTTAAATTAAATAAATACTAAATAAAAAGTCTGTAAACCCAAACTATTTATACCATCGACAGTTAATTTTTGTCTGCAGGATAACTTTTGAATTATTTGAGAAAATATGTTAATTGACATGCAATTATGTTATATCAAAACACGGGTTATGTTTTATTTCCTCTGAAATCAACTTAATGCTGATAGAGTTATGTCTCTTTATATGCAACCTTTTTGTGAACGGTTTTCGCAGGATAACGTTTGCAGGATTTTAATGGTTTGCGTTATTTTGATTTGTCAATATCTCCACTATCAACTCTTAACTGTTTTTTTAAGTTGTCATCGGGATTGTATTGCCACTCTTGTTTGTTAAAAAAATAGAAAAAAATATGATGAAATTTATGCCGTATATTTAATATATTTAGCCCAAACTTGCACGTTTGGAGAGAAAGAGTATGCTTCGTTTCATTTTACAAGATTTCATCTACTATTGACTTGGAGAGTACTAAATATGACAACAACTTTATAAAGGATATGATTTTTTGTATTGGATAAAATGTTATTGTTATTCATTTGAGAAATCACGGAAACGATAGCTAATTTTTCTTTCGCGACAATAGACTTATTCATACTTAAGTTGTTGCATCAGAATCTAATGCCATCAAGTAATAAGTACTTATCTATACTGAGAATAGTTGAGTTTTTCCCAGTTATTCCGTAGGTACATACAAACTTTTACAGATACAGCATCGAAAATAAGCGCAATAAGTTGACTAATCTATTGTGACGGGTAGTAGTGCTGCAAATTCATAGGGTAAAATGACACCGAAGTGGTCTATCTCAGCCAACAGCAAGTTTTATATACCAAATTGTTTGTCTGGGTCTCTAGTTTCCGGAATGAATATTCATTTGGTTCAAGTCCGATGCGTAGCTTAAAAATCCAAAATGGCGTCAAAGATGGCCGCCAAATCCCTAAATATTCTAGAATATTAATATTTGCTCATATGTGTTTCCGCTTTTGTATTTCAAGTGAAATATTTGCACGGAAGATATCATTTAAAGCGTTTTATACGAAGAGATTTAATTTTATTGGAGAAAACAGATTTCTTTTTGCTTTTTTATACGTAAATAAGCAAAATAATGCTAAACATATGGGTTTTTGCTATGGTACTCTTGTCTTAGCTTAAACAGAGAAATATCTATTAATTATTTTGTTATTCCACTATTGTTATATATTCATGAGAGTAAATGCTTTAATGCATTCATATCATATCTTAAGAAATCTTTCTTTGTAATTATGCAGTAAGACATATAAAATGAGATGCGGTACATTAAAATAGTTTTTCAATGTAAGGTTGTAACTGGTACTAATTTGTTCTATCAATTATTTCCCCAAATTTTGTGTTTTCTGTCAAATTACAGCTTCTTTAGTGCAGTCCATGTAACTGACTAACATAATAAACCAGGAATATGATAATTTGCTTCTGGTTATTTAATGAATTATTGATCAAATCGTACCCCACCCACTAATGAATAAAAATCTAGAGAAACTCTGACCCCTCAATTATACTGATTATATGGAATGACAATATTTACGTAAGTTAATAAACACAACGTGATTTTCAAAGTGTGATACTATTACAGGTATCCTGCCAGATCTAAAAATATGTTCAAAAATGTGTTACCAATTTAATAAGCATGATTTTATTTGTAAGTTCACCTTAGGATTTGAAAAGTACAATGTATGCAAAACAACCTCTGTTCATTTATTTATATGTTACACACCTTTTTATGTCAAATGAAATGTAATTTATTTTTTAAAGTTTCTTAAATTGACAAAACACTCATTTAAAAAGTTTGATATTTTGATCATTCGGTTTCATGAAACATGCATAGTAGTCGGATAAAACATAATGTTTATATGAAAATCATTCAGCTTGGCATTATAATTGTGTTTGTGTTATTTAAATTCCTTCTAATTGACCTTTTTAGATTTGTGTGGTTTCTTTTAAATAGTGTATAACAACCCTTTGGATATGTTACCAGCTTTTAAAGAGTATATTTTGACATTTATTCCCGTTTTATAAATCCATTTTATTTAGTATTCCCCATTGTTCTCTATTTCTTTTGGACAATATGTTGTATCTCGTGAAATTGCACAAACATTTATTACATTGAAGATACCATGATCACTTTCGTATGAATACATCTATGGACGTGTCTTCACTTCCTTTAAGTGTACCAGTTTATGTAAAATTGAGAATTCTGCTTAAGCCGGTGCAAGGGGGTGTGGATGGTAACTTGCAATTACCACTACCGGTATGTTCCTATATGACGACACAGTGTAAATAAAATAAATCCCCGCCAAGCAAAATTCTAACAATTGTTATGGTTACATTACACGAAATAAATAAAAGAATACATGATCGTGTAAATATGTACAATTAAGGTACAGCCTAATTACCATAACCAAAGTATTCGATGCCTTAAAGGAAGGCAGAGCAACAAGAACATCACTTACCAAGACAGAAGACGAAATTAAAACAATTAAGAACTCACAAAACGTCAAAAATGAAAATGTTGCAGGCTCGGTTTGATTGAGCCTGTTCATGAACGGCACTGTCAAGTGCAAACTACAGTACACGCCCCCTAGCACCGAATTAAGCAGAATTCAACTTTTAATCATGGTTATGGTGAACTTTTGGATTAAGAAACAATCGCAGACGCGCTTATAATGTGGTTATAGGAACCTTCAATGTGACACGTTAGTGTCATTCCATAAAAGCGGCGTATGGTCCCCAAGTACAAGAATGTGTGTGCCCTAAACAAGAAAACAATGAGCGTAACTAATTAAATAGAATTTTGAAAAGGGATCAGAGGTTATGAAGCCTGCATGCCACAGATAAGCTGTCAGCTCCACATAAGCTGTCAGCTCCACATAAATCAGGCCTGTTTATACCTAGACGTCAAAGAGTTTTTCAAGTACAATTAAATTTTAAATATATCTGATTTACAACGACAGGACTTTGTAAAATATTTACGTAATTTATGATAGATGTAGCCAGTAATAAATAAATTGCGTTCATTAGAATCATCCACACGACAGCAGGCAAATCTAATTAACCTAGAAATATATATACCCAATATGATGTTGCATGAAGTACTTGTGAACAGTTAACAATGTTACATGTATTTAAAAAAAACAATTATCATAGATTTTAGTTACTGTGTTATTGTTAATGATAAAAATGTTTAAATTTGAAAATATTAAGAGTTTGTTATAATCATTTTACGTTCACTTGGATTTAAGATTTCACTTGATCAAATTTGATTATTCATGTTAAGGATATCATATAGGTAGCGGTAAGTGCTATTTAATGCAACGTATAGCCTTCGGTTGCGAAATAGTAGAGAGACTTAACATATAATCCCTCTAGTAACAATACAAAATTAAATATAAAGTAAACTAACATGTCATTGGCATTATGATTGTGAAAATCAGGAAAAGAGAAGATCCCTTGAGAGCAATTAAACATGGCAAAGTTGATAATTCAAACTATGTTTGATGGGGTCTGTTCATGAGAGACCATATCTCACGTCTCTTAGTACCGACTAAGTAGTACCCAATCCTCAACTATAAAAGTTTTGCAATCAATGATCCCGAAGGACCTAGTCGTCCAGTTAGCTCAATAGGTAGAGCGTTGGACTGTGAATCGGGCAACCAGTGTTTGATTCCCGGACGGGGCAGGTCACTTTCGTTGTAATTGATCATGAAATAGTTTCTACAGTTATTCGCACTGTACTACTGTTCTGCTATGTACAGAAGTTTCAGTTCCTTGCAAAAGTGAGGGCAACTAGTACTGGTAAACTGCTTGACAGACTGTCCAGGAACGATTCGGTGGCTGAACTACATGTATGCTCTGGTAAATTCAATATGGTTTCTGCCGTGATCCGGATTGAAAACTACCGACACAAACACCACCATCCCGTAGGACCTATTGATATTACACTGTTAACCTGCAGACTCGGTTTGATTGAGCCTGTTCATGGACGGTACTGGAAAGTGCATATTTCTCTACGCCCCCCACCCCCCATCCCCCAGCACATAGTATTGCTATCAAGTACCCGCCAGGGAAAAGATTAGCTATTTTCGTCCAATTGAAAGCTCTTCTTAATTCCTCCCATGAAGTTAACAACAAACTTGAAACAAAATGCTCAAAATCATACACAGGAGCTGTCAGTAGGACAGCATGCTCGACTATTCTCGGTGCTTGATAGTAAAAAAATTTGGACATAATATTGTAAAAAAAAGCTTGATACAGTGACCTCCTCTATACACAGGTTGAGATAATGATGGTGAACAAGTGTGCAAGGTCCCAAAGCGATTTGTCGATGGAATTCTGAAATTATCTGAGGTGGTAATGTAAATTCAAAGTTGAAAAAGGGGCATAATTCTGTCAAAATGCTTGATAGACCTCCACCAGTGCTCAAGTGGAGGGCATGATGGTAAACATGTGTGCAAGTTTCAAAGACATATGTCAATGGACTTTGAGATGGTATGCAAACTTTAACGCCGACGCTTGGGCGACTAGGATAGTTGTCCTTAACCATCGAATAGTTGAGCTAAAAAGAAACTGCCCTCATAATATATATTTTCAATTCACTCAATATATATATTTTATATATATATATATATATATATATATATATATATATATATATATATATATATATATATATATATATATATATTATATATATATATATATATATATATATATATATATATATATATATTGAATATTTTATTCATAATTAAGATCCAGTCTAGCAGAAAATTCTCTTGCTGTAAACTGAATAACCTACCCATTTTAAATGTTCTAGTAAATTACATTTTACATTTTAATATATATATTATATCCGTCATCAATAATGACAAAACTTCAAATATGGTTCAATTGTAGATTATCATATGTTAAGCCAATGCCTTAAAACAAGAGCTGCTTGTCAGACAGCTCGTTCGGATATTTAAAATCAACAGCCTGCATAATAAAGAAATTCTCTTATTCATAAAGTAGTACATGTATAACTCTTTGAAATAAAAACATGTTAGAGGGAAGTAACCTACAATAATGATCTAAAGATGTATTTAGTTTAAAGTGCATTGCCTCAATGGTTGTGGAGATAAATCTTGTCCGAGAAATTCTGTAAGTTAATAAATAGATATTATTATTTCCTAATAAATGCTTAGCTTATGGGTATTGAACAGTGACCTACTAGTATAATCAAAATCACATTTGAAGACTAACAATGAATGTTTATGGCTAAGGAGAAACAAACTTGCAAACAAATCCTTAACAAAAGGCTAACACAAGGTCAACGCAAATACCGAATTGCAGGTCAGTAAATTAGTTCCTTATTGTATGCATAAAACAAATAAAAGAGATATTTCAACATTTAGACACACATGCAGGGCATTTTCTATGAAAGGTAAGATGTCTCATCACTAACCAATTAAATAAAATTGTTTTTTTTTTAATATCACTATTATAAAATAAAACGAAAACGTATTTAATTTAAAGTTGACTCCCCGTTCGTAATACCCCACCCACTTTGTATATGAATTTAGATCAATAAAACACATTTATGGCATAGTTCGCTTATTCTAACTTATTCTAAATATGTGTAGATATAGTTTTAAAGCTGTATTAAACGAAATCATGAATGTTATTCAGTTTAAACAGGAATAAAACTAATAAGTTACACATATTCAGAAAAGGACACCCAGTTTGCAACATATTTTTTCTTCTTCGTTAAAATTAGGCGATGAAAACTAGAAAAAAGTCAATAAAGTGCAAATTTATAGCATGAGTAAGTTTAAAATAAGAAATTTTATGTAAAATTTCAATTGATTTACAAAACTGAAAAAGGAAATAAGCCAACGTAAATATACTAGAATATTTAGGGATTTTGGCGGCCATCTTTGACGCCATCTTGGATATCTTAGCTTCGCATCGGGGTTGGGCCAAATGAATATCCATTCCAGAAACTACAGATCCAGACGAACATTTTGGTATATGAAACTTGCTGTTGGCTGACATAGACCACTTACCCCTCTAAATAGGCTAGTAAAATGGGCTGAATTGCAGCACTATAGAGCACCGAGAAGCTGTAACAGTATAAGGTTGTTTGTACCTACGTCCTTGCTGAGAAAACCCCACATTTGCCGAGTTCCGAATGAAACTTTTTGTGTTTAAAATGTATATTAGATATTGTAACTTTCTGTTAAACAGATTACTAGAGGAAGAGTTCGAGAAAAGAGAAGAGCTAGAAAGACTTAAGAAACAGCAAGAGGAAATGTTACAAGCAGAAAGAGAGCAGAAAGCTGTCCTAGAGATTGACCGTAAAGAACAAGAGAGACAACTAGCCGAGGCACAAGCTAAGCTTGAACAATTAGAGCGTGACAAAGCCGCAGCGGCAGATAAAATGCAGGTACGAGATTACCAATAAGTAACTTACTATTGTTTCAGGAAGCTATAATATTTTTACATGATAAAAACCTCAAGATATCTGGATATTCAGATATATTTAGTTTATTATATTACATTACATTATAGATTTGTTTAGTTCATATTACTTCGGCATATTACATAATAATACTATGGTATCTAATTGTAACACCAAGTGCACCGATTGATCTTTAAAGTAGATTTGTTTGAGGACTTTAAACAATGTCTCATAAAGTGCACAGATGTGAGGTTTGTGATGACAATGTACTCGTCGACCAACGTTTGTCGTTATCAATAATTAATTAAAACAACATCTTCTAAACCACAAGTTATATAAATTGCTGCAGTCTAATGGATAAGTAGGCCACAAGAGCTAGAAAAGACTTTTTTTTTCAAAATATTCTCAGCAGAAACTACGCTGCCTAAAGCTACTTGGCATGTAATATCGCCTTGTGATCCGTTAAAAAGTAGTATAAATCTTGTCCCTGGGGTCACATAGTTTATATAAACTGACATAGAAAAATGTAATTTTTTGTGTGTGAAACTACAATATCCATGCACGATGTTCACCAAAGTCAAGATCAGGATCTCAATTTAGGTTTCAGAACATCTCCATCGTTTATCACATGTATTTGATATTCAATATCAACCAAAAACATATTATGCCTCAGAAATACATGAGGAAAAGTTAAACCAGTGTTTGATAATGTATGTTTTGATAATGAATGTAGACCCTCTTAGATACATGACAAGTTAATAAATCAACGTTTAGCGTAAAATAATTGTCATAAATGCAACACAGGTATTTTGTCTCACCTACAAAATACAATATATATTTTTACAATTTTGCATATCACGCGGAACCATAGCCCTATATTGTATTTTCTTATGCAATTTCAGTATATTTACATTGGCGTTTTTTTACACGGAATGAAGGACAGATTTTTACTAAACTTGCATTTCAATTAGTTGAATAAGATTTTGCAAATCATTCCTTAATAAGATTATTTTAAACACTTTCATGATCATTACGTTATTTTAGATTTCTTCGAAGCTTCACAAAGAAGAGACAACTTTTTAAGTATATGTATTACCATTTATCTACACATACATAGTAACATTGGATATGTGTATTTTATATTTAGATAAATATCAATTAGAATTGTAGCTGAACTTTGCTTTACGAATTTCATCATTACGTCTGCTCAACGCATACGTTTAACACCGTTGGTGCTTCGATTCAAACTAGATGTGCGATTGCCGGTGATACTGTTATGCTTTAAATCTTTGAAAATTCATTCTAGGTGGTTCTCTTTTCTGATAATTTAGAGCATTTTTCTTAAATATTAAAAAAATGGAACCGTAGTTCGGCCTTGTGACTATTATAACGTGCGTTTATTTTCTCACATCCTCAGATTATATTTTGAGAGAGTAAAATGCAAAACTCTACAATATGTTTCGCTGAAAACAGTGTTCATCTTGATATTAATGTTTAATTTTATATATCAAAGGCATTTTACCTCTTAATTTTGATCAAATTATACTTGTATTGACTACCGACAGCCGCTAGTAAAGTTTCAGTGTCAACATTTATATTTTGTCTAGTGCTGAAGGTGTGAGCAAGGTGCTACAAGTATGTATCTTATTTTAACTTTAGTTTGTTACTGGTTGCTATACTTCCGGTCACGTTTTAGCGCAAATTTGGAATGTATTAAAAATGCAGATAACAATAACTCATCTTAGATCTCCGTCTTTCAAAAAGCAAGGAATTCTATTAAAGTACAACATTTAATTAGTAGATCTTTTATTAAATAAAATGACTAACACCTCTCAAAATAAGTTTGAATTACCAATTAGTACGAACTATTTTATCACAATTTACCTGTTAATTACATTTTCTTATGTTATCTCTTAGTTTAATGATAATAAATCCTAATGTTTCTAACTAGACTCAGAAAATAACTAAATAATTCTCTCTCACATAGCATCATTAACAGAAAACACGTACATGTGTTTTGAAAGAATAAATGCAAAAAAAAAAACAACAGTAAAACTGTCATTTACAAGGACAAATTTAGATTTCAAATTTGTCATTAAACATCATATTTATCGAATCTGGGAATGCGTTATAGACAATCTTGCTAAGGTAGAAATGACACACTATGCGAATACCTGGAGCACCTGAAAAAAACAATGTTGCTGTATTTACTTTTTGACACTGATACTATACCTAAACCAGTTGGTAGTAATATGAAAATGTATTTTTGATCACTTTTATATGTTAAATACAACATTTGTATCAAGTTTTACGCTGATTTCAGCCATGTAAGTTGAAAAGTTTTACACTGTATTCTATGGAAATTCACACACTATAACAGCAGACTGGTCGAACTACTGTTTTACTTGTAGAAAAAGATATACCAAAATTATAGAAATAACCAAAAACAATAAATACACCTACGTTGGTTTTTCCAAATTCAGCAGCGGAAATCGCACATTTTATTTGAAACAAAGCACAAATGTGCTAAAGGTGTGCATTGCTTGAGTGGACATGATCATGGAATGGCGTAGATATCATGGGTAATTGTCATATTGGTGTAAGGTGAAGCTTCGCGATATATTTTGGATATAAGATTCGATTATATATATTCTAGCATATTTCAAGTTAAATACTATTATGTCATTTTAATTGCCTATTCGAGTCATGCATGACTTGTTAATGTGTATGTTAAATCAACTTTCATTCCCCCATTTAAATACTTTATAACTGGTTTAAAATGATATCATCATTTGTATTAATGCAGTGTTTATGGTTTGTTATTATACTAAATAGTAAATAGTAAATACTAATCTACATTGTATCACATATACTTAGAAAAACCTTTTCAGATTCTCGCTGGCAAGTACAAGTCATATGCATCGCAATGCTTTATCACGATACATTCACATAAAATGTTTTGGAATCAAATTTTCCATTGCAGCTTTGACAAATCACGGGATTTCAATTTTCCTTATACAATTCAACGACTTTCTTCAAATTAATTTGTTATCTAATGTTTGAGTTTCATAAAAAAAGTTTGCCCATCTTTATTATAAATGAAAACACGTAACCTTGTGGTTCGTTTATTTCAGGAAGCGGCAGAGAAACTACAAAAAGCTGAGAAAGATCGCCACATCATGGAAGAGAAAGTAAAGCTGTGGAAAACACCAGTCGGATTGGCAAGACCTATTCAACCACATGCTGAACCATTAGTGACACACAGAGGATTAGGGGCATTCTGTGACAAAGACTTTTTAAAGAAGGCATCTGGCACAAAAGAAAATGAAGATAGTGAAAGTTGCGGTTTTGATAAGCTAGAAAATGATGAAAGCTCAGATAAAGTCACAGATGACAGTGAAAATACAAACACAGTCATGATATCAAAAGAAAATGATATTGAAGAGAAAGTGATCGATGGTAGGACTGACTCAGAAATTAAAAACGAATCTTATAAAGAAAGTTCAAATTCTGATCCCCACCAACAAGATATGCAAGAAACAGAGGAAGAATCTATTATTGATTGCATGCAAACTGGTAATGCCGAAAACAAGTCTGAATGTGACTCTGAAACAAATACTAATGAGGTTCTTGACAACGTTAGTCCAGTATCAAGCTTGACAGAAATTGCGTCAGAACAAAGTGATGAAGTTGCCAAAACAGAATCTGATTTCAATAATGGAGATAAAGTATGTAGTGAAATAGGACATGAAGGATCCGTTATTGATACAGAGAATATAAATTCTAAGGCAGACGACCTAAACCTCGAGAAAATGAAAAACTTACATTGTGGTGACAGCATTGAGGATACAGACAAAATAGATGAAACTAATTCGTGTTCTGAACAAAATGAAATAAATGGAACAGGAAGTGGGTTGGATGAATCATAATTAATTGATGACTTGACACACCAAACTGCATACATGTAGATATAATGATAGACATGCATGTACATTTTACATATTTTTTGTTTCCCCCCTGTGATTACTAATTAATTCTAATATATTTAAGATGCACTATTTTAATAAAGAGACTAATTAAATGCATACAAACAATAGTAGTGTATCTTTTATGTATGAGAAGAGTGTATTTTTATCGCTGGTAAGGATGGATGGTATAGATTTGGCATTGTCCGCCCGGCTGTTTGTCCGTCTCTCAAGGGAGATTGATCAAATCGGCTTAAGTTTTACCTATGCCAATAGATTCCTATTTTACAAACTTACTTACCAAAACAATAGTCTATGGTATTGAAAAGTTACATTTCCGTGGCTTACCTATTGCTGCAATTGATATATAGTTCCCGATGTTTATTTATCTCCCTTGCCAAAAGTGTGAGTTAATATTCTATACTATATAGCACCAATATAGTAAAGTATTTATATCAGCCTTTATAGCATGATGAAAAACAATATGTATGGTTAAGCCATTCTGACAAGTTGGGTTTATCTTAAGTTCTAATTATTCCAATGGAATCATAATTTACAAATACAATGTCTATGATCTCGGCAAGTTATATAACCGTGGAGAGTGAATTTCCTTTCTATCACTTCATAGGTAATGATTATGCCATTTCGAAAAGATGAATGAATTTTAAGAATTCCATTTCATGCAGAATTCTGGTTGCCATGGCAACAAAATAAAACAACAACAACGAAAACAACAACAACAAAAAAAGACAAACAAAACACTATAAACATCTCAAAAATCGCCAGGCTTAGTGCTTAGGAATATGGTATGAAACATTGTCTTGGGGTCATCTACCAAGATTGTTACATAATAGGCATTATGTTATAAATTGACCGCCGTCCCGAAGCTATAAGTAAAATCTGAAACTGCTAAGGCTAAAGTTAAGATAATTGGCTCTACTTAGGTTGTTTAAATTATAGCCCTTCGGTCAAAAACTGAGCTTTGGTATTTGGCATGAAACCTTGTCTTGCGGACCTTAAGAATTTGCAAATTATAGCCCTGGTATTAAATATTGACAATACCTTGAGGTGGTCATGGGTTTTCCTTATATGTGTAGAGAAAAATCATCTCATTTTGGAACCGCAAAGGCTAGATCTTAATACATCTTATATGACATGATACATTGTCTAGTGGATCTCTACATAAATAATTTAACATGCCAACTTTGCTATCAGCTGGGCTAGATTGTGACACAGTGACCTGCATTTTTTTGTATTCAAATTGGAATATGTAAATAGTAAAGATTAAAGATCGAAGTTTTATTAAATTTTTGTAAATTTGTTTTGACCTACTTTCTTGGGTTTTGGAGTTACAATTTTGAATTTTAGACAAGTAAAATTATTACAAAAATATGTAACAGCGTTCCCGAGTTTATTAAAGAACGACAACTCGTCCGAGACTACAAGAAATATTCATTTTTTAATTCAGTTTAAATTTATATTTGTATCAGATATGATACCTTAAAAATCTTGTAACTGTTGGTATCTAATTAGTATCAAATTTTATGTAATTAAAATTTAATATACGCAATGGGCAATCGGGGGAAACTTTAAGAATTTTGTTGGTTTAAGGCCTATAAATGCTAATACAATGCAAAATGATAATATTTTATTGGCATGTACTTTTAAATATTTTTTATAATCGACAAATAAAACTCACAAATTTATTTGAAATATTTTGCATGCTATACTAGCAAATAAAAATACATCATAAATATGCATAGTCATATATTCAACACGTTTGAAGCAATTTGCTAAAATAGTCCAGCAAAAAAGTAGAATTAATATATTTTTTTCACTTTATATTTTAGGCAGTCTATGAACATTACACAGCCATTTCATAATCTACTAAGTCTATTCAAATTTGTCAGTCTTCGTATTTGATAGTCTATCTCACTGTATTCTCTGGTATTTTGAGCGATGTTTGAGCTAGAAATTTTGTTCGCATTCAAAAATATGATGCTGTAAACAATGTCACTTACCGATCTATATCTTAGTTTGTTGATCAGACCAGCGATAGAGAAAATAAGCTTCTATGGAACTGAAGTAGCTGGGACTGCAAGTACATACCTTGCTATATTGGGGAAATTCATCACTTTTCAAGCACTCTAAAGGTTGGTTTGTCAGCAGATAACTAGCAATTTCGTTTTCCGTCGATTTTGATTTGATTTACGGAGTTTGAATGTCTACACGTGCGGGGATACATAATGAAATTTCGTCAACTTCCTGTGGCGAAACATTTCGCTGTTCATGTCAGGAAAGGCAGACGTTTGTATTGAGGGTCTAATAGGGATGCTAGCATGAGCTGTGATTTGGCAGTCTCTATATATTTTGGCTTAAAACGCTTATTGACTGCACAGCCGATATAATAACTTTAACTTTTACAATTACGCTATGATCAGCATTTCTCTTTTCAAACCCGATGGAAAGACACTTGCGATTCTGTAGACACGACGTAGTGGTATCAGTAACATTCTTGAGAAGAGAACTACGCTCAATATGAAGAAAAGTAATACATGTATCTGTCCCCCGCTCTGCCAGGCCAATATAGCGGTTTTGTTTTGATGTCAATGTGACTGAAAGTTTGATAAAGTTTGTGCAACTTGTTATGTTTTGCATTCATCGATCGCGGACTGTTTAAGATGACTGATATCGCAGAATGGGACTTTTCACGGCAGTTTGATAATCTAAGTCCGCACTTCTACAAGGAGTAAGGTGTGTGTGTGTGGGGGGGGGGGGGCTGGTGGGCTAGGCCAAGTATAAAAAGTCCATGTACCACACGTAAGCTATGCATTACTTTTATACTTGTATAGTAGGTTTTTAAAAGTAGCAATAATGTTTACAATATATGTTTAAAAATGCATTTAACAACACTTTTACTTGCTGTAAAGGTCTATAAGAATAAATATAAGCACACTACTATATTTATATTCAAACCGTTTGCATATGTTGCTATTTTCTATTTTTGCGACGCCTACAAGTTCCGGACGAATAGGGTTTGACAGGTGGGTCTGTTACAGGCTTGTCTGTTGTGGTGTTTGTGGGCGGGTCAGTAGGATTAGTGGGCGGATCAGGAGTTACGTTAGCTGGAAAATTGTTGTAGAATTCTCCCAGGGCCGTAAGTTTTGAAGATCCAATTTCAAACAGATTTGCTGCCTCTGTTATGAAAGAAGTTGTTTCAGCTCTTCGATGGACATACCAGGCGTACCTGTAACATAAAGGTATTGATATGTAAGTAATGGATTAAACACAGGAAAGCATGTTTTATCTGTTGTGTCGTAAATAAAGTTACTATTGGTCTTTTACAAACGTAAAACATAGGGGTGCGTGGATGAGCAATGGCAGAAAAAATATAAACAAGTTATTATATTTTGATTTAGTTTAAATCGCTGTTTGATAATGTTGTAAATGTTTCTATTACAGAAAAGCTGCTCATCTCCAATGTTGATACACGTCAAAATACACAGCAAATGGCAATAATCATTTCTTTACTTCGAACAGTTTATGTCATGGCAACTTGAAAAGAATGAAATCCACTTATCTCTTCTCTGGCCAGCAAAAATCTTAAACAATGTTGCAACCTGCCTTCGTAGGCAGATAATTATGTATTTGATGTAAACAATACAAGTACAATTTTATAAAATTGACGTAATACATTTATTGCGAATGATCGGTAAATTATTTCGAAAAATACTATAGAGACTTTAGAATATTGCATACTTGTATACTTGATCACTTTCCTCGAGTAAGGGTAAAACTGACGCCATATAATCCAGCTCTTCCTGGGGGTCTGTTGCGTAAGGGCAGGCAAATTCTGTCAGCCAAATTGGTAGTTGGTATTTCTGGTACAGTTCGTCAATCCAACGCATAGTTTGCTGTGCTTTACACGAATACATGTGGGTCGCTATATAACCCACTCCACAAGGTGGTCGGTTTGTGTTCCCGCAAAGACTGAAGAAAAACTCATCGAACCATTCTATATAACTCGCACTGTGGCATCCTGATCCGCATCTAGCCGCTGCAGGACTTGCTATCTTTTTGTTGTCTGCCTCTTGTTCCACAATATACCATGCGTCAGCGGCCTCTTGGGCAGTGAGGTTCGACTGACTTTTATGGTTTGGCTCATTAAAACCAAGAACAATATCGTATCTGTCATCAACACTGTACCTGTCTGGACTCCAACTCGGATTATACCCCCAGATTATTGGGACGAAAAGGGGAACATATTTTTCATCGATTTTACATCCGCTTTTCTCTTCTATTTGTTTAAGATTTGCATCCCAGTTGTACCTGAAGTAAAATTAAAACAAATATACAACTTGTGTTTAGAGTATAAGCACAAGTCATCGATAGGAAACATCCTTGGTAAAATGACACAATACCATAATCATCAACAACAGCAACAACTATAACAACATGTTTGAAGCATTTAACATATTAACAAAAATCTTGTTACTGGTACATTAACGTGTCTCCTTGTTTCAAATGGGCCAGTTAAGATCATGGTGAAGATCACTATAACCTATTGCAGTTGCTTTTTACAGTTGTTAGCAAACTTAGTATATATAGCAATCTTATGTGGACAACTCGCTTTGGATTGCTAGGCAACTAGGGTTATGGTTTCAAATCTATTACTACTTTAGGAATATATTCTAACTTGGTATATAAAACTTTATAGAAACTTTATTTTGGATAGCTTTTGGGCACCCCATGATATTTATAAACAACATAGGTTTGGTTATAACTAGTCGCATGGGTTAGGTGTTTGGTCTTAATAAGCTATATGTGCTTGGCTATCATAAGCTTCGTGTTTTGGTTGTAATAAACTACATTTGTTCGGTTATAATAAACTACATACATGTGTTTAACTATAATAAACTACGTGTGTTTAACTATAATAAGCTACATGTATTTAACTATAATAAGCTACATGTGTTTAACTATAATAAACTACGTGTGTTTAACTATAATAAGCTACATGTGTTTAACTATAATAAGCTAGTAATAAGCGTGTGTTGTGTTATAGTAAGCTTTATGTGTTTGGTTAGCATAAGCTGAATAAATTGTATGAAGCAACACATGTTTGGTGGTAATAAGCTTCGTATGTTTGATAATTATACGCTGTATGTGTTTGGTTATTGTCATTTGTTATTGTCTGTAATATCATAAATTAACTTACCACCAGGAAATGTTAGCTAACGCATCTAAATCGCCACATTTAAATGCCATCAGGTCTATCCCGTATCCTTTCTTAACTGATCCATCAGTAGTAGACAATACCAATGAAGTCAGCAATATAATGTATGCACCATTAGCAAAAGCTAAAATAAAAATGAAACATACATAATATGAAGTGGAATATATAGGAGCGAAATATAATACTGGCTAGATTTTCGTCAGTCTGAATTCTTTTTTTTTCAAATATGAAAAAAATAATATTGAATGAATCAGCGATGCATTCTTTTAAAGCAATTAATTTTAGCCTCAGTTATGTAAAATAATATTTCAATCAAAATTTTGATTGGTCATATGTGATTTGGTTATACGTTCAGCTTTTGAAGTCAATTTTTGCGACGAACACACCTTTGCAATTCATAAATATGAAATGCTGTCCTCAGCCAAATTACACATAAATAAGTGAATACGATTAAATAAAAAGTTCATAAAAATATAAGTTAGTAAATCAAAAAGCACTTCCATTGTTCTTAATGAACAGTTTAACAACTTTTTGAATGAAAAGTCATAGTTTGAAAACAAAAACACTCATTATTAACCTGTCCAACACCGAAGAACACAGGAAAAAAATAATTTGCTCTCCATTACATTTTTTGACAAGTCAATTTTGTTTACAAGTGATTGATAAATAAACTTGACCTCGCATGAACTACCCCCGCATGAATGGTATCGAAAATTGATGCGGTAAACATTAAAGTATACACAAGAGCGATGAGTGATCACATGCGTCGCCTGCTGACAGTCAATTAAGTACATGTAGTTTATTTAGGGGTGATTGACCAGTTTGTTAATCTATAAACATGATCAGGGTCTTGAAACGCAAGACACTACTCTTTACTCGTGCTTCGAAGAAATTGAAGTTCTGATAATTATACTAGTATAGCATTAGCTGTACAAGATTTACAACCAAATACAAAAACTGATATGTAAATGGCTGAACTTCATTTTTCACCTTATTCCCATCAAAAAATATAGCCCTTGCCAATTTATCAAAAGTTAATGACTGCTTTTGAATTTCCTTTGAACAAGTGTTTTTTTTTTGTTGTTGTTGTTGTTTTTTTGTTGTTGTTTTTTGGGAGGGGGGGAGGGAGGTGACGATCAAAACAGTTTGTTGGCATGTTTAGCTTTCTAAGTGAAAGATACATACAGATGTATAACTGATTTTTTTAACTTTAATTTTGTTACATATTTTGTGTGTAATTAGCGCTCTTTATGATGTAATCTACCCGTCAAAAATTAATGGGAAAACATTTTTCAATAGAATGTTATTGCAGATTATTTAAAGGTTCCTACTTTCTAAAAAAGGGCCCTCATAACATCCTAGCTTGAGTTTTGAAAAGTGGCCATAACTTGATTTCCGTACGGTAAACTTTGTTTAAATTTTGCACACAGATGTACTTTAAGGTATACATCTGACTTATGATGTCAATTTTTTAGTTCCTGATAGTGCCCATTAGGGTCCTAATACCTTAAGATACGGTTGTAAATTGTGTTAGTCCGCCCGCAGTAAGAGAGCATCGAATTTGTAATCAAATGGTAGATTGTTCGATGTTTAGGGGTAGAGGTTTACCGCGACAATCGATCTTGAACATAGAGTCTTATTGTCATTTGTCTCTCACCAAGGGTTTAAATTTTGGATTAGTTGACCAAAAAAAAAAACATAGGGAGATGTGACCAAAATGTTTTGCACATTTAGCTCACAGAAGTTCTAATGACAAGATATTAGACATTTTTGAAATTTGCACTTCGCTATTATCGTGTTTTTACGTCTGCCCAGCATGTCAAAATTATCACAATGCCAATAACTTTTAAATTTTGGATTAGGATGAACTATAAGCATTTACTCATTTGATATTGAAAAGTTCTATATGCTATCAGCACTTTGATTAATTATAAAATCATTAATTATGGTTTGAAATACGTGAAAGGGAATTTTTTGTAGACTAGAATGGTGTCAAGGATTCTGTTTTTCCTTAATAAACGGCTGAATTACCTTTAATTACTTTTTTTTTTAAAAAAACATTAGGGAGTAAAAGGCAGCATAAAATGTTTGTCTAGACGCAATATCTTTTTTTAAGAAAAAAAATGACACACAATGTCTTAGATGTTATAATGATGTAAGTTTTTGTAAGTTTGGTGACAAAAGAGTAAAAAATTATTATTTCGATACAAAAATTATACCATTCTTGTTCAAAATTACGTCTTCTCAAAGACATCATTTAAAAAAAAAACGCATCATTTAAAAACTATTTTTTTTCAATTGATTTTAGTAATGTATCCTCGAAATATCGTTTTCATAAGTTGCTGCCAATGTTCTTTTCAAACGATATGCTGATATTAGTTTTAAATTTAATTGGTAACTCAAAGCCCAACTGGACGTGCGAGAAACCAACAATATAAATAAATATAATGGAAAATTAAGAATATTACAATTTTGGATTTGAAGAATGAGTATCATTATTAACAAACTAATACATATATATACAAAAATAATTTTTGGCAGAAGATTTTCAAACAAAGTATAACATTTCTGCTTCCCTTATTCATCGATTGTCAAAAATGCCACACAAACAAATGAAATTGTCGCACAGAAATATATGCAGATCCACCAAAGTGAATCCGTCCAAGTTTATAAAACAATTTTAGCATTTTTTTGTCCTTTGCCTTCTGTAGGTTTATTTAATGCCCAAATTGATTAAAATTAAAAGTATATAAATAAAAATTACCTTACCCATGTTAATATGCCTATATCCTCATCAGACAGTGATACGTCGGTTTTTGTTGATAAAAAAATAACCTTCGTAGGGTCACATTTAGGGCGGTGCGGGGTGGGGGCGTCAGTCAGTTTGGCAAATTAGATTCTCCTTTTTGTAATAAAAGTAAGTGATCTTGATCCAGTGGATTAAAAGAGTTTCAATAGGTAATACGTCCATATATTGTCATAAAATATGCGTAAAATTAAATAAAATAGCTGTTCAATTATACGTGAAGAAATAGACATAAATTTGCATGTGTCTATTAGGCTGTTTTATTGAAATATACATACGTCATGCAAGTTTCAATTACATGTTCAAGCATTTGATATCAGACTTATACTGGAAAGCGTCAACATTTTTATTGAAGGTCCATAAATATTTAAATTACCGTGGCAAATATAAAACTGTATTGAGAAAAAAAAATCTATTTTATATGAAAAGTTAGATTAGGCAAATCTAGATGGTTTCAGTTATAATAATTTGTGATATAATTTTCCCACTTAACATAGTCTAGGCACCTAGATGCGTAAATATATCATTGTGTGAAAGGTATCAAAACGGAATGTTGAAACCTCGTATCACTTTAATAATAATATATTATATTTCTACATGTACGAGTTAAAATTACAGAGGAAAATTACAGAGGAAAATTCTACAATAGACGACTTTAGAAAACGATTTTTTATCTTGCCCAATTATTTCTAGTTTACTTGCTCCTGATGTGATATCGGTGGGTTCATAGTAAATTTTCCTGTGTTTTCTGTGTTTTGTTTCAATTTAAAAGTATCTTGTATCCATTACTTCTTTGAATATTATTCTAACACTATCGCTGAGATATTGTTGTATAATAATACAATTTTGTATAATAATAGAATTTTTCTCAAGGTATTGCTTTAAATGTGAGTATACAGGACTTCATTGTTACAATAGATCAATTGATATTATTTTATTCTATCTATTAATTCTTATTAACTCTACTCGTACATGTATATTGTTGCTGAGGGTTGTTTTTCAAAAAGCTATTATGATGTTTAAAATAATGAATAATCAGGCGCCTTCCTATTTATTGAATAATTTTATTTTATCGTCAGATGTCCATACTTGCATTTTGCGTTCATCATCTGATTTTCAACTTTATACCCCTAGACCAAATACTGAACTACGAAAGCCTAATAGTGTCAAATGAAATAAAAAATAAAAATGCAAAGGCGTTATAACGCGAATAAAGGCGTTATTACGCGAATCAAAAGGCGTAATAACGCGATTAAAGGCGTTATAACGCGAATCAAAAGGCGTAATTACGCAAATCAAAAGGCGTAATAACGCGAAAAAAGGCGTAGCAACGCAAAAAAGGCGAAGTAATGCGAATAAAGGCGTTATAACGCGAATCAAAAGGCGTAATAACGCGAATCAAAAGGCGTAATAACGCGAATCAAAAGGCGTAATAACGCGAATAAAGGCGTTATAACGCGAATTAAAAGGCGTAATAACGCCTTTATTTGCGTTATAACGCGAATTAAAAGGCGTAATAACGCAAATCAAAAGGCGTAGTAACGCGAATAAAGGCGTAGTAACGCGAACCAAAAGGCGTAATAACGCAAATCAAAAGGCGTAGTAACGCGAATAAAGGCGTAGTAACGCGAAACAAAAGGCGTAATAACGCGAATCAAAAGGCGTAGTAACGCGAATAAAGGCGTAGTAACGCGAACCAAAAGGCGTAATAACGCAAATTCAAACGCATTATAATGCCAATTTTATACCATATTTATACTTATCAAATGGCCTAGTAACGTGAGAAAGGAAAAACAATATTGATCTGAATTTATTGCTCAAGATATAAACTCGTATAGAATAATATAATATACATTTACAATAACTATCATTCCATTTGCGCAGTAATATTGTAAACCATTTGTAATAACTTATTGAAGACTTTTTGATATTTGTCAATATCAGGTGACTTGGAGACTTAAAGGTCCATTGGGTTATATGTCAATACAGTTACTTTGAATTCACATCATTGATTTTACACATGTCACTATAGTAAATGAATTTCTTTTCTTTTCTTATATCTTATCTTATTTTATATGTGCGTCATATGTTCAATTATATACGGATATGTCCTGTATAATTATTTAATAACCTGTAGTATCTTTTAATTATGTGAATGTCGTTCCTAATTACACTATAGGTAATTGGCTATAGGTAACAAGATTTGGAAAAACGTAAGGCATACGTAAGTCACATTAGGGTGAAAGTATCTCTAATTATTGATAGGTATGCTTAGAGGGGTAAAAGTGTTTCTGTTAAGTTACAATTATAGGTGACATTGTCTTCTTTGTCTTTATCGAAAAGTATCTATAGTTGGGTGATAGTAACCTCTAATCTCACGAAAGCATTTCCTGATAAAAGATTAAAAAAATCAGACTGTGGCCTTAGGACGTATCCTTACAGAATTGAAAATAAAACGTACATCTTGATCAATTCATTTCAATCGACATTGTTCTTCCTATCTTACATCATAAGGCCACGGTTTGGAATTTATATGGTATTAAATTAGCGTTATAACGCCTTTCGTTTCGCGTTATTATGCCTTTTGGTTCGCGTTATTACGCCTTTATGTTCGCGTTATAACGCCTTTTGATTCGCGTTATTACGCCTTTTGATTCGCGTTATAACGCGAAAAAAGGCGTTATAACGCGAATCAAAAGGAGTAGTAACGCCTTTATTCGCGTTATAATGCGAATCAAAAGGCGTAATAACGAGAATTAAGGCGTTATAACGCGAAACAAAAGGCGTAGTAACGCCTTAATTCGCGTTATAACGCGAATCAAAAGGCGTAATTACGCGAAAAAAGGCGTAGCAACGCGAATCAAAAGGCGTAGTAACGCCTTTATTCGCGTTATAACGCGAAGCAAAAGGCGTAGTAACGCCTTTATTCGCGTTATAACGCGAATCAAAAGGCGTTATAACGCGAATTAAGGCGTTATAACGCGAAACAAAAGGCGTAGTAACGCCTTAATTCGCGTTATAACGCGAATCAAAAGGCGTAATTACGCGAAAAAAGGCGTAGCAACGCGAATCAAAAGGCGTAGTAACGCCTTTATTCGCGTTATAACGCGAAGCAAAAGGCGTAGTAACGCCTTTATTCGCGTTATAACGCGAATCAAAAGGCGTAATAACGCAAATTAAGGCGTTATAACGCGAAACAAAAGGCGTAGTAACGCCTTTATTCGCGTTATAACGCGAATCAAAAGGCGTAATAACGCGAATAAAGGCGTTATAACGCGAAACAAAAGGCGTAGTAACGCCTTTATTCGCGTTATAACGCGAATCAAAAGGCGTAATTACGCGAATAAAGGCGTTATAACGCGAATCAAAAGGCGTACTAACGCGAATAAAGGCGTTATAACGCGAATCAAAAGGCGTAGTAACGCCTTTATTCGCGTACTAACGCGAAACAAAAGGCGTTGTAACGCCTTTATTCGCGTTTTAACGCGAATCAAAAGGCGTAATAACGCGAACCAAAAGGCATAATAACGCAAAACAAAAGGCGTTATAACGCTAATTTAATACCATATAAATTCCAAACCGTGGCCTAGTAATGTAAGATAGGAAGAACAATTTGATCTAAATAAATCGATCAAGACGTACGTTTTATTTTCAATTCTGTACGGATACGTCCTAAGGCCACAGTCTGATTTTTTAAATCTTTTATTAGGAAATGCTTTCGTCAGATTAGAGGTTAACTATCACCCAACTATAGATACTTTTCTACATAGACAAAGAAGGCAATGTCTCCTATAATTGTGACTTAACTGAAACACTATCCCCCATTTAAACATACTTATCAATAATCACCCTAATGTGACTAACTTATACCTTACGTTTTCCCAAATCTTGTTACCTATAGCCTATTACCTATAGCTTAATTAGGAATGGCATTCACATAATTAGAAGATACTAGATGTTATAAGGTAATCAAATAGGATATATCCGAAGATAATTGAACATATGACGCACATATAAGATAAGATAAGATATAAGATAAGATAAGATAAGATAAGAAAAGAAAAGAAATTCATTTACTATAGTGACATGTGTAAAATCAATATGTGATACATGTGAATTCAGATTAACTGTATTTACGTCCAGTCCAATGGACCTATAAGGCACCAAGACACCTTAAATTGGCAAATATTAAAGAGTCTTCATTAGTTTATGACAAATAGTTTGCATTATTACTGCGCAAATGGAATGTTAGTTATTGTAAATGTATATTATATTATTCTATACGAGTTTAATATCTTGAGCAATAAATTCAGATCAATATTGTTTTTCCTTTCTCACGTTACTAGGCCATTTGATTAGTATAAATATGGTATTAAATTGGCATTATAATGCGTTTTAATTGGCGTAAGTACACCTTTTGGTTCGCATTACAACGCCTTTATTCGCGTTACTACGCCTTTTGATTTGCGTTATTACGCCTTTCATTTCGCGTTATAACGGCTTTATTCGCGTTATTACGCCTTTTGATTCGCGTTATTACGCCTTTATTCGCGTTACAACGCCTTTTGATTCGCGTTATTACGCCTTTTGATTCGCGTTATAACGCCTTTATTCGCGTTATTACGCCTTTCGATTCGCGTTATTACGCCTTTATTCGCGTTATTACGCCTTTTGATTCGCGTTATTACGCCTTTTGAGTCGCGTTATAACGCCTTTATTCGCGTTACTTCGCCTTTATTTTCGTTGCTACGCCTTTTTTCGCGTTATTACGCCTTTTGATTTGGGTAATTACGTCTTTTGATTCGCGTTATAACGCCTTTATTCGCGTTATAACGCCTTTTGATTCGCGTAATAACGCCTTTATTCGCGTAATAACGCCTTTGTATTTTTATTTTTTATTTCATTTGACACTATTAGGCTTTCGTACTGAACAATTTCGTAAGTCTTTTGTTTATTCTGGATCTTGT